CTGTGCCTCGACTTTCTGTGCCTCGACTTTCTGTGCCTCGACTTTCTGTGCCTCGACTTTCTGTGCCTCGTCATTTTGTGTCTGTGCCTCGATTGCATTCATTTTCTCAATCAGGGCCACGGCTTTCTTTTGACACTTGTCAGAGGCCAGTCTACCGAGCTCTGAAAGACGTACTTTCCAAAATTCCCAACGCTCGTGGCGGAGGGCGTTGTCGCCATGGTAGAGAGGACCTTTCCGAAGATCATAAGTAGCCCTTTCACCAGAGAGAATTTTTTGATAGAACTCAGTCCCTGCATGAAGTATCCATTCATGCACTAGATCGATATTACTGTCCACCAGACATTGGATCTGATGGGGAAACTCAAGTGCCTTCTCCATTGCAATCATCCCCTCATCTATAAATGAGTGTACACGCCGTCCGGTCATTCGGGCAAGAAAGGAGTCCTCTTGGAGGTGGAGTTGGACTCGATGCTCATCTCCTAGGCCATGATAGTAGTCGGATTCTGAGGTTGGACACTGGGCGCCACCCGGCCAATGGAGTAAGCCGCAGCATTTTGAAGATGGATCTGGATCAACCTCGGGTAGCGGATGTATGTAGTCGTGGTTCCCTCAATTCGAAATCATGTCGGGGAAATCTTTCCAAACCATAAGACGCGGTCCATAAAAGGTCATATCTCTTTGTCTAAGCTGCTTCATCGAGTACATCAGATCAACCAATCGATTATGCTGTTCATGATCTTCGGTATCGATCCTTGCACCTGCTGGGTAGATTTCCCATTCCCAGAGATCGTGCAGGATGCTCAATAGTTCCCGCTGCATAGCTTCCAAACCCGTTGTCTGTTCACCTTCTGATGGCCGGTATGGAGTTGCATCTGATGAACGGACTATAAGCGGAACCTGGACAAGGTCGTCAATACGTTGAGCGCCAGTATCAGGATCCAGTTCCCCCTTTAGTACTTCCTCTATAATCATACCCGCTACATCTACCTCGGGCTGACCGCTTGAGTACCTAGAATACCCACTAGTCTTTATATTAGACAAAGATAAGAGGGTCAAAGGGCGGGTGATTACCTTGTCTACCTCCTCGGTCATTTGCTTGTCACCGGTTGTATGGACAGGATCCATGCTGAGCGAGAATCATTGCCTAATCTCCTGCGTCTCCTGCTAGCAAGTCTCCCTTGGTTCTTGTTTATGCTCAACAAGAGCAACTTAGAGCCTTCTTGAATTCCGCCTGCGATTGACTATGCCCTGTAACAGTGCTTAATGACTTGATTTGAACTCAGCGGAATTTGAGTTGGACAGCTAGAAAAACACGCTGAGTGTACGAGAAACAGCTACCCTTATCCTTGGCTTGTTAAAGCAACGCTGATGGGTTTTCTATGTGTTATCGAAGTCAAAATGGTTGTTTCTATTACTGGAGAATATCTTGATTGACCGCACCCAGTGTTATAGACTGCTGAAGCTTACCTTGTTTTGCTACAGAAAGCTACTTTAATATTACTGACAGTCTACTCTCTTTCAACCTTTGTGTGAAAGCATAGATGAGCAGCAAATTCTATCAGTAATCCAAGTCTGCCGGGGAGTGTCTTTTGGTATCTTTGTAGAAGTTATATCAATGCTCATTTTACGGCTGTACTCCTCAGGATCTGGCCTTTGTTGTTTGGATATCTTTGCTTGCAGAGGTGAATATCGGTCGTACTTTCTGTTAGATACCCTCTGAAGAAGTGCCAGTCCCTCTCCAACCGATATTGGCTTGGACCGGAGCAGAACCACTCTACCAGCAACATTGCCAACGGTTGCGGTTCAGCGCAGTGCACCGCCGCACCGTTAACTGAGTGTCGAGTTTCTGTATAGTGCATAGCCGTAATAGTATTCTAGCCTAGCCTTGTTTGTTGTAAGAAAGAAAGATAGGCCATTAGCCAAAAACACAGAGAGGGCATTTACCTCTCTTTCTTTCCCTTTCACTTTGTTTCCCTTGTAATGTAACTCATCCTTCTTTCCCTACCATCAGCCTGAAGTCTCCTCTCATCATCAACTCAACATACCCATATAAACACAAGCCACTCATCCTTCGGGATCTTGATATGGCTTCACCTTCTACCATCCCCTCCAACCAGGCCAGAGGTTGTGACGAGGAGCCGTCTTCCATCCAAGAAGACGCGAACCAACAACAGTCCTCTGGTAGCCGAGACTTCAAGGTATACTACTCATACTGCTGTACTATTAGAGTTAAACTAATATTTGGACTTGAGTTTGTTTGTTACAACTGGGGCGTTACCCCGCATACATTTTCACGTCAATATGTCTGCGCAGTCGCGGCGCATTTTGATAGACTACCAGACAGCGAGGGAAATCCGGATCAGAAGGACCCTGATAAACAGGATTACCCGAAGCCATTCAAGAATTGGGAGGGGTTGAGTCTACCGTGGACTGGACCATCGCATGAGGCTCCATGCATGGTCGATAATACCACCTTCTGGGCCCAAGGAGAGGATCCGGACGTGTTTCGAGCTCTCTGGACACCTGGGCACCCTCAGATGGCGGTTTTGGGTTACCACAGCCGCAACCTACCGGGTAAGCGTCGGAACTATATGATGATGGCACCCAAAGTCTACTTCTAAGTTCGCTTACTTTCATGGGCTCTGGAAAGGCTATTGGTTAGCGTGGTGTTAGATTGTCATTTGGTAGGGGGTGTTTGGAGTCTCTGGATTCTTTGGTTATTTCCGATTGGTTTATCTGCTGTCCGGTAGCCATGGCTGGTCCATGGCTTAATTGACTTTTGAATTGACTTGTTTTGGTCGACTTACTTTTTTATATTCATTTACTTATCTGAATATCCCCGTAAGAATGACCAGGTATAAGATCGTCAGGCATACCCATGTAGCCATACACTGCACCTACTAGAACACCTACACGTCTGCGATCCGGAGCACGCACACCGATATCTGTAGGCCCCGGGTCGCTTTACCTGTACCTTGCCTGCAGCAAGGCATCGCGTATATCCGTAAGCACCTGTAAAGAGGTGATCCTGGACAGGGTTGAGTATAGGTCCAAGCTCCAGCTTAACTACAAGCCTGAAATCGTGAGGGAATCTAGACAGTGGTACAGGTCTTAAAATTATGGTCTTGCAGGTGGCCAGGCGCACTGGACTTATGCATACTATATAATATTGGCAGAATATTCCAGTTCAACCCCAGTAGAACACAGCTACCGCCTTAATTGTTATAACCAAGAGTATGATATCCTCACACCTACGTCATCCCAAAGCTATCCAACTACGCAACCGCAACAAAGAAGTTCTCCTCCCCCTGCTTCGGCTCAACCCGACTCATCTTCACCAACTCATCCCCCACCGCCAAGCGCAACCTCTCCGCCGTCGCCGGACTATCCAGCACCAGCGCCTCAGTCACCCCGTTTCCGGCCCGGGCACTCCGCAGCGCATCGCGCAACGCGAACAGCACCGTCGCCCCGAGGAACAACGGCGGCTCGCCGATGCCCTTGCTACTCTGTACCGAACGCAGATGTGACCAGCTAACGCCCTGCAGGAAACTGACATTGAACTCCTGCGGGATATCGCTGAAGCCGGGGATCTTGTACGTGCCCGGCCCACGGGTCGCCAGCTGACCCTGCCGCGTCCACAGACTCTCCTCCATCGTGAACAGGCCCTGTCCCTGCACGAAAGCGCCTTCGATCTGTCCGTAGTCAATGGCCGGGTTGATCGAGCGGCCAATGTCCATCTTGATGTCCGTGCGCAGCACCGTGTGGTCGCCCGTCAGCAGGTCTAGCTCCACCTCCGTGCAGGCCACCCCCTGCGTGAAGTAGTAGTACATCGGTTTGACGGTGTTGACGTCGTAGTTCCCCCACTCGTAGCCGATGCGCGGCATCTTCCAGAATCCGCTCGCTGAGAGACTCACGCGGTCGCGGTATGCCGCGTGAGCGAGCTGGGCCATGGGCGCGTCGCGCCCTAGACGCTCCCGGTACGGCTTCAGCCGCTCGTTTAGCTGTGCGCAGGCGTCCTGGATTGCCATGCCATTCAGATCGCTGCCTGAGGATGCGGCTGTCGGCGACGCATTGGCTGTCTGGTATGAGGACGTGTCGGGTGTGAACACACTCTCAAACGGCACGCCCAGCGCCTGCGCCGCCACCTGCGCCATTTTTGTGTAGAGCCCCTGGCCCATCTCCGTGCCGCCGTGATGCAGCAGTACCGACCCGTCCGTGTAGATGCGCACTGCTGCAGCGGCCTGATTGAGGTGCAGGGCCGTGGAGAACGAGATACCGAACTTGGTCGGAATCAGCGCGATGCCGCGTTTGCGCCACCGGTGCGCGGCGTTAAATGCGGCGATTTGGATGCGACGCTCGTCGTATTGAGCTTCTGCGCGAACCTGCTCCAGCAGCAGCGGGATGTGCCAGTCCTGGTCGATCTGCTGGAGGAAGGGCGTGCGTTGGCCGACGGTATAGAAATTACGAATGCGTAGCTCGTCAATAGATATATCCAAACCCTCCGCAATGGCACTCATGATTGACTCCGTGAAGAACATGCTCTGCGGGGCGCCGAAGCCACGGAACGCGGTGTTGCTGTGGGTATTGGTGCGGCACACCCACCCTCGGATATGCACGTTGGGGATCTCGTAGCAGTTGTCCAGGTGTGTGCAACAGCGATCCATCACCGCACCGCTCATGTCAAGGGAGTAGCCCGCATTGTTGTAGCAGTCCGCTTGTAAAGCGACGAGCTTGCCGTTCCGCGTGACACCCACCTTCCAGCGGCATTGTATTGGGTGTCGCTGGCCGCTGGTCATCATGTCTTCATCTCGAGGCAGCATTGCACGTACCGGCCGGCGAGCTTTCTTCGCTGCAAGTGCTACTAGGCAGGCCAGCTGCACGCTGCGCGATTCTTTCCCGCCAAATGCGCCGCCCATGCGCTTGACCTGTGCGTTGACGCGGTTGGCAGGGACATTGAGAACCTGGCTGACGAAGTCCTGAGTCTCCATACTGCAATCACGTTAGCAAGGTCTTTCAGCTCACGATACCAGGACATAAGAGATGACCGAGGGATGACATACGTGTTCTGCGTCGAAGACCAGATGTCCATACCGCCATCCTCTGTCCGCGGGATCGCCATGGCGGCATTGGTCTCGAGGTAGAAGTGCTCCTGGCCTCCGATGCGCGTCTTGCCTTCAAACACATAATCACACCGCGCAAACACGGCGTCCATCTCCTCGGGCGGCGCGCCTTTGCGCAACTCCTTGCCATGAGGGAAGAAGCTCTGGGCGGCGATGGCCTCATCGATCGTGAGAATTGCCGGCAAGTTCTCGTAGACGACCTTCACCGTCCGCGCTGCCGCCTGGGCCTGCAAGGCGGTGTCGGCGTAGACCATCCCGATCGGCTGGCCGTGCGCCCGCACCTCGTCCACTGCAAAAAACGGTTCGTCGTGCACCACTGGACCCCACAGGTTTTTCTCCGGTGGGAGACAGGTGTGATCGATGTACCCAAGTGCCAGGCCTGAAGCGAGCGCTGGCGCCCAGTCGACCGAGACCAGCTTGGCGTGCGCGCGCTGCGAGAGCACCATTGCGCCGTATAGCTGCCGATGCTGCGGCGGCATGTCATCGATGTACTCCGCTTCGCCTGTCGCGTGCTTCAGGCCGGACAGGTGTGGAAGTGCCTTTCCGACCACGCGCTGCTCGTGCGGATTGATCTCATCGCGGGTGCCTTGCGAGAGCTGGCGGCGAATCTCATCGGTCAAGTCGGACGGCACCGGCGACGACCCGGGCAGGGGAAACTCGGCAAGTACCTCGTGCCAAAACCGCATGAAGAAAGACGCAGCCAGTGTCCGCCGGTAGGTCGCCATCCCACCGGGAACCCCGAAAGCAAGGTCGAAATCTTCCAGCAGGGCGGCCACTGTCGCGTCCAGGATGGCTTGCGTACCCCATCTTGCGCCTTGGAGGGTGGCACGGGCGCGAGGAGCGAGCACCGTGGTTGGGGCCATGCCGCCGTATGCGAGAGTAACGTGTTCAACGATATTTTCGGGGTTCAAGCGCACGCGGAACCCTGCCGTGACGATCGCAATGTCGTCGTCTTTGCGCTTGGCTTGCTTGTAGGATTTTGCAACCTCGCGACAGCCGGGAGGAGGCAATGGGATGCGGATTTCGGTGATGAGGCTGCCCTTGGGCAGGGTAGTCTTGCGATACCCTAGGAACATCTGCTCCATGGGCAAAGCGTGGTCGCCGTCGACGGTACGCGCGATAATCGTGGCGTTCACGGCGAGAAGAAGGGGGTTCATGTCGGAGATGGGTGAGGCCGTGGCGATGTTGCCTGCCAACGAGGCGGCGTTGCGGATTTGACGCCCCGCAAAGTAGCGAAGGACCTTGGTCATTGCTGAGAGTACCGAGCTAGAAGATCCCAGAGCTGGAGCTAGGCGCCGGCATTCCTCCTCGACGTCCGTGAGCGAGGCATTTCCACCGATAACCAGCTTCTTTGCGATACCATCCTGCTCCACCAACCTGATTTGCGCCAGCTCTTCGACGTCACCCACGAAGATCGACACGGCAGCCTCCGGGCCCTTGAAGCGAACATCAATCTGCACCTCACTCGCACCGCCCACCAAAGTGGCCGATGGATAGCGAGCCAGGAGGTCGAGCGTTTGCTGCACAGTGACCGGACGCACCCAGACTCTTCGGTCGTCCGCATAATACAGCAACTGAGGGACAAACTTTGCCAAACCCGGCGGATAGATCAGCTCCGTGTGTGGCTTATACGGGATGAAGTCGAATTGAGGGATCGCTGGGGTCTTCTCCTCAGGCGTGGTCAAAGGCGACGAACCAGTTCTTTCAGAATTGGCCGAGCAAGAAGACGACGAAGGGCTATCACGACAACAGCCTCCTAGCCGTCCACACGACTGGGATGGAAGAACCGGCAGCTCGACAGATTCGCTTAGTGTATCCGTGGGTAAAGGAGCGGGAACTGTGGATCCCACCTGCGCCTGCAGATCCTCCCGAATAAATGTCTTGGCGGCCTGGAGAATAGGCATGTAGCCCGTACAGCGACACAGATTCCCGTCCAGATGGCCCTTCATCTCAATATCCTCTTCGGAGAGATTGAACGCGCCAGTTTGTGGGTCATATGCGTTACGGATGATGGCGTATAGACTCATGACGATTCCCGGCGTGCAGAATCCGCACCTGCAATCAACAGCCATTCAGGTTAGATACTAGAGGCACATTGAAGCTGAAGCTGGAATTATCATCATACTGGGACCCATGGAGCTTTGCCAGACGTTCTTGCAGCGGATGCGGGTGGTCGACGTTGCCGAGGCCCTCAACGGTAATGACATGCTTTCCTACCACTGCGACGTTCCACGGGACAGGTCAGTATAGTTAGTCCATGGTTCGAAGCTCAAGCTCAAGCTCAGCTGGGACGCGGCCACTCACCTCCTACCAGCGGATAGAGACAGGCATTCACGGCCCTGTGCACCAGGCGTCGACTGCGGGGGTGTCGCGTCTGCAACACCACCGTGCAGGCACCGCAGCCCCCCTCGCCACAGCCCAGTTTCGTCCCCGTGAGGCCATCCTGGGCCCGGACGAAGTCGAGTAGCGTCCAGTGAGGGTTGGGATTGGTGAGGGCGATGACTGTGCCGTTCAAGTAGAAGGTCAGCGTGGAGGTGGCATTTGAGGTAGTGAGAAATTCAAGGAGAGGATGAGACGGGTTCATGGTGATCGTGGAGTCATACTCAAAACATTTGAACCGAGATCAGGAATGGAGCTGGACCGGAGGGCGAAGCGGCAAGAAAAGCAAATGGTCGACACGTGATGCTGCACGCAGTCCTCCAATCAACGAAGCTCTAACACGAAGCAAGAATGCCCAAAGAGACGTGGCTGGAAGGTTACACGTCAATCGACATCATCATGCATACCCCCCCTTTTGCAAAGGTGGGGAGAGGCAGGAGTGGGGAGTTTGGCAGGTGGGTGAGAACTGAGAACATTCCTTGATGGGGCTAATCAGCCAAGTAGGGGCTAGAGATGCATACAGATTGACTATGGGTAGGATGATTAGATAGACTGATGGACAACAGATAGCTAGACCTCGACTAATCCCATGAGCACCTTTTGCGCATCGTGGACTACCGTCCAGCGGATTGTGGCCAGCTGCTGCGCCATCGACCGGATTAACCCGCGCATGTCGTACTGATATTGCGGGCTCTCGTTGACTCTCTCGCCCGTCAAAGCCACCAGCAAATTCGCCAAATCCAGACTCACGCGATGACTTCCCACTTCACGCACGCCTCCCCCATGTACCGCCCAACATACTAATGTGCCCAGGTACAAACACCACGGGAAATGAAACGCGTTCATGGCCTCCTGATCGCCTTGGCGGCCGGAAACGGCCTCCCGCACCATCCATGCCGCCTGCTTCGCCGCTTGCATCACCATGTTCGAGCGCACCCAGTGGGCCAATGCCTGAGCCGACCGATCACGATCCGTCTGAGTGACCGTCCGTCCCAGGATCGCGGTAGCTCCCGCTCCGATCTGTATATCCAGAACCTCCACTTGCAGTGCCAGCTGGGCCGCGCGGTACAGCACCAGCGCCGCGCTATGGAACACTCCCGCCGCACTTTCCGACGACCCGGGCTGGCCTTCACCCAGCTTCATCGCCAGCCCATCGGCGTCGAAGTCTGCTTTCCAAATCTCGTACGATCGGCTCATGCGCGGGATCCAGCTCCCTACCCGCTCCGGGTCCTCGCCGCGTAGGATCGTCTGATCTCGGCGTTTGAGATCCGCGGACACGGACATCAAGCCGTGCAGGACCACAAGACGCGCCAGTGGATTGAGTTGTCGCGGTCGCGGAACCGCCGCAGGGGTGATGTAACCTTTCAAGACGGTGAGGAATGACGGCTCAGAATACGCGAGCGAGAAGCACAGGGAACCCTGTCTCGCCCAGGCCTCTGCGGTCGGTGCATCCCAAAGGGCAGGCGCGCACGGCAACGCGGAGCGGATCTCGAAGGCAGACATGCATAGCGACTGCGAGAATAGGACCGCATGCTGCACATCCCACATGAAGCAGTGCATGGCCAGGCGCTTGCGCTGTTCATCCTCCATGGCCTGCTGCCAGCTACTTACGAGGTCCTCGCCCGCGGACACTGTGGGTAGTGCGGAGGACTGAATCGTGCAACATGTGCTGCGCCGAATGAGCTTGATCAGCACACAGTGAAACAGCTGGGCGCGCTCACGTTGCTTGGGGCCTGCGCGCATCTTGCCAAAGCAGTCAATGATCAGCATTGCTTGGAGGATCCAAAGGGGAGGTTGGGGCGAGAAGTCGACATGGCAGAAGAGTTGCGGTCGTAGAAAGTCGTGAATGCCCACCGCGAGCTGGTGTGCCTCGCGGCTGCTGTAGGTGGCACCCATGGAGAGGATTGCGGCCAGCAGGATCAGGTCCACGGTGTTGGGATCGAAGGAGGGCGCGTGGATAAGTGGATAAGTCACGTTAAATCGCGTGAAGAAGAGATCGCAGTACTGCTGGAGCGCCGACAAATCAAGTAGGGCCGAGTCGAGCGGAGTGGGCTTGCCGTCTAGCCCTGAGGGCGGATTGCGAGCCACCATCCCGAGTATCCCTTGGCGGGCCTCCTCGGAGAGATGTGGGAGGGACGGTGTGGAGGTGTTTTCTGCAATTGTGGCCAGACGTCCCAACCAGTTCAGCTCCAATAGATCAGAGTGATCTGGGCTGCGCTCAACGAATGAGGCTGCTTGTAGCAGAACCGCCGAGGGGTCAGAGTCCAAATGGGTCCAGGCTAGTAAGTCAGGTTCGAAAGGGATGTCGAGGGAAGCGAAGGCGTCGTTCAGCGAGACCACATCGAAGAGCCAGTTGTAGTTATGTGTCGCCGCAAAAGGCATGTTGAAATCAGTCGCTGTATAGTGCTCTTAGCACCCCCCTGCATGATGGGACAGGATCTCCTACCTGTGTCGAGACTGAGGAAGTCCTCTATCCCCTCTTGACCCAGACTCCAAGATCCATCCGCCGCGTCAAATTGCCCCGGTATGGGCTCAACGTATGGCTCGAATGGTCCATTGGGAAGTATAGGTGCTAACAGCGGATCTGGATCATCCAACGAAATGGTTGTCGGACCGCTCGTAGAGCGGGGTGGCGATACTGGCGCCCCTGGTATCGGGTCCGACTCGCGGGAGCTGATGACTGAGACAACGCACGACGAGGCCGACGATGAACGCATGGAGCCAGCGGACCCCGAAGCAGAGGACTCGGGGATGTTGCTATGAGGTGCGCTGGCTCGAGACTGTCGCTTGGGCGGTCGCACAACGATGGATCCATCGCCAGCTCGACGAGTGCGTTTGCGCGTCTCCAGCACTCCCAGTCCCGGACCTCCGGCTTCCTCATCGCGCTTGGCATGGCGTAGGAGATGACGACTGAGAAGATCGGGACGGTGGAAGTGCACGGAGCATCGTTCGCAGATGTAGCCTTGGCGAGCTTGTTCATGGTTCAAAGCATGGCGTCGCAAGTGTTCGGCGCGCGTGAAACTCTTGCCGCAATTGGGCCAGTGGCAAGCGTGTAACTTCATGAGGGGCCATTATCAACCCAAGTCAAGTAAGGAGACAAGGAATGAGTGACAGACAAGACAGGCCAGCGTGACCCCCCAACCTAGGGGAGATTAAATAGCTTTCCAAGAAAGTCATTGCATGGATGACTGTAGGAGAGCGCATTGATAAGCGGGGAAAGAGGGACTGAGAGCTGAGAAAGACAGGGGAGGGGAAGATGATGATGAGGGGGTGGCGCCGGGCGAATGACAGCCTGTCAAACTATGTCCAATAATGAATCCTCTCTTATCAGCACACACAGATAGTGAAGTTCGGAGATCAACTTGATAACTCTACATTATCTACCACCAGACCTAATAGAACACAGTATCCACTCTACAGGAAGTAGCGCCAGTCAGGACTCCGCTCGCCTTCGACCAAGTAGCGAGTCTCCACGGCTTCAGCTCGCCGTCGCACGCCTTGACTTCGGTCTCGTTGCCGATTCTCCATCCTCATCCAGATACTTAGCGACGTCACCACCACAATGCACACCCCATTACAGCAGCATGTTGCCACTAGAGTTGGAATAAATCTGTCTCAGTCAGTGGACTATCACTGCATCTCTCAAGTAGGACCTACTTAGGTGCATATTCAGTTCGAAACGTCGCCGCGCTTAGTACTCCCGCCAGATTTCCCAACCCGACCAGAAAGCCGGTGTTGGCTGCTCGCGAGCTCTCGTGAACGTTGTTGTTGTTGTGCCACGCATGAACCAAACACGAGGGGATATAGGCGCCAGCTGCCATGAGGAAGCAGGCGAAGTACGCCACGCCTTTGTTGCTCAGCACGTCGATTGTCGCCAGAATGACCATTCCGATCAGTGACAAGACTAGCGAGAAAACGGTGTGCAAGCCTCGCTCGCAAAAGTAGTCTGAAGACCATGCTACACAGAGCAGAACAACTGCACCCACTAAGTTCGGTGCGACAGTCCAAAGATTCGTTTTGACCGTCGAGTATCCGAGACGTTCAACAATCTGGACCGGTCAGGAACGTATCTCGGTAAGGGATGACAGGATCAATACTTACTAAAGGGAAGAAGTTCATTGCTGTCGCATATGCCACAGGGTACGTAAAAGAGATCACACACCAAACCAGAAACTTCCAGTCGCTCCACATGTGAAACGCCTTCTGCAGGTTTAGTCCTGATTCCACCTCAGCTGAGGTGTCGCGCAAGACGCGGGCTGTGGCAGCCGCCCGTTCGCGTTCCGATAAGAACCAGGCTTTCTGGGGTCCCTCAGGCAGCCAAAAGAAGGAGACTATTCCGGTGACAAAGGTCATACTGCCCTCGATGATAAATAGCCACTGCCATCCCTTAACCGCGGGGTCATTGATCTGGAACACCCCGAACGAGATGAGCCCACTGGACGCTGAAGCTAGGACAGCGAAGCACTGGATGATGGCCAGACGAAAGCCCATTTGGTCACGGGTGTAGAAGAGGGTGAGGTAGAAGGTTGCTCCGGCGAAGAAGCCCGCTTCAAACACGCTGGGGAGATCAGCACAAATCACTCAGGTTACGACGGTCGCTTACCCCAGAATCATACGCACGGCGATCATACTGCCGAAGCTTCTGACGGCACATTGACACAGGGCCAGGATGCCCCAGACGACGGTCACTGCCAGTCTTAGCTATGCTAATCCACGACGGCGGTGATTACACTTACTGAATGAGAGCGTCACGCGACCGGAATAGCGCTTCAAAAGGAGGTTCCATGGTAAATCACACAGCCCGAATGGAATATAGAACAGCAAGACCAGCAAGGAATAGTCGTTTCCCTTCAGATGAATATCTTGGTCAAGTCCATCGGTCTTGGCGTTAGCCAGATTGCTCTGCGGGCGTCAAAATTGAGTATATTCTTTGACACGAAGTCTGGACTTACCCGATCCATGCAGTCGAAGAAGTACATCTCCGCAGTCAGTCACTGGCAGTGAAGGGCTAAGTAGGTGAGAGGCATGCTCACTAGACACAACAAGGGCAAGACAAACAGGTCCACCTTTCGCACTGGAATTTGTCAGAGCTCGTCTCGTAACGCAGAGATCGACATACCAAATGACCTCTCGGCCTCATGATCGATGTAAACTTCATTCTCGCCGGTTTTCATCTCCGGATCTGATGAAGGTGCTGCGTTTTCGGCCTTGTCGAAGGATGACATGGTGATTGAGGGTGACAGCAGTGCGAGTTACACCACCCCTTGATTGTCAGTCTGGCTAGGAAGAGGTGGTCAACGATGATATATCAAATAATGCATCCTGATTCCTCTCCCTTGCATCTCCCTTGCATTTGCCGTGTAACCCACTCTGTTCTCACTATCAATCCAATTGCCCATTGCGATAAACTCGCCTTTCCAGTTGGCGTCTTTCCCCGCACTATTGTTAGTGTTATCGGTCTTTCCTTATCGTGGAGTGTTCTGGCCTTGTTTTGCCTTCGTTTTCCCCCATTCTTTGCTCTCTTTGCCATCCCCCACTCTTGACGATTTCTGAACTTCCATCTCCAGATTACCATCGGCCTTCTTTCCGACTCTCGTCCACGATAGTGACCCCTCAACGCGCGATAACGCCAGCGATAAAGGAGATATATTGGCCTGCCACAATGGCAAGCTCCCTGTTCACCATCCAGACCCGTGAATCCAGGCCCCTCCAGCAACATGTCCCCGAATGCGCCTCCGGTCCTTGACTTTTCCGTCTTCTACGGCAACGACACGGCCGCCAAAGCGAAACTGATCGATCAGCTTCGCGAATGCTGCCACTACAACGGTTTCTTCCAGATCACGGGCCACCGCGTGCCGCGCGAGCTCCAGCAGCGCGTCATGGGCTGCGCGCGGCGGTTTTTTGATCTGCCCCTCGAGGAGAAGTTGCTGATCGATAAGAGTGCGTCCCTATCGAACTCGTCAATGTTCTTTGCCCACGCTAACTCGCTTCTCTTTTCATAGATCGCAACTCCTTTAACCGCGGCTACGAATTGCTCCGGTCGCAGATGCTCGAAGTGGGTACCGGACCCGAGCTCAAAGAAGGTCTCTACATCGGCGAGGAGATTCCCGAAGACCACCCATATTTCCTACAGAAGAAGCTCAACAGTGGGCCCAACCAGTGGCCACCCACGGTGCCAGACAAGGACGAGTTCGAGCAAACCTCGATGGAATACTACCATGCCGTGTTCGACCTCGCCAAAAACGTCCTGGGTGCTCTTGCCCTGACGCTGAATGTCTCGGAATCCTACTTCGATCCACTGACGGACGGCGCAGTCGCCACGATGCGCTACTTGCACTACCCGGCGCAGCCGAAGGACGCGGAAGAGAAGCTCAATCGGGGAATCGGGGCGCACACTGACTTTGGCTGCATCACCTTGCTGTTGCAGGACGAGGTTGACGGCCTGCAGGTTCTGGATGCACCGACTGGCGAATGGCTTGATGTGAGTTCTTCCCTCTATTCGAGGATCGGGGATACGTCCGTCCTTCTGTCGGAAAATCATGAGTATACTAACCGGAAGAAGGTCGAGCCTGTGCCCGGCGCCTACGTCGTCAACCTGGGCAACCTGTTCATGCGCATGGCTAATGACCGCTACAAGTCCAACATCCACCGTGTGATCAACAAGTCCGGCCAGGAGCGATACTCGATCCCGTTCTTCTTCAGCGGTAATCCGGACTATCTCTGCGAGTGTCTGCCCCACTGTCGGCAGCCAGGCGAGGGGCCCAAGTACCCCCCGATCACGGTTGAGCAGATGGTGACGGCGTCGTACAAGGAGAGCTACGGGCGGGCGGAGAAATACAAGCAGGAGATAAAGGCGAAGATGGAAGTGGTGGCGACGTCGACAGCGGCTGTCGGAGCTTAGTGTGTGTACATTGTGCCAATAATATTGGTTATTTTCTATTTTTTTAGACCTTGGCTCACTAACGCCATGATTCCGCTCGGCTCGTCCACCAGTTCTTGATTAGACTGCTATGTATCCCCAGAATAACGAAGTAGGGGACTTTGGTCTTCCCACGGCTCTTACCGCACTTGCCCATCTTTGTAAGTACAGTACAGTACAAGACTCGACTTATGCATTCACTATATCCATGGTTTGTGAGGTGAATGCTGCTGGACCTCCCAAGGGATGTAACTCCTTCCTTTGTAGTACCAATTTAAATCAAATCAATCTAATTCAATGCTCTTTGTTCTAGAAATGAATGTATTGAGCTGACGACTGTAGGCGGTACACATTGATCACACTGGGCGGACCGTCGCTGGCCTTCACCCTCATCCGCTCCTTCGTCTTCACTCTTTCCGAAACCCCTCGCTACAGCCTCTCCAAAGGCCGCGATCAAGCCGCCGTCGACGCGGTCAAACACGTCGCCCGCCAGAATGGCAAACCCGAGCCCTTGACGCTGAGTATGTTCCAGGACATCGACAATGGACTGGATATCCCCTCGACCACTCTATCCGCGCTCTTGACCACCGAGATCCTCCGCGGGAACATGGAGGACTTCACAGGCTCACACTACCGGGCCCTGGTCGGGACCCGGTCTCTAACCCGAAACACATTCCTTATCTGGGGGTTCTGGCTGACAATCGGTGCGTCTTCCCCATCGCGCCTTTTGTCCTATACAGGGTACACGAAGATTGACCGGAAACCACTGCAGGAATCGCATACCCCCTCTACTTCAATTCCCTGCCCTCCTACCTCGCGACCAAATTCTCCTCGTCCGGCTCGCTAGACACGACCTACCGGAACTACTGCATCGAGTCCGCAGTGGGCGTTAGCGGGCCGCTGAGCGCTGCATACTTGGTGACGACGTTCTTCGGAAGGAGGTGGATGATGGGCCTGTCGGCGATCGTGACGGGGGTGTTTCTATTTGCGTACGCGGGAGTATCGGATGCGGCGGCCTTGTTGGCGTTTGCGCGCGTGACGAGGATGTTGGGGGATTTTGGTACGTTTGCCTTCTTATGTTCCATCTCGCCGGGGTGGGGGGGGTTAATGGGCAGATACCTTGTCGAAGTGAGGCTCAGATTGTGTCAGGGTATATCTCTTCTCAGAGAATACACTGTCTCCTGCTCCATCCATAACCCTGAGTCCGATCCACCTGTCCATCCCAGACCCTTCCCTCATCCTCCTCATCCTACTCCCCATCAATGACCAACCAAACACTATCCTCAGCCCATCCATTCGCCAATCATCCACCTCAGACCAATACTGATCCAATGTAACCTACGGAATACGCAATAATGTATGCCTTCACCCCCGAATCCTTCCCCGCCCCCCACCGCGGCACCGGCACCGGCACGGCCGCTTCACTGCTCCGGTTCGGCGGCCGCTACACCGATTTGATCGCCTCGCAGACGGGTTTCACCCCGGCGCCGATCTATGCGTCTGCTGCGCTGTGGGTGGTTGTTGGGGTGGTTTGCTTTGAGCTGCCGTTTGAGACGGCGGGGCATTTGGCTTTTTGATTTATTCGTGAGGGGGGTGAAGTTATCGGTAAGGCTCTTGCTGCTGGGTACGGTGCTTGGTATAGTAACATTGAATAGACACTGTCAGTGTCAGCGTCATCTACTCTACCCAACCACCATAACTATCCATCTATAAGCCATCTCTAACAGAGATAGTGAGTCCACTCAAATCAGTGCACAAACTCAACCAAAAATCAGTAGACGGCAAAAACCGATCATCGGGTATTTTCATGCTCGTCCAGTCTCCATCCCACCAGCCCCATCACTACCATTTCGGGTAAAACCGACTGTCGATCATGCCGTCCACCACCGATCATCGATCACCTGCTAATCGCCTTTCCACATTGCAAGGCCCCCAACTCTACGGGCATTTGGCTACCGGTAGTTTCGATCGTGATGCGGGTGTCCACTCTCGCTTTTAGTACGCTGCCGATCTGGATCTTATCGTATCTGATCACCCAGGATTTCAGGGTGCGGTTCCTGGCTAGATTTAGAGGTCATGGTTGCGAGTGTCCCTTTAGGAATAAAAATGGCTAGTGAAGTGTAATTTAGAGGTAGCCAAAGTAAAAATAAAATTCTAATGTTCTGGTATCTAATGCGACCGTGTGCGGTGGTGCACATCGGTCTGTGTGTATGGGTTGAGTTGCCTGTGGTGGCTAGCACCCGCCAAAAAGGTGATTTGGCTCGGGCGCTGGTGGTGCGCGTGGCCTGGCCGGCCTCGTTACTATTTCTAGTCAGAGCTTTGCCAGGATGGTCGGGTTCTCCCATGATACTCGAGGAATTGCGCCCACGACGTTGCCGGGCCGGACCTGGCGTGCGTCATATCGGGCGGCCCTCTTCGGAGCAGTGTCCTGAGTAGAGGTGCCAATTATTAACTGGCACAGTCGCGTGGTGCGGAGTTGATGATCGCCCACGACCAGTGTCGGCAGGATTTCGTAGATCCTGTGATGCGGTGCGGAGACTCTGTGATCTCGGTTGGGAACATGAAGACACTGCATAGCATCCAAGACCCAACCTCTGCCCTGGTCGCAGATTGCCATTCCAAACCCAACGGCTCAGTCGGACGGATAATCCAACGACATAGCCGTACAAATGTATGCTGATTTCAGCTAACCTCCAAACTAAACCGTCGTCACATGCACCTCCTGCTTCACACTAATCTGCGGCATGTACGTCTGCTTGGGCAGAATCGGGACCTGGTCCTGCCCTGTGGAAGAATACCGATCATTACCTGTCTCGACGGTGAAAAAGGTGGTGCCGTACAAACGATCATCCAAGGGGATGCGGTCCGAATCGTCCCGGGGGGTCTCGACCGACTGCAACGGCATCGACCTGCTGCGTTTGCCACGGGAGGAACTAGGCCATGTATTGTGGGAGGTCGAAGGGCGGAATTTGCGGAGGAGAGGGCGCAGGGTAGCCATGCTGCCGGCGAAAATACCGAGGCCGGTCTCGATGTTCGACCAGATGGCGATGGGGGTTGTTGCGTCTAAAACGAGGGAGCGTTAGTCGGGAAGAGGACTGGCAAGATGACTGGCAAAGAGAGAGGCGTACAAAGAAAGTCCTCGCTGCGAAGGGTGGGAATGTACGGAATGCGCACGATGACGGCAATAGAGGCACTGGACAGGATTAGCTTCTCAATTAACAGATGAGAACTGGGAACATACACGCAGGCCATGCTGAGCAGTCCAGCCACCGCTATCTTCACGTCACGATGCATCTTCAACTTCCGAACAAGCAGGATTGGGAGAACAGCGATTGTCAGATCAAACAGAGCCGAGGTGGCACTGAAAATGTACAGCGAACCCATCACAATATTAATGTTGATGCAAGTCCCCTTTCCGTATTCCTCCGTCGACAAACGCATCCAGAAATAGGAGAGCGGATGACACTGGACAAGCAGAAGGATGAAAAAAGCGAGGCCGGCCGCGATGACAAGAGCGACGACGATTCCGATAACGATCCGGTGCATCCGATCAATGGTAATGCGGAGGATGAAAATGCTGACGGAGATCTTGCAGAGAATCGAAGCAATGGCGTAACCGATATCGCAATAGAACCAGTACTAAAACGACGCGATCAGTCTGCTGTGTCCATTCCGGTTGTCCGGTCCGGACCGCTCACCTCCATAGCAGTCGTTCTTTGGTGGTTGGTGAGCTGCGTCAAGTGTTTGCCAGTGCCCCAGACACCCCCCTCGTACATACAGCCGCAGAACATCCCAAAGAACAACAGGGCCAACACCATGAAGCCATCATCCCACCCGAACGCCTTGACAATCCTGAACCGTACATAGCAACGCAGGGCAGTAGTGACGGTTGCTAGAACCAGGAAGACCACGGCAACGGCACGCACCGCCAAGCTGCGATCCTCAGCCATCGGAGTGCGTGTGGTGAGCCGTGAGCGTATCGTCGTGGTGGTGGTGGTGGTGATGGTAATGAGAATCCAACCATCTGCCCTGAGCCGGGGAAGACATTTTTCTTATTATTCTAGACAAGGTATGCAGCGGGATGACGTTCCCCTTCCGTCTCGGAGCACAGGATCAAAAAGGTGCCTGGCTTCCGATCGATTCCATCGCCTCGAAGCTGGGAAATCCAACCATGGATGACGGGCGTTACAGACCCTAGTCATTCTCCAGTAGTACCAACTCTGCGGTCCACCCGACACCGGCCGAGACAGACCCTACCAGAGCTGATTGGGTTGTGACCGAGGCACGGCCTGATCCAAGATTGACTATCGATCGGAAATCCACGCTGCAGTGGAGCTTCCGATGCCCGAGCGCTGAAATTTTCCCTCCGTTCAGCGCGCAACAAGCCGCGGCCCAGGCCCGTCCACGTGGTGGTGTTGGCCTCGCTACCAGATCTTGCTTTGTTTCGGATCGTTCCAGATGGTTGCTGTATACGTTGCAGGCTTGTATCCCGGTCGATGCAGGCCCCAGAAAATATCTGCCAGAGCCAGTTGCCCTCTCGGCTAACGGCAGTAGGAAGTAATTCGCGTGCACCCCCGTGATTACAGCTGAAAATGCACGGATCTTATCACGTAACAGTTAAATTAGTGGAGATGAGAACACGAGGGAGTTCGATTTAGCCGTCCCTGTTTTCTTTTTGCTACTCCGCTGGTATATTGGGGTTGTCACCCTTCATTCACAAACATTGAGCAGCGCAACCGTCGGGTCATGGTCGGATCTCTGGTCCGCGGTCGACACCCAAGTGTTCACATGGACATGTTCCACCTTCGCGTCCGTCGCCAGTGCCGAGCTGATGAACATATGATCCAGCTGCTCGCAGTTCTGGTTATACAAATAGGTGTAACGCTCTGTCGCCGCGACGCCGGCCGCTTCGTCAATCTCCTGCAGACCCGACTCTGACGCAAATACTTCCAACGGCTGCACAAAAGAGTATTCATTCCAATCTCCCGCCGCAATAACTCTAGCGTCGGCTACCTCCGCGAAAATAGATGTCACGAAAGCCTAGTAAAGTCATTAGCTTCTCGGGGAACCCATAAGCGACTGTCATCTCCGCCGAGACTTACCGCAACCACCTTAGCCTGCGAGGTTCGCGTAGCCACCCAACCATTAACAGGCGGTCGAAGGTCCCCCTCGAGAGAGGAGCTGCCGTACTTGGAGGTCATGTGTACGTTGATGGTGTAGAAGCTATTCTTCCCATCTACGGTCTCCCATTGAGCCACCAGTGGTTTGCGACTAACGTCCCAGGCTTCGTTCGTCGGGTCAATCAATCCCGGATTGTAGGTCAAACCGCCTCCGGATTTAACGGCTGTGCTCTTCGTGCTTGTGCCTGGGTTGACATTGCGCAACTGCACAACATCCGGGTTGTACAGGTAGGCGCAGCGGATGTTACCACCATGCTCGCCGCCGTTGGTGTCGTCGGTCGGATCGATGTCAATGAACTCGTACTGAACTCCGCCTTGCTCTGCGATCGAGCTGGCGAGCGTCGAGAGTGTGAGGTTCGCCGATACCACTGGTTGAGAAGATAAGTGATAAAATCTCTATCTGCGAAGGGGATAACACCTACCGCCGTCATCGGTTGACCCATCATTGTCTTGGATTTCCTGGAGGAAAACAATTGTTGGGCTCTGAAGGTAAGTTGCAATATGCTTAGCGATTCCAGTGAGCGTCGATGAATCCGGACTTAGGTTATCAACATTGTAGTCGCTAACGGTGATAGCCTTGCAAGTTCCGTCGGACACCAACGAAGTCTTAGATACCTCGGTCGCGCTCGGCTCTGACACAGTCAGAGCAGTCAACGGCAGCAGAGAATAAAAGCCGTAAGCCTGAGTGATGATGCCCGTGATGTCTTCTAGTGTATCCCCCAACTTAACGTCGGTCGGGTTGTCGCTTCCGTCCAGCGGCGAACCGATCAGGATGGCTTCGGGGTTGGAATCTAGACAACGCACGAGTCAGCGATTGAAACGCCATTGAAGGATCGGCCGAGCAACCTTTGGCAGTCATCGTCAGCCCTCCGCGCTCATTCTTCCCAGTCACCGTCCAGTCACCGATAACCCAGGTGTCGCCGTAGGAGTTGGCCTTGCTGATCGCGGTCAGGCCCGACAAGGTGGCCAACTCTCCGCTGAGACTCTGCCAGAAGTCCATGCCGTATGCGGTCGGATCCAAGACGGGGTTGGCATTCGAGAGCTGGTTGCTGTTGCCCGGCAGACTGAACACATCGCCGTTGTCCAGCGAGGTGAATTGCTCGGTGGGAGGGCTCAGACCGCCCTTGCCAATCACGATTGGGGTCACCGTGTTGTCGCTTGAAATCACCTCGATATCGGTTGCGGACTCGATCTCTGTCGAGTAGACATACTTTGACGAGGACCGGTACTCTGTGACCTTACCGCTCAGAGTGATGATATCGCCCACGGCAACGCGTTCGGTCGCGCTGCTACCGTAAACATAGACCGAGTTGGAGGTGCGGTCGTCGGAATCGGCGCTGGTGGAGCGCAGATAGAACCCTGAGGAGCCTTTTGCAGTTACCAGTCCCTTGAGACCAGTGATCTGGGATCCTGCATAGGGGGAAATGTACCGATCGCCCGTGATCTCGTTGATGGTGACTGCAAGCGCGGTCTGCAGCAGCAGCGCGGTTGCGTAGAAAGCTCGCATTTTGCTGGCTGGCTCTGTTGAAAGCTGCTCTGCTGCTCTAAGGTCAATCGATAGAAGGCATCATGGTGGTATAAATGCTTGTTCAGAGAAGGAGCTTCATCCAATTCCAGACAAAAGGAAGTGAGCTGCAGCTGAGAGAAAGTGAGGAGAATTGGACCACTTAGAAGTGGTGATAACACCCACGTTGAGAGATACTGCAGCCAAGCAAGGCAGCTACTCGGCACGATGTCACCTTAACCGGAGCCGACGGGGGATATAAATTAGAATTAATAGCACAAGTCATTATAAGTGATAATCAAGCCATTTATTACTCTTTGGAGACTCCACAAATCCTTTCGACTCCTGCATTGTACCTTATCTACACCTTGGCACCCCTCAACTCTGCATAAGATTCATTTCGCTAAAAACACACCATTCCATAAACCAAGCTTCTCACCCAGTCGTGCTCCCGCGTTTCTGCAGGCATAATCCTAGCTCCTGATTATTCCTGCAGATACTATAGATGGCAGTTAAACATGCAATATCATCTATGATCATGCCGCTGAAAGCCACTAGACAACGCCACTTCCGCACGTCCGCACCACGGTCCCCAGCCAACATGCGTCATTCGTCAGCGTCCATTCAGTTGCGCATACCAACATCCTGCTTCAGGGACACAATGCGGTTCAACACAACGCGGTCTTCCGTAGAATCCGAATCGACAGACTAATTTATGGTTAGCGGGCAAATATCCTGGAAATTGTGAAAGAGGAGAACTCACGAAGTAAGCGACACGCATGCCCTGGAAACGGACACTCTCCGGTCCACTCTTGCCCTTCTCCTTCTCGCCGGCAGCCTCCGGCCAGGGAGCTCTGCGACGCACCTCATCGAAGCCCGCCTCAATCAAAGCATCCTTGTAGATGGTCTCACTGTTGGGGTTGATGTCATTCAAGAAGCCACCCTCCGCGGAACCGGGGTCCTCCGACTTGAACAGCTGGTCGTGAATACGGACCTCCACCTTGCGCGACTTATCCGGGACCCACTGGATGTAGGTCTTGGGCTTGCCGCCCTCCTTGTCCCAGACAGCCCGGATCTCGGTGACCTTACCATCAGCATCCTTGGTGAAGGTGGTGGCCTTAACGGGGTAGGGTGCCCGCCAGAGACCGACGCTCTTGCCGGGGGCCAGGCGGAAGTAGCCCTTAGCATCCTCCTCGCGGAAGTCAGACCGATCGATGTAAACGGTCTTGGTCAGGCGGATCTCATGGGTGCCCATGGCAGGGTTCTTAGGGGAGAAAGGAATATCGCAGTCAAGCTGGCTGGCCTCGACAGTCTCGAAGTCCTCGATGACGACCGGAACAGGGTCAAGCACAAGCATCAACCGGGGAACACGGCTCTCGAGGTACGTCCGAACTGACTGCTCGAAACGCGAGATCTTGATCAGACTCAGAGCGGTGGTCACACCGAGCTCGTTGATGAAGGAGAGGATGGCCTCAGGAGGCACACCACGCCGGCGCAGAGCGATCAGCGTGTACAGGCGGGGGTCGTCCCAGCCGCGGACGTAGCCGTCATCCACCAGCTTCTTCAGCTTACGTTTCGACATGACGGTACCACTAATGTTCAAGCGACCATATTCGCGCTGCATGGGCTCGTAGACGCCCAGAGTGCGGTTCAGCCACTCGTAGGAAGTGCGGGAAAGCTGGAACTCGGTCGTGCACAGACTGTGCGTGATGTTCTCGAAGCTATCACACAGGCAGTGGGCCTATTGTGGTATTAGCAAGAACCACCTCACAAAACTGGAATCACCACTTACGAAATCATATGTAGGATAAATACACCACTCGTTCTTGGTGCGGAAGTGCTCCTGCTTGAGAATACGGTAGGCGGCGAGATCCCACATCTGAGGGTTGGGGTCCTCGATATCCTGAAGCATCCGAAGGAAGGCCGTCTGGGGCTCATATTTGCCAGCCTTCATATCCCGGAACTTCTGGAGGTTGGTCTCCACGTCCTGCTCTGCGTGCTTGCAACGATATCTCGGACCGTGGTTCTCTCCTCCGCGCTGGAGCTTTATTTCAGTGTCGCTGCAGTGGCAGACGTAGGCTCTGCCCAAGGTAATCAATTTCTCGGCCTGGTCGTAGAGCTTCTGGAAGTTGTCGCTCGAGTGGGTGATAGCGGCGGGCGTGAAGCCTGTAAAACAACCTCATCAGCACATATACCCCTTCCAATGGCATGCACGCCTCATACCTAGCCACTGAATGATCTCCTCAATAGCCACAAAGTATTTCTCCTCCTCGGCCTCGGGGTTCGTGTCGTCGAATCTGATCATTAGTCTCGTCGCATACTATCGGGTCGGGGATTCGAGAGAGGAATACCTAAGAATCTTCGCAAATGTCAGCAACATTCTCTCTCACATCACGCATAGAGTCAAAAACCTACCGTCTTTCCACCGTAATGTCTAGCAAAACCAAAGTTCACGGCGATCGCCTTCGCGTGACCGAGATGCAAGTATCCATTGGGCTCGGGGGGGAATCGCGTCAAGGGCGTGACCGCGCGCTCCTTGTGAACGGCGGCCAAGAAGCCCTGCTTGAACATGGCATCCGGGTCGATATGCTCCTCCTCGGGCTTGGGAGTGGCCGCAGGCTTGGGAGTGGCTGCGGGCTGCTTGGGGGCAGCGGCCGCGTTGGCCGCCTTCGCCGCCTTTTTGGCACGCTTCTGCAACCGCTTCTTCAACTCGCCCTTGGAGACCATCTCACCGGTCTCCTCATCGAGCTGGAGCTTGGCGGTCGCTTCAACGACAGCGTCCGTCATAATGGCGATTGGTATGGGGAAATTGAGGAGATGGGTGGGTACAAGTCGCGTGGTAACGGTGCTGAACGACAAAGATTGGACTTATCGGCGGGGTGGAGGGGAAATTCCGTGGGTGGCTTATGTCATCAGTCGGGCGTCACGTGGTGGCCGATAAGCGCCCAATTCCTTATCGGTATGATCTTCGGGCGCCCTCTGTGAGTTCTAATCCTGGGCAATTGTAGTCAGTACGCAGAACACAAAATCGACAGTGGGGTAAGTCAAGAGATAAGTATATTTAATCTAGAGACCACCCAAGATAACTATGTAGCTTTCTAAAATGATTCGCATTCTCCAGGCCGGTTTACATGGCACTGCTAGTAGTATAATGACTCACACCATGCAGTTGAACCAATATATAATGAGGTTGCATTGGCTTCACCGTTCAGCCATCCATAACTCATCAATGTCGTGCTACCTGAATGCACACACTACAAGAACAGAATTGATCGAATTGTCTCACATGCCAAAAATAACACATTGCTTCATTTAATCGCCAATTAACCAAAGCCACAGCATGTACACGCATGGGTATCTATCCATATGTTCACATTGTCATTATACGAAAGAACCGAGAACGAAAACTCTATTTCGGCAGCAGACTGCATCGGGCCTTGTGAATGGCGCAATTACCTAAACGTGTGAGTTCGGCCACAAAGTCTGCCACCATTGTTATATGCGCTACTTCGTTATTGGTCAATCGTTGCAGACGGATACCCTTGATGAGATTGGGAACTGAGCCAAGAAGCTTGAGATCGTCCTCGGCGCGTGAGTCAAGTGGAAAGAGTAAGATGTTGCAAAAGATAGTGAGGATGGCAGACATGGGATAGAAGGTGATCATCCTGGCAACATGATCAGTACATTGTGTATAAATTGAAGCTAGAGTAAGTTGAGAATGCAAGTAAACATAACGATGGAGGACTCACCAGAAGGCCTCAGGGAATATTGAATCTAAAGTAGGACGGAGAAACAACAAGGTGGAGCGACTGGCTTCTACCGCGAGCAGCATGCTCGAGTTAATCCCCTCCATCTCCCCACTATCAGAAATTGCCCAGGATTGACAGCGGCCAGCCGCGCGATGGATCGTTACCATCAAGTAGTGGTATTCCAGCCGAGAGACTATTGCCTGCATGCGAAGAAATGGGCTCTCATGACTTTGGAACGAGTGACCCAAAGAGGGACGGAATTTGGGAGGGACGTCCATCCGCCAACGCTCTAGCTCGTCATCGAGTTCTCGGATATCCTGCAGGAGTTGCGCATCGGACTTGAGCAACGACTTTGACGAGTATAGTGCCCGATAGGCTTTTGACTTGATAACGGTCATCCGGAGATCAGCCGGGGAGTGAGGTATACCGATATCGTCAAACATAGATCTATCCGCGCCCTCATCTTCGAGATATTGTATTTGCATGTAGTTGGCAGGAAGGGAGAGATTGCAGTGTTCGTCGTCGATGATTGGTGGCTGGCCAGATCGGAGACATATTTCCTTGTCATGCGAATAACAAAGCCAGAATAAGTTCCGCAGCTGCTTGTGATAGCGCCAGACACGATCCTCGACATCTTCTGGCGATGGGGGAGCTGGTCGCTCATTGGGTAAGAGCTGGGCGCCCAGGGAGAACATGACTCGGCAACCCATGGCGTGACATTGATTGGCGGCTTGAAGTTGACCAGAGAAGACTCGGTTCATGGTCTAGCAGTGTCAGTGAAGTCTTGATTCTAGGCAATTGAGCTGTTGGATTGGTAGCATAAACGAAGCAGGACTCACAAGCATTAACATCGTCTGGAAGGTGGAAAGGCTGACATCGTCCATGATTTGAGGCAGTAAATTCTGGGCTTTAGCCGCATAGACGTCCGCGTCCAGCGCAGGAAGGTTATTTTGTGGCCGAAGAATCATCGACATAAGTGCCAGGAATGCCATCACACAAGCTTTGGCACTGATCATCTCCACAGACGGGGGCCCTTGACATGAGGAATAGGCAAGGTTGACCGTCTCCTTAAACAGCAAAGAATCGATGAGAGGGAAAATGAAACGGATAAAAGAGGAGAAAAACTGCTGAACATACTGATCCACGACGGATCTGTCAGGAAGGTCGGGGATGCCCGCATAGCCATGTAGTGTATGTAGAAAGGAGCTGGCCAGCTGAGGTGTGGGTCTTTGCGGCTGCGAGGGCCAAAGGCTGTTAAATGTCTTGTCTTCGCCGGTGCGAGACTGCACCCATTCCTGGCCGTCCAGCGAGAAGCACGGAATACCATTGTACGAGGTCAAGTCGCCGACATAGTGTCCCGCGAAATGAATCTTACCGAAGCACAGACCACTACTAAGGCGAGGCATGTAGTCGCTAGCTGAGGGGCCATTCGCCGACGGCCGTGGGGTGCCGAAGCGGGCGGCCGGATCAGAGGGCCAGGACCCTTGGGATATCAGCGAGGTACAGTTACGCTGGTGCTCATTGGTGGGCATCGATCGCACCAGAAGCTGCTCCAGCTTCATGACCCTCTCCTCAAGGTCTTCTCCGGGTGCAGGCTTCTGTCGGGGCGGACTGCTGAGAAGTTAGACTAAGAGGGGAGGGATCCACATCAGACAAAACCCATACTGAGTCACTGGGGCCGGCTCGTTGGTAGCTCTCTTGCGTTTGCTGCCACCAATAGGCCGGTTGAAAGTGCAGTCCAGATTATGGTGGCGGCACCAGTTACAAGGAATGGATGGATCACATTGAATCTGAAGGTGCGGTGAGCTACGGAGTAGTGTACCAGAATGGATGCAGGAGTAAGCAGTACCTTTCTCCGGTGACACGAATCACAGGCCCGGGCCGTGCGGCGCAGAGGAGGCGCCGAGGGTTGACGCTCGCCACCATCCGCGGATGGAGTGGAGGTGGACAGCTGCATGAATGCTGAGGTCACTGGCTCAGGGTCTGTCTAGAAAAGGAACGGGCCAATCAAAATCAACCGAAAATGTCCGGAGCCATAGCAGGCTCGGGGATAAGGGAAAGGGGACAGGCCAGATCTGAGCTAGGATTGAAGGCCGAGAGGTTGACCTCGGAGTGGGATGCAGTCTCAGAAGGGGAGAGCTTGAGAGGTCGGACGCCAGAAACAGGCCCGCCATCGGCCCGCTGACTCATGTCGCTGACTCAGGGTTGAAACCCACTTAGATGCTAATTCTATTATGGCATCCACTGTTGAGACGGGCGGAAGTCATTCCATACTCAACTCGGAAATTAGCGCCGTCGTCTGCCAGCCTACAAGATATCGATCAGTGGGTGAACATACAGGGACAATACTCTCGATAGGGTTGACAAGCGTCGACACTTGGAAATAACAATCTAATGTCCTTCGCAAGTTCGGGCTCGACAATTATCAGCTTCAAGGCTTGCCTTGCCTGAGAAGCTTCCCCGAGCGCTATAGATCTCGAGCGATAGAGTGTGATCGACCACAGACTTCAATCGATTGTTCGGTTGCACGGCATAAGGAAATCACTTTCCATGGGCCTGAGATCGCAATGATTAGGAACGCGGTAAACATAGTGTCCGAAAAGCTGGTAGTGTATAGAAAGAGGGCGGCGCACCGAAGATTTTTTCGATAAGACAGAGGGCAAGGCGCTGCGGCTACCTCGGTTTGAGGCTCCGTCAGATCGATGGTCGAGAACCCCAGCTGCTTCATGAGCTTGTTCGGATCGCCTTTTTCGATGTTGAGGCAGGGTCTGCAGTGCAAGGTGTTTACTGCGGCAAGTGTATATGGCGTTCTGCTTTTATCAGTCGATCACCGAATGTCCATCGGAAATTAACAATGCATGCCAAAGCCATATATAGCTGTTGCTAGATTCTCAGGGGGACAACATTGTTCAATTCAATTCAATTCTTTCAAACCTAATCATGCCACCTATGTTTAGCTTGCCCCTAAGTGCCGTGCTGAAGCAAAAATGTGCGCTGAATGCCCAACCTCTATATAGTGACCTTATACAAAGAAGATTGGTGCGTACTGGTTGGCAGTTCTGAGCGTAAAAGGAAAGGTCATGTTTCTACGAGTCGAAGCAACTAAATAGCTATCTACGTAGAGCGGGCTGGGTTCCATCGATGGGGCTGAATTTCTTTTTCTTTTGATACATAGTAATTTGATATAGCGAGCTATTGAAGCCGCAAATCTGGTCCAAGATAAATCAAAGTAGCACCCTGCTCCGCCGAGCTGTGAAAACCACCAGAATCACCCCATTTCTTCTCCATGTAACCACGGTTATCATTGCCGGGCTGTAGAGAGATCCCCCAGTAGTCGTCCCCTATTTACCGCCCTTGTTGCCATCACGGCTCATCTCATCTTTGTTAGGCTTCACCATGTGCTGGATGCAATAATGCGAGGAATCGCGACCTTTCTGGCGCTTCACAGGGTCGCACTTCGCATTCCCCGGCGTTCCGCGCACTGAATGAAGCGCGAATCTTTCTTACAACCGCAAGTATAGGTGATAAATTGCTGGATGCACATGGTGAACTAGCTAGCTTGTATTAGACAAAGAACAGGATTCGCATTGCGAGTGTTAGCTTACGCAATTCCGGTGTGTGAGATCGTGTTTTGAACCAGGCTGTGTATGAACAAGCGAGCGAGCTGTTTCTGTCAAGTTGTTTTTGGGTTAGTCAGGGAATTATAAGGATCAGCTTCAGTTAACTCTGACTTAGTCTCAGGCTCAAGGAAGTAGTTGATGTCAACGAAGGTGGTTGGAGACGGAGGTGTGTGGCTAGTTTGGATAGTAAACAGGGACGATGAGGTTGGGATCAGTCGATCAGGCTGTAAGAAAAAAGCTATTGATACAGGATAAAACAAAGTAGTGGGAGTATTCACATGGTAGGTTAAATTCACACTTTGGACTAAGTACCTAGCCTCTCTCCGGCTTCTAAAAGCCGTATTCACTCGGTCAAGCTTTCTCATTGAAGGAGTCACCTCAACACCATCCTCTGCCCAAACGCCCGGGCCCCTGCTACCTTACTAGCAACCATCAGCACTGAGCTTCAGCATCAAGTTCTTTTGTCTACAGAAATCTCACAGGGTATGAGGGCCATTTGAATTTGATGTTAACATTTTCTGACTATCACAGTTGCCAATAGCAACATGACCAAGCTCCCCACGGTCAGATTGCTCGAATGCGAGGTGGGCGAAAATGGCGATGGCGTCTTCCGTCTTCTGGTCGACGGCCAATTTGTCAAATATCTCACAGTTGAGCCCGGCATATACGAAGTTGATGACCTATGTTTTGAACCATCCTTGGTCCGCATCTTACCTAAATTCCCTACTGGTAATTGGAACGAAGCTTTTGTGGCCAGGAACGACGATGACGGTCAGCCGTACTTCGCATGCTTTAACCTGACTCAATTCCCCTCCGTCCAGAACGCCTGGCATAAGACCTTGGTCGAATATACAGATATGACGCTGGGAAAATACCTCCGACGAGGGGTTTACGAAGCCAAATGTCCCGGATTTCACGATCTCGTGGTCGCCAAGTTCGCGACCTTTAACCATGAAATTCAATACCTGGAGAACGAGACCACAGCTTATCAGTGGCTAGATGGTTATGTCATTGGCCCTCAATTTTTGGGTCATATCACCGAGCACGGCCGTGTCATTGGCTTCCTGATGGAGCGCATCACTGATGCACGGCACGCTGGCCCGGAGGACCTTCAGGCGTGTCAGGAAGTACTTTCACGACTCCATACCCTAGGGCTTCGACACGGAGATACCAATCTACACAACTTCCTTATTCGCGAGGGAAAGGCTATTTTGATTGACTTCGACACGACCCGCAAGTGTGACGATGAAGAATCGCTTCGGACCGAGCTGGAAATGCTACCCGTGTGTCTCGCAGATAAATCGGGCCGAGGAGGTACTACCGTGAGCTATTCTGAAGGCGAGTAAGAGCTGGTGGACTCATGTCAGTGAAGGATGAATTGTAAGTATTCTACGAAAGAGGTTTTTCTATGGTAGGCTTCATTTGTTATGCTCCCAAACAAATTTGCTTAGTTAGCAAAATATCCACAGACAGCCATGCAACACTATCTACAAAGCCTCCATCTGCTCTATAAATCTCAAGTTTCTAAGCCCGATAATAATCCTGCCATCGGTGCTGCTGTACAAAGCCCAAGACCTCCCTTAACTTCCGATTCGACACCGGCGCCTCCCTGCCCACCAACTCCCTGGTCACCGGAACAGAAGGACACACTCTCGCCAGAAACGCGGCGGTCGACTCCTCGAAATTCGTCATCTCATCATTGACGGCATTGAACACCTGAAACCCCAGCCCATCCACAACCAAGCCCCTTTCTAACATGCCACCCAGATCCCTCGCATCCGTATATGTCCACCCATGCACCTTCCACTCGTCAGGCCGCAGCACATACGCCTTGAACTTCTCCTGGAACTCCGAGGGACTCACCACGGCCCCAAACCTATACACATAGACATCCGTACCGCGAAACCTCCGCGCGAACCCAGCAGCCGTCCGCTCACCACACACCTTCGAAATAGCATACACATCCATCGGAACGGCGGGGACATCCTCATCGACGGGAAAGGAAGGGTAGTCGACGTCGCCCTCTGCGAACGCGACGCCGTAGACGCAGATGGAGCTGGCGAGGAGGATCTTGCGGATGCCCATGCGGCACGCAGCCTCGAGGACGTTGTAGAAGGCCAGCACGTTGCCGCGGTAGGTCTCGTTGTCGGGGACGAGCATGTTGCGCGCGTGGCCGGCCAGATGGATGAGCGCCGCGGGCGTCTGGTGCAGTGGCTCGCGGAACGGCTCCGTGAGCGTGAAGTGTGAGTACATTGCGCTGTGCACTTGGCCGGTGTCTGTTAGGTCGACGCGGATGGTGTGCACGCGCGCGCTGAGCGGCGCTGGTAACGGGTGGAGGTCCAGGTTCAGGATCGTGTAGCCTTGCGCTAGGAGGTGGGCGATGATGAATTGGCCGGCTTTGCCGGAGCCGCCGGTTATGATGATGCGTTTGGACATGGCGGTTGGAGATGGGAGGTCATGTTGGGTTGGTGAGGTGTTGGTTGTTCAGGTTGGTGACATGGAATGCGGACGGGAGGGTGCGGGGTTGCGGGGTCTGTTTTGATTGCGGGGATGGCCAGATAAGTCGGTTTGTTTATCGCCGCTGGAGATGGGGTTCAAAGACTATCGAGGAGCGCAATTTTATGCTAGTGAAGCAGTTGAATCAGTCGTATCTCAACTAACGCACTTCACTTGGAGCTGAGCACAAGTGTCGTAGCGCTGCGAGCACAGCCGACCACCAGGGCCATCATGGATTACTGCACATGTCATCCTGCAAGCCCCTCACATGACATCCCCCCAGTCAAACTAGTGCAATTCATCCCACTTCGCCAACTTTCCACTTAAACTCTCCCCTGCCAACCCTCCCGCATACCACATCTTCACCAAACAGCCGAGACAACACCTCCCTCCCGAAGAAACCAACACCACATCCACCGCCAATATGGCCCAACCCTCCCGCCCGCGCATAGCCTGCTTCCACGGCGGCGGCTCCCGCGCGTCAGTCTACAACGTACAATGCGCGCACCTAGCCAAGCTCCTAGAGCCAGACTTCGAGCTCGTTTTCTTCGACGGGCCGTTCTTCCGCGACGCGGGCCCAGGCGTGCTCCCTGCCTTCCGCGGGTACGAGCCCTTCCGCTCGTGGTTCACGCAGGACAGCACGGGCGTCGAGCTCGCGGACGGCAGCGGCTACGACCTCACCGGCCGCGACGGCGTGGAGCGGATCTGGAAGCTGATGCACGAGAAGGCCCAGCTCGAGCCTGGTGGTCCGTGGGTCGGCGTCATGGGGTTCAGTCAGGGGACGAGGCCCGCCGGCGGGCTGTTGCTGGATCAGCAGCGGAGGATTGCGAGTGGGGAGGCTACGGCAGATGATGCTGATGCTGGGCTTAAATTTGGGGTCATGTGCATGGGTGCCGGCGCGCCGATGGTCGCGGAGAGCGCGCATCGTATGTTTTTTCTTTCCCCTTTCTGAACTGTTCCTGAGGTTGTTGGGGTTTGGATTGGTGGGGCGATGCTGATTGATGGTGCTTAGGGGCTGAATCCGATCTCGAGCTGGTCACCATCCCCACGATACATGTGCACGGGCTGAAAGATGCCGTCCTGCCGCTGAGTCGACATCAGCTGGCGTCATACTACGATCCCAAGCGAAGTGAGCTGTTTGAGGTCGACTACCACCATGCTATGCCGTGGGTGAAGCATGAGGTGGAACATCTGGCGCATCTGATCAGGACGGCGTATCGAGAAAATATCTGATAAGTGGTTGAGAGGCATCCGGGACTCGAGGATAAACGCGAAGTCGTTTCACTATTGTGGATTTTATTTTAAACAAGACTACTATTGGTGTAGTAAATAGACTTTTGGGCCATGCCATGCCGCCTTACCCTGGCCATTCTATATCTGATATCTCCCGCCAACTCAGTGATTCGTCGTCTTGACCGCCGTCTGGTTCTCATCATATATAGCAGAAGGAATACCCTCATCGGCGGTCGCCTTCAGATCATCCTCGCCCATATCGCCGTCCCACCCGTGCGCAACCAGATACGCGCGGAACTTCTCGTCGCGCACCCGCAGGTCATCGCCGGAGACATCATCCACAAAGAAGTAAGTGACCAGGACACCGGCCACGCCACAGATCGCCGCGATGATGAACGTCCACTTCTTGCCGAGATGGTCCTGGATCGGCGTGAACACCTGGGTCCCAATCGCACCACCGGCCTTGCCAAATGCAGCCGAGATCCCATAACAGGTACCCCGGACGCCCGTCGCATATAACTCTGAGCTCACAAGCCCCAAAGAATTGCCCGGTCCAGCTGAGGCCAAACTCTGCATCAGACCGTAGAAGATTACGAACAGCGGAATGATCTTGGTGATCTTATCGTATGCGCAGCCGATGATGAGTCCGAAAACCAGGTAGCCGGTGAATCCAATCATCATGAGCTTCTTGGGTCCGAGACGATTACACATCAGGGCACCGAGAAACACGCCCGGAAGGGCGATCGCGCCGAGCAAGAGCTGCCATTCGCCGGTCTTCATGATGGAGTTGTCTTTGATGACGGAGGAGATGATGGTACCGGAGAAGACGCCGTTAGGGAAGGTGACAAAGTCTAGGAGACAGGCCAGTCAGGAGGGTGTGTTAGCTAGAAAAGCATGGTGCCGGGGTTACATACCGTAGAGGAACCAGGCACCACAAGTTCCTATCAACGTTTTCCAGTAGTATCTAACCACGAGTGTGTAGGGCACGCGTTTCTTGATCGCGCCGCGGCGGTATAGGGCTGAGTTCATCATGCGGAAGCGGAAATAGAAGACGGAGAGCGGCCAGATACAGCCAATACCAAAGCAGACGCGCCAGACTGTGCTGTAGTGTGACTGGTGGCAGGCGGAGAGGACAATCAAGAAGACCGCCACAGCGAACGGGCCCCCAAAGGAGAGCGGGAAGTTGGTCACCATGATGAAAACCGGCCAACGTTGTTTAGGAGTCATGTCGTTGGCCGCCTCGGATGCTGAAGTCGATGAGGCGGGATACTCGCCCCCGGTGCCTGTCGGGGTCAGCCACGCTTTTTGAGTAAGAGATGCCTCTCAGCTATACTCACCGAAACCAATTATTCCACGACTTACAGTCAGCATCCAAAACATGCCGTCGATTGTGTAGCCATTAGAAGCGGTGGCCAGGATGCCTCCGACCACAATCATTGCTGTGGTCCAGACAAGACTGGTCTTCCTACCCCAGTAGTCGCAGGTAAGTCTGAAGGATGTGACATTAGAAGAGATTGGCTTTCCAGCTTGTCGAAGACTCTCACCCGATAACAATCTGTCCAATGATCTCTCCAACCAGCAGAGCGTTGGAAACCCGAGTCTTGACCGCCGAGGTGTACTGCTCCTTGTATTGAGCTGAAAGGAGCACGTTGACCATGGTCCTAGCGAGCTTTTAGCGACGTATGATGAATTGAAGGGGGCAGGGCGTACATCAAGTTGTTCTGGTATCCATCGCTGATCAGGGCAAAACCACTGGCGATCTGTTGAGCAGATTAGGCTGGGTCACTTTTGCCAGTGGGGGGGAAGCACTGCAGAGACTGACGATTGTGATCAGGTCCGAAAGGGTGCCACGCTTTTTCTGGGTTTCGGCCGCGGCAAAGGTATCTCCATCATGGGAACCAGCTTTGACGACAGTCTGAAGGTCCGCCTTGGCGCCGCTTGAGACGTCTTTGATCTCTGACATTCTTCTTGGCTTGCCACGAGCTCGGGGACAGAGGATAGCAAGGGATCGCTTTCAGAGTGAATGCATTGGTCATGAAGTGAAGCAGGCAGGGCGGCGAACAGCCGGGCCATCTTGCTTTATATTTGCTTCTGGAGGCAGGTGACATCAACTAATTGGTGGAGACATGCTGGCCATGGCCTCAATCTTGGAGCAGCAATCAAGCCAGTCACCGTAACCAGGCAGTAGTGAGAAAGACTAGGTACTGTACTTTCAATGTGCTATCTTCCTTCCAATATGTTGATGCAGCCACTGCGGAGGTGACTAGACTGGAAACAGAGAGCGTTATCACTACACCAATCACAAGCAATTATCGGTCCGTTCCCACCTGGGGTTAACCATCCAATCATCTGACACGCGGGATGCACGTTCCCTTCCTCTGGCCGGCACGTGTTGCTTATCTCTGGTCCCCTTTCTTGGAGTGGTTGTTGATGCTCTTTTTAATCTATTGCCTGTCTCCACGTTGAAAAGCTTCCAGCTTTCTTAGTATGCGCTTGTTGCACCTGGGAGGGGCTCCTATTGGCGTGTGAACGACGAAGACAGCGCCCACGTGAGTCAAGCAGCGCCAACGACGCCCTGTCGTAAGGCTGACCCGGTTCCTGTTCGCGTCGGCCAACGCGATGGCCGAGTCGTCTGATCGAGGTTAGCGAGTACTTGGATGTCCAATCGTGTTCCTGTCCCTATCCCTGACTGGACGCAGGCCTGGATATTGTTATGTCATACTCAGCAATTCGACTACGTACCGGTCACGAAAAGGGCGGAAGCATATGAAAACTTGAATGCATTTTGCTTATCGCTCTACTAACACAGCGCAACAGTCAAACATCAATTAGGTACCGAGCCAAGCCCCTTAAGACCTTCTGACAATGTTCGGCTTCACATCCGTGATCGCGGCCCTCGATGGTGTCGATGCCACATCTTCAACTGCGAAGGCGTCACTTCGGTCGGGCCCATAATCTGTCGACGGGACCAATGGGCGATGGTCTTCGCCACATCGTTTATCCGTAAGGGTGATCTCAGAAAATCATTGTACCCAGACGCTCGCTCCCGAGATAGATTAGTTCCGACTGTCGACGCCGTCAATCCGATAATGGGTGTCATCTGCAGTTGAGGATCGTTGCAGAAGGGAGGTTGCGTGCGGATCATTCGGACTACTTCGTAGCCACTTATTCCTGGCAGCGAAGTCTATTCGTTGAAGTTTAGCTGCTGACTGCTGGGCGATCTGTTGCACGGTGCATTCGACAGCAAATCTCGGGGGCATACCTTCATGAAGATGATATCTGGTCGGGTAGGGGCCATGGCCAGGTAGTCGAGTACTGCTGGACCTGAGCCGATGACATGCACATCGCACTCTAGCCTTCCGCCAATGCGCTGAAAGAGCTTCTGCGTGACCAAACTAGGTAATAGCGGTTAGGAAAAATACCTGTAGCAAATTGAGGGGCTTCACTTGTCATGAACGAGTAGTAGTTGCATCTTCAGGCTTTAGTACTTGCTAGCTCTCAGGATATCATAGCCTGCTGAGGAGGCTTTCCAGAGAGGTCGTCCGTATCGGATTAGATTATCGATAATGAGGCTGTGCCTGGTCCGTGCACCGCCTTGTGTCAGGTGGGTATTTATCAATAAGGCTGATACATCTTGGCATAGCAGAGGTGTTACCTAAGGCTGGTCTCAGATATTGCAATTCGAGTATAGTGACTAGGGACAGGGGACGAGGTTCCCATCCTTGTATCTCTCACTAGTCCCTTTGCTAACTCTGTTGCCACCGATATAACCAACATCACTGATTTTACCTGATTTGAAAGCATGCCAATTGTTAAGTATTCGAGGCAGAAAAGACACTCTAAACGAGGCCAGCTTGTGGGGCCCGGTTCATTGATATATCTATCAAGCTCTCAGATTGACATGGCCTCTTACCTCGTCACAGAAAGCTCAAGCGAAGCGGTTTGCACTGGTCCGCCTTCTGGCCTCGAAGCCCAGTAGCGAGGTGTCGGTGGTCATCGCAGCAGCACAGACAAAACAGATGCACTGAGCGAATTGGTGGCACAGTCTACTAGACGTGTTCATCGGGCCAATAAGGATTTTACGGACGATCGAAGCATTGAGCTGGCAGCTGCGACCGTCGAGACGGTTCTGGCTGGTCGGGGTCTTGACGTCCTGGTGGTCAATAATGCGGGCATCATGCCATTTGCCCAAATTGCATTGAAACGATGTAGGTGCTATTTGTTCAATTCCTGGTAACTTCTGCAACTCATTGATTGATACCTGAGCATTACTAACTGAGACTCCACCTTTCGCTCAAACGTGATGAGCGTCCCTTCATGACCAGTGCCTTCTTGTCGCTGTTGAAACAAGGCACTTCGAAGAATGTGATCAGCGCGTAATGATCCTGGTGTCTCATCCTTTCTCCCTTTTGACTGGGGTTTGTAAAATCCTCCACCTTTGGCTCCATCGCCATGGCATCCGATTCTGCTCGAGCTGCCGCCTCCGCCGACAAGATCACCAAAGCGGCCCTCAGTATGTTGACCGTACAGGATGCCCAGTCGCTTGCGGAGCAAGGCCTCATATTCATGTTCATATCACCAGAGGTAAGTTTGTTCCTCTCGCTGCATCTTTTTTTTCTTGCGTGCTCATGGTCAGTAGTGGGTAAAAACCGATCTTGGAAACAAAAAGGCCGACTTGACGCCCGAGAAGTCCGCCATCTTCGTATTTGATCTTCTCGTTTCTGCCACAATCGCTTACAATTGGAATTCTACAATATTCGTGTGGACGGGAGGGACTATTACGATGGAGCCGAGGTGCCGTGCTAGATGAAGTGGGATGGTGTGCTTTGCTTTTTTGATAAGTGGTGTTCAGACGGCACTGGGCTGGTTGTTTTGCACTCACGCTCCAGAGGCCCTTCGATTTTTATGGGCTTGTCCTCCAATGCTACTATGCTCATATGACTTTGAGTTCACGACTCCGGGCGCTGTTCAACCCGCTCAACATGCTCCCAACCCCGTCACCGTCTTCTCATGCACAGGCTCGTGTTCCTTATCCGCGTCAACTGACCGACAATTGTGGGTATTGTCTGCAGCAACTCTTTATTCACCCAGTTGGAGGTTCTTTGACTCATACTTCCTATATTCGGACGACAGGACATGCTCGACCATTCTGTTCTGAATCTATACTTCAAAATCGCTCACCCCAGAAACTCTATTAGCAACTGAAGGAATCCCTTGATAAAAGAACTCCTCCGGTTGGTCAGGACCAAGTTCGCATTACTATCATACGACTGGCTAACAATAGATGAAGAGAATAAGGACATTTGAGGGGTCAGTGCGAGACCATACGTGAAAAAGATCAGGTAGATGCTTGCCGACGAGATGTGATGGCCGCGCTTGTACCGTGATCCGGCATCGTCAGTCCTAAATTAAGAACTACTTTGAGCCTGTTGTGTCTAGATTGAGCTCGGTCGCGCTACCTCAAGGGCAATATCATAATCGATCGCATTATTGGACCTGCAGTCCAGATCCGGAGCCCAACCTTAATGCGACAGCGGGTCACCGGACCTCATGCCAGGTGCCTTAGGCGGCTCAATTCCGTTCTATAGCAAGCTAACCATCACCAGCACAATAGGCCCCTTGCTTACAAGTCAGACTGATTGTTTGGGTGTCCAATTATTATTCTCTCATGGTCATGCAATGCTTCAGTCCTCCCTTGAGACAATCTTGATTTGACATGTCACTTGATCCCACCCCGCTTTGGCCAGTAGTTCGAGAGACCCCTCAATTAGGCGCAGTCGCTGTCCCGATCATTACAGGTGAGTGAGACTTTGACTGCTTGGCGAGTGACACCGCATCTGACTCTTCAGACTTATATTTCAGAACACGGATCTGAATGCTGTCGACGTTAGACAGATCTGGTCAAAAGCCACGCTAGCTGCTGTGTACCGCCCAAACCATCAACCCCTTCTTTACCGTGTAACCACAGGAGGATGACTCTGCCGTGTTGACTCTTGACCCTACTTCGCATCGCACTCCCTAATCCAGAAATTGAGCGCCTCCAGGGTTCTTCTCTGTGAAGCTAGGATGGTAGGTTTGAAGCCCCTAGAACACTTTTCAGACACTGGACGGGTTTCGGTCGAGACTCGTATTGCCTGCGCCGCCTTGGAAAGTATACGAGCTTCCGCATTCAGAGCTCCCACCTCCCATCATCACCTATGTCGTCCCTAGTGAGTGCTATTTTGAGCACAATGAGTTCACAACCATATAAAAGAGCCGACCTGACCGGCCATCACCCTCATCTTCGCATCATCATCAAGCAAGCAGTCTAAAGTCCACACTCTATCTACTCATCTACTCATCTAACCACCGCCAGATATCAAGATGACCAAGATCATTGCCATCCTCGGGGCTCTAGCCACTGTTGCACTGGCCGCCCGATCTCCCGCAGGCGAAGTCGTTCCTCGCGCCTGCACCACCATTCTACCCTCTTCTATAGACGTCCTCGACAGCGCCAACCCAAATACCGCCAACGTCGGCCAGCGCTTCACCCTTCGCCGCTCCGGCTCGCCAGCATCGAACAACAAGATCTCCGCCTTCACCTTCACCAACATCCCCGCCGGAGCCACCGGCTGCACCCTGCAGGTCAACGTGCCCGCACTGACTACCGCCAACCAGATCGCCTGGGGCTCCAACCAGGCCGAGTTCTGGACGACCAACGCCTGGACCGCGGCCAACGCCCCGACCTGGAACAACCCTCCCACCAGGGGCCAGATGGTGTCGACCTTTCAGTTCCCTACGGGTGTGACGACCACTCCGACCCAGCAGAATCTGGCCTCGAACACCTGTTCGAATACGATGAGCTTCTTGGCGCTATTGAGCGATTGGCAGAGCGGCGCGGGACAGGTCGATTTCATGCAGGGCGCTGATCTGGGGTTTAAGCTGATCTATAACTGTTGATTTTGGGTCGAGATCTTTGATTCGAGGTTTAGATTGTCTCCCTTTGGTGCGCTTGGGTAGTAATCACAGGAAGAACGGTTTCGGGATGTTTGTTAAATTGGTGGACTATCAAGCGGCTAGCTAGATGTATCTAAGGGCGAGTCTGATTCATTGACTATTACTGTAATAGAAATTGTCTGAGCTCTGAAAGTATGGTGCCTTCGATTTTTATCTCGACCACCCAAGTGGAGGAGCGCCAGTCTGGTCTCTTAGGAATCATTCAAGAAATGCTTACAGGAGCTAAGGTTAGTGGAGGAATGAATGGCCTGGGAGCAAGTGCCAATAACAAAAGAGGGAGTGGTGTGGAGCTATTCGTATGCCAAGGGCTGTTCGTATCTACCGGTACGTAGCTGTGGGTATACTCCATGGCCTGCCCGGTAGGATCAAAGAACACAAAGCAGAGGCTACAGATGGGAAAGGAGAGATCAGCACGGATCTGTTCTCCGCGGGGAAGAGACCCGGGAAAGTTGAAGTATACTAATTATAGATATAGCCATGTCACCTCTCGGCAGTGAGGGAACAAAAAAACGCCAACAGCCCCTTGATGAAGCCACGCTCATGTGCGTTTCTGGCTTGTTCCGCTCGCCCTTCCTCTAAGAATAGAACTCTCTCCCTGAAGCATGAATAGAACTTTTGGGGTCGCTATTTCCAGTCCGCACTCTTGCCCAACGATGTACAGTACCAAGTCCAGTGCACTGGGACAGTAGGACCGTGTATACCCGGTGTCATCTTGGGGATGAGTTCACGAAGCAGTGACTCCAAAGCAGTTCATACGGTCGGGATCGAGTGCAGTGGGAGAGCCTGAGGCAGTCACTGCCTGACTTAGTCACGGGACTTCCTTGGCCGTGGAGGACTTGTCGTCGCGATCAGAGGGAAAGTGCGGGGTATCATGGATGATGAGTGAGAACCGTGTTGCGAAAAGTCTTCAGAGCGATCGTTTTCATTATGACTGGGCCAAAGGCGACCTTCGTTCTTCAATCGGTCTCCCGCCTGAGTTGATTCGAATGTTGTTGGTTTTGGATAAGCTGACGATCATCTATTAGCTTTATCCAGAATCGTTAAGGCATACGGGCACGTCACTCACCTTTTCACTAGCCACAAAGTATCCGGCAGGCAACGCTGTCAGCGTACGCACTATACGTGAGGTATAAAGGCAGTCCACTCCACTGTTTGAAATGAGCTGACAGGTAGTCGTCGTAGACAGATGAACGCCTCGATGATGATATACAGTCGCGCCGGGACCAAGCATCCACTGATCAAGGTGGAGATAATATCCAGCACCCAGGGTCGCCATCCCGCCGGTCGTTCCGTGGGCTGAATCCAGATATAGGCCAGCGATCGGTGACCCTTGAACCCCAGCGCCATCAGGGTGATCCGCACCGTGGTAGCGAGCGGAAGCCCCGAGGCCAAGACCAAGGCACCGATGCGCCACAACAGCCGCTCTGTCGGCGTCGGGAAGAGGTGGTTCCATCCCAGGAGGTGGATTGCAGGGTGGACCATCGCTTGCACGGTCACCAGGATCCACGTTTGGCGGCTCAGATTGATCACCGTGATCTTGTCGTCCGGCATCCGCTGCAGCGGACCCTCCTCCAGTCCGAATTTCTCCAGCGTGGGTCGACGGTGCCACCGCTGCATCGGCTTTTCCGCAAAATCAAAGGGGGTATCCTGGAAATCGTCCACAGGGGTGTTGCCGTCTTGGTTCAAGATGGCCTTGACACTGCCGTACTTCAGATCGATGTACGTGGGCACATTCACATTCTGTGGCTTGTGCATCCAGAAATAGTAACTCATCATGGTTGACAGCACAAACCCGAGGGAGAAGAGCTCGAGCGGGCAGACGGCTAGCCCCTGAATCGCCCGTGCGATCGATTGCACCGCCAACCACGCGGTTTGCACCAAGGCCACACATTTCGCGAAGGTATCCGCCTTGCTCTTGTCCCAAATCTCCTCCTCGGTGATGGTCGGACATTCGATATAGCCTGCTTCGACGAGATACTGAAGGGCAGGCGAAGTGATCGGAAAGGGGCGATAATCGATCGAGCGCAGTACGAAGCCTCCACTGTTGGCATAGAAGGCGTGCTTCAGTGTCCAGTGCTTGTACCCGAGCCGATGCATCTGGTCGACGGCTTGTGTGGCAGCCTCCCACTGCATGGCTGAAAAGTACACCAGCAAGTCTGGGGCCAAGATGGCAAAAATGCCCCAGCGGACCTTGCGCATGATGACCACCAGCAAGCTGTCATTCGGGCCAGGGATGTTCAGGTGCAGAACCGTCCACAGGGCGGTGGAGAGGACCAAGACGCAGCCCCATAGGATGTCAATCGAGCCTCGAACATTAGGAGCATCATACCAGCCCACTGTCTCCGTACTGTTGGCGGCCATTGTGCATCAGCCAGGTCTGGTCGAAAAAGAAAAAAAGGTCTGCGATAAGATCAAAGCAAGAGGCGATGAACAGAATTGACACATGTGCCCGTCACCACTGCCCCCTGGACAGACAGTGGTATAAATCAGAATTTCTCTCCCCCTGCCGCGATGAACACCTTCTCACATGGAACAGAGACTAAGTCGCGACGGACTCAGCTCGGCTTGGCCCTCATGCATGAAGAATCGCCCGAAACAGACAAGCGCGGGAGGAGGGTGAAATTGATGATGAACGCACTGCGTCGGTCTGGCGCCATATCTTGTTCCGGCAGGCCGCACACTGGGGCTAGTCTCTATCCTGGACATTTCTGTCTGATCGGCCGTGCTGGTTGTTACACGAAAGAGTTTCGAACAGGCTGTCGGCTGAATGATGAGACTATCCCTTCCGCCCTTGCACATGGCATGCTGACAGGAGGCCTGAAGAATGCGACCATGGCCGAAGGTGGTCAGCGGGCAGAAAGGAGTGGAGTCGAGCAGAATGTCTAGATAACGGACCTGCACGGTGGACTTTCGGCTGGATCAATTAGGTGTTGAGAAGCATCAGGGGAGACCCTGGTCAAGTGGATTCGCCCAGCAAAGAGCAGAGTGGAGATTGGCAGCTCAGAGGGCGGGATGAGCGGGAAGGATGCCTATAACCGGTAAGGATGAACTTGCCGGCATCTTAGGGTCTTTTAGACCTGTTTTAGAGGCAGACGGTGCGTGTCGCTTCAGTGCAATTCCTCGTGCGCATTGGCTCTGTCAATCTTTGGGGGCCAAAACTGAGTCTCCACCATGTCGGACGTTTTCCTCCAATTGTCCCCTCATCTCCCGCTAATTCTCCTTGACTGCACGCCTGGGCCTGTCGTGGTCGTGCGATTTTCCGGCGTCCCTGTTGCCCCATCCAAGGTTCGTCTGCAGTCTGCACTTTCCACGTGCATCTCAGCGAGGACCTCATGGCAACAGGGTTCGACTCCTGCCTCAGCAAGCTAGTGTAGAAGGTCTACATGGGTGTTCAGACCGCTGCTGGTCTAGCACTCATCACGGCTGCGACCGCTGATGCATCTCGTTCAATCCTACTCAAGCTCTGTGGCAGGTCATGAACTTAGACGTATATCCCGGTGGCACGGTGACGCCCACTCAAGATGAGTCAAGCACCATTGCCAAGCTGGTTGAACTGCTCTGTGTTTCTCGGCGTGCCATGTGAGCAAGTTGTGCCGGAGCTGATAACAGTCTTCGCCATTAACAATGGGCCTAGCCTGCAGTTGCGCGATCGAAATAGATTAAATGTGACAGGTACGGGGTTTGCTGGTTGATCACTAATCGGTCTGATAGGGACATCGCTCGGACCACCAATTAAGTTTGCCCCAAGTAGTGATGGACAGACTGTAGGTCACACAATGTCGTGGGGGCGGAAGTCAACAAGAATGTCGACTTGTTTCAAGTCCCAGGATGTCGCTTACGCTAATCATGGACTCTTGGCTGCTGTGAGAGGGTGATTCAGGCCCGTGGCCTATAGATTATTCAATGCCTTGGGGCGCAGCCAGCATTCCGATGATCCCTGCAAGCCGTGCTAATGCCCAGCCCACCTGCCCATTGACAATACAAGTCGCCAGCGTGAATTGTGGACGTGAACACAACTTGAGCTTGAATGATCTTTTACCTATTTTGAGTCGCCAGATCATCGATGGTGGAAGGGATGGCTCAGCTGCTAACCCTTCTCCACGGTCCCTTGTTTGTATGCCCCGGTGATTCTACAACTAGATTGTACGAGGTCTGCTACGATACATGACTTCACAAGATCGGGTCCAATGAGAGGCTGCCTGTATAGCTGTGGCACAGCCCGGACAGTCGAGGTTCCGACAGAGGACGTGCTCGATGACGCAGTCCTCCCGGCCATGGATGTAGAAGTTACAGTAAGGTTGGGGTGGAAGCAGAAACGCCACGCCTATTGCAAATCAAGAGAGAAAGATAGATCTATTATATGGTATGTAAGCTGGTCGAAAGAAATGTGTTTGCTAAATAGCATTTAGATTAATGGAAACATAAGACCACCTGGTACGAGACCTAGAGAGCACTTGAGCGCACAGACAAGTCCAAACACTATTCTTCTGGAGCCGTCGCGATAGGCCTCGTCCGCGTGGACGCAATCATCAATTCTCCTCCTCCTTCTTCTCTGATATGGAGCGAGATCTCGTACGAATCGTCATGATCGGCGCGCTACCGGGACCACCTTCCAGGTTGCGGGCCCTCGAGCTCGGCTTAGGGCGATAGTCCGGGTCTGCTACCTTGTCGTCAGTATAGAGGTAGACAGGACTGGGACTGCGGTCGCTTATAGTCTGGTCGGAGTCAGCATCTGGTTCTTCATCTTCATCTTCATCTTCATCTTCATCTTCATCTTCGTCTTCATCTTCGTCTTCATCTTCGAGCTCATCGTCGAGTTCATCTTCTCCTCCCGACAACTCCACGTCTTCGCCCCCATCATAAGGCTCAGAAGACTCACCTTGGATCTGAAACCAGTCCGCCTCAAGCAAGAACAGCGGGAACTTTTCGGGGTCCGGCATACCGACGGCGAACCACTTGCCGAGCCAGCACCGACGCCCATCCGGCAGAAAGTCCTCCTCAAGGCCCCAGAGCCCGGGGACATTCCGTACCCAGTTGACGATGGCACGCCCGGTGGACTCGTAGACGACCTCCTGCGCGATGTGTTCCTCGACGGCGCGGCCCCGGAACCGCCGCGGCACCACGCTGTACAGCACCCTGGCGTCGAGGATGCGCTTCTTCGCGCTCAGCTGGTCGCCCGGCACCGTGCAGATGCGGGTCAGCTCCGTGTCAGGCGTCATGTTCCTGACCACCGTGTCTCGAAGCTTCTTGTACCATGCGTCCAGCTCGCGGAGCTCGTTCAGAAGCTCATCGTACGCCTCACCTTCGAGGGTCTGCAGCAGCTTGCGGTCTTCCTCGAAAACCATCTTGGCGGTTCAAATCGTGTGTTCGAGTTGATCGCGATGTTCGAGATGAGAGACGCCGATGCTGTCGGGATAGTTGGGGTGGAGAGTAAGTCCGATCAGATCCTGCTCTTATAGTCACTGGCTGCTGTATCTGAAAGAGAATCCGTAAGTCGCATTCTCTTTGATGCGCATGGCCGTAGTGAAGATAGCCGGCTTCTTCGTCGTGTTGCCTTGTGTGTGGTTTGCGCTGCGCGACGTTCTTTGTTGGTTCACTTTGTAGATATTACGCTGGACGCGAGTGAACGATCTTGATAAAGGAACGTGGGCTCTTGTCGAGTGTTGAGGTCTGAAGAAAGGTTGGACTGCAGAAGGTTGAGGCTCATCACTTGTTCATTGTATTCCGTTTGCGCGGGGAGGGGCGAAAGCGCTGGACACGCTTTTCCGGTTTGTGCTTGCAAAAATGGCATTTTCCTTAGATCATTCACTTGCTGTGAGGACTTACAGGTGGAAAACCGACACCCCTCCTTTTGAATCCTTTTTGGGGGAATATTCGAAATGTTTAGGCCCATTACGCTGTGTGAATGGTGTTGTGCTGGAGGTAGCTTCGCTACATCTCGGTTGAACCGATGAAAACAGTGGTCCATATGGTCGCTGTGCATTCACAATAGCTTTCTTGCTTCTCGCCGTGCATGGTACTCTGGGTCTAAGACTTTCTCAATTTCAACTCTGCAAATTGCAAACTGTCCGGACCTAAACAGCAGGAACACACCATAAAAATCGTTGGGGATTGTCTCTACTACCCTCTCATCTTCACGATAAAATAGCAATAAAGTAAGACACCGTTCATCTCGTCTCCGTCCAGATATTGCCAGAGCATACTATAAGACGCAAGCGAGATACCCGAGTAAGCTCCGTGAAAAGGGAAGTAGTGGATAGGGAGAGCTCTTTTCTTCTATTGATTAGCCTCAGACCTAGCACAAGGTGAGCGGCTCCAATCCTTTGGAACAGGGTCAGAAATCAAATCGCGATTACAGCCTCATCTTTGTAAGATCAGCCATGTCATTATCTTTGCTTGATTGTCTCTACTTTATTGATTCTTACTGTATGTGAGCTGTGTTATCCAGTCTACGACCCCATCCATTGTATCTTGGGGAATCAGAAGCCTAAACTCCGGGTGAATCCATCTCTTATCCGCGCATTTCTCATTACCACACCCCCCACATCTGTATCACTTTTTTCCGTTCGGTCTGTTGGACAGATATAGCTTGACTGATGATAATCCACAGCCAGATGGTATCGCAAAGCTCGGTGTCGTCAATGTCGCGATCCTGGATCTGACCTTGAAGTTGTCATTCTTGTGCAAAAGAGGCATCCAAGTTAGATCACCACGGCTCCCTGGCCAAGGCTTCAAGAGATAATTTACATGGTTGAGGAGGGATATCAGATTCCATGCTCCACAAGTGAGGATGTTCTGATGATAGTTAAGACCAGTTGCTGTATATGATATCCTCGAAATAAAGAGTAACCTCGTTCCAGCGTCGGGATTGTACTCGGATAGGTATACTGGGCCAAAATAAGGAGGCGTATGGAGATATCGCCAGCTGATCTGTGTTCTCACCAAGGTTCCATGTTGGCAGTCCTCGGTTCTATCCCGTCTGAGATCTTTCGCATAACTATCATGAGTGTAGAGATAGGGACATCATGTACCTAAAGTAGAAGACTAACAACAAATCGTCTTGGTGGCGCAATTGGTTAGCGCGTACGACTGTTAATCGTGAGGTTGAGAGTTCGATCCTCTCCTAGGACGAGTTTGATCTCTTTGGTCTGGCTATCTACTTAGCTCAGCTATCTCTTTTTCACTCTCCTGATGCTTGTTTTTTTTCTCTTATCTCGAGAATTGCATCTACAACAAAGTCCACGTGTCAAAGCTTATCCCATATCAGAGGTTACAGGCCGATATCCCCCGGGACAAAGCTTGTGAGAACCGCGGGTGGATCCCATTTTACCCCTCGTAACCCCTACGTCATAGACCATTCCCTCCACCCTCACGGGGCCGTCTCCCTCCCCCGGAATTCCAAGCTCAGCTGTATCACTTCCACCTCTATCAAAGCCACATCCTCCAGAACAAAGTCAATCCCAATCGCATCTACTCCAGACTGCCATCCCCGATTTTCCGCGCTAATGTCCTTCCAAGACCTGGGGACCTCCTTCCTGGGCGCCTTCCAAGCATGCGTATCCGTGCTGCTAACGCTCTCGTACGGCGTCGTCGCGCGCTACGCCGGCCTGGTCAGCGCCGCGTCCATCAAGGACGTGTCCGCCCTGGGCATTAAGCTGTTCTTCCCGGCCCTGATGGTCGTCAATCTTGGTTCGAACTTGCATGCGTCCAGCATCTTGAATTATATTCCTATTCTGGGTAAGTTTGTCCCGGCACCGGTTCTCCAGTGAGTAAGACGGAGGGTACTGAGCGGAAAGCAGTCTGGAGCACGATCGTGGTGTTCGTGTCGCTGGTCATCGGGAAAATCGGCGAGCGTGTCCTCCGCCTCCCTGCCTGGGTCACGGCCGCGTGCGCGTTCAACAACACCACCGCCCTACCCTTGCTGCTGATCCAGTCGCTCGAGAGCACGGGCAGCCTCAAGCGTCTGCTCAAGGACGGCGACGAGGTCTCCGACGCTGTCGACCGCTCCCAGAGCTACCTGCTCATCTGCGCCGTCGTCAGCAACCTGCTCACCTACATCGTCGGCCCGAAGCTGCTCCAGCAGGCGGACAGCGCAGGTGAAGACGCCGACAACGAGTCGGGAGCCGAGGCTGACCGTGCCAACGAGGGGGAGAACGAAGCGGACGAGCACAGCCCGCTGCTCCTCCCGGCGTCCGTGCATCGGGCGGGCGGGCGGCTGCGGTCGCGGTCGCGCGCTGCCTGTGCGCCGGTGCTCCGTCTGCTGCCGGACAAGGTTAAGGAGGAGGCGTTGTCGTTCGACACGCCGGTTGTGTGGAACATGCTGCTCGGGCTGTTTCTAGGCGGGCTGCTGGGCCTGACGCCGCCGCTGCACCGGGCGTTCTTCAACAAGAGCGAGGACGGCGGCATCTTCAACGCCTGGCTGGTGCTGAGCATCAAGAACATCGGCAAGCTGTTCACCACCCTGCAGCTGTTCATCGTCGGTAGTAAGCTCGGCGTCAGCTTCCAGGAGATCCAGCGCAGCGGGAAGAGCGGTCACGTCCCATGGCGCGCCGTCGTGTTTGTCTTCCTCGTGCGGTTTGTGCTGTGGCCTGCGTATGTATTTCGGTTTTCGTGGGTGAAAAGAAAGTGGTGGCTGACTGTCTGTGTAGGATTAGCATCTCGCTCGTGTACGTGCTCGCCGATAAGACAAGCTTGCTGGGCGATGACCCCATCCTGTGGTTCAGCATGATGCTGATGCCCACCGGCCCGCCGTCCCTGGTCATCTCCGGGCTGGCGGAGCTGGCGAATGTGTCTGAGGAGGAGAAGCTCACGGTCGTTAAAGCGTTGACGGTATGGTCCTCTCACTTGTTGTAATGGTTCCTTCTAACTTGTTGCCTCTGAGCGATAGAGTCAATATGCTTTGTCGCCGTTCACCAGTTTCACGGTGGCGGGTGCGTTGCACGCGTCGGAGAAGATTTTTGCTAGGTCGGCGAAGTAGATGGTATTCCGCGGATAGGGGATGCATAGATCATCTTCGGTAGAGGGGTGGGTAGATACTAGAAGCTGTTGGACATATACACGCAAGAGGAAAAGATGCGAGGCTAGATATATACTTCATATAGTCAAAGAACATATATTGCAGTGGTCCGTGTGCTTGCGCATCTTCTCGTAGGAGCAGTTTATGCACGAGGAACGCGTCGTACAGGTGCGCCAGGTAGACGACCGTTAGCATGAGGCGGGCGGTCACGGGAGGGGAGCTCGCGGACTGAGCATGGTGAGAAGCGGAGGGGTGGTGGCAGGGATTCCCAGGTCTGCTCTGAGCGAAGGGAGATATCTCTGTTTCTGTTACTGCCATGCTGTGTGATCCAGAGTTATTCTTGGGGGTCTAGCGGCGGTGTCGGGCCCAGGTGGGCGGAGGGACAGCTCCAAGATCTTCACGCGGATGGTGCCGAGCTCAAAGCGCAAACGGAGCCAGGATGCTCGTTGGAAGATCGGCGAGTCTTGCGGGTTTCATCCGTTCGTGTCGAGTGTCTGCGTGATGAGTTGCAGGTGTGAGTATTCGGCACACTTGCAGAACAGTGTCACAAATACCTGTCATGCGTCGGGGGAAACAAGCTCGGTACTCGGGGCCGAAACAACTCGACAGCTTGCCCATGAGTAAGTGCGAAACAGCTGGCCTTTCCGGCGATGGCAGCTATGACGCCAATATCAAGTCGAAGCTGTGCACCTGTGAATAGCCCTAGAAACTGGCCACCCTCAGTTGTTCGAGGGATAACCAGGCGCTGACCAGTATTCTGAAGAAGGGCTGTTAGCAGGGTATCCACTGACAACGAGGCCAATGCATGCAGGATGAACGGCGCCGGGATGGCGGCTGACTGGCTGATTCGGTAGTACTCATGCACGAGCTGCTCGACGACTGCTAGATCTTGCAACCAGCGGAGGATCTCGGCCACTTTGGGTACCCAGTAGGGGGTCACAGCCTCGGTTTTGGTGAGCGTGGGTGGCTGCTTGTCGACTTCGCGCGCCTCCGAAAACGCATCGAGACAACTTGTTGGTCCCAAATAACCTGCAGGTAGTGGTGTATCAAGTCCAGGGTTGCAGTCCGATAGTTCTAACGGCGATAGTTCTTGACTCGGTCTTCTAGCCGTGTTGATAGCCGCGCTGGTGTTCTCGTGTTTAGCCTTGGTTGCTGTCAGCGACCACAACTCATAACAGATATTGATAGTATGACCAACACTTTTATATTGTCATGACACGATAAAGTCGTTCCCAGGTCTTTCCTCTCCGCTTTGCGCGTCAACGGAGCTGGATGGTAGAAGCATTGGGTTGCCGAATCCCGTCTGAGACAACGCGTACACACGGAAACTCGGTGGTCGCAACGCACCTTGTCCTTCCTAAAGGGCTCACACGGGGCAGGTTTTCCGTTGCGCCGTCGGGAGCTTCTGCTTGTTTCTGTCATGGTGATGCGGTGGATGCTGTGGGTGACCACGGTGGTAGCAGATGAGAGTATCTCGTTGGCGTGGTTCTCCGGAGAAGGGAGGATTAAATAGGCTCGATAGTGTCAGCCGGGGTCAAAAGCATGTCTATCTTCATGTGACATGCTCTGAAGCTGCATATCATAATCAAAAAGGGATTGTCATCCTGTATGGTCCCTTTGTGTGCGTGGCATGTTCTGGCACTCATGAGTGTTTACTTGTCGAACTTATCGCAACCCGTCAATTGGCCCTCATTCGGTTATTCTTCGGAGCCCGGGATTCGGAGTCCGGAGTAGATCCTGAGGCATCGAATACAGCTGCTTTGGATGCCTCAGGCATCATATCGTTTGAGAGGGGAAGGAAGGACCTTGGGAGTTAAAAGCAGATGGGATATAAAGTAGAAAGCTGCCATTAGCTCTGTATTCTTTTACGAGAGTATGTTTCCCTCCAGTTTACTCCTCAAAAAGATCCAAGACAAAAGTAACATATGCGTGCAACGCGCGTGCTTGAAACAGGTTATCTTCCCAAGCACCTAACCAGGCACCCTACCAAGCACCGGCCCTAACAAGCACCCTACCAAGAGAGCGAGGCAGCCACCGAGGCAAGCAAGCCTACGAGGGCACTCACGAAGCACCTGAGCCCTCTGGACAATCCTACGGTGTGAATCTGCGTAGCTGGTGGTCCTCCCCAGCGCCCCTACGGGCTGACGCGGTAAGCATAGGCGAAACAGGCCAGTCACATGACGTCACACCGCCAAGACCTTGTCAGGCTAACTTTGAATCAGCATATAGGAATGCAGCCAATTAGAATACAGAGCTTTAACAATTCAGGACGCAGTTCAGAAGAAATCAGAGTCCTCAGCTCCGAAGGCCACCATACCTAGTATGTACGTCGTCGCAACCAATTCGCAATTAGGCTCAAGTCTGGATGACGAAGCATCATCTCGCACTGTCGTCTCCTTTCCTGGACAAGCTACAGAATTGTCTTCGCGCTACCGTAAGGCTGCGACTGATGGGGTATGTGCCTACCATCAGGCTCTACGTTGGATTGTCTGCGCAAGAGCCCAGATTTGACCCTTCCTTCTCCATATTCCGGAAGAAATATATTGAGAGTGAGATGGAACCGTTCTCTGCTCGACCTAACTTACACTGAATACCGAAATGAAAGGTCAATCCGACCCCCGTCCAGACCGTGTACAATTCCAAGGTCCGTTTCACTATGGTTGACAATGGAGGTTGCTTCATCGATGTGGTTAGGAGTGGTTGGGAAAAGCAGGTGTTACCAGCGCAGCGCTGCTTACTCAATGGCACATTAACGAGCATTATCGTTGATTAACCCAATTGAGCGGTCACACCGGCGATTGCTGAGGGGCAGTTCGGCATCTCGGTGTCTGCTAAAGGCGGGGGAACAGCGTCATAAAAGCTGGCCGCTGGAGCTGCAGCTCGACCCCTCTTCTCCCCTCTCATCACAACAAGTGCTCTTCTTTTCTCATCTCATCGCATCAGCTCTCGACATCATGACTCTCTCCGGAAGCTGCCTCTGTGGCAATATCACCTACACCGCTGAGAGTAAGTTTACTTGTTGTTCCTGGACCCAAGTAATGCGAAAGCTAACTTCCCGCAGCGGATGAGTATCTGAAAGCGCTCTGCCACTGCACCGATTGTCAGAAGGTATATTTGTTCACTCCAGATCAAACTTTAACGAGGCTAATGGATGTTCGCAGTGGACCGGTAGCGCCTTCACCTCCAACGCTGTCGTTCCCCGCAACAGCTTCAAGATCACCAAAGGTGAAGAGCCCAATCAGCCCCATTGAGCCATAATACTAACTCAGCCATCAGGAACCCCCTCCTCCTACGACGCGATCGGCGCCACCGGCAAAATCAACAAGCACTTCTTCTGTCCGACTTGCGGATCCAGTCTCTACACCGACCTCGAGGTCATGGCCGACAAGCTCATAATTAAGGCGGGAACTCTGGACAACGGCGACGCCAGCATGGGCGGAAAGGTGGATGTCGAGTTCTATGTCAAGGATCGGCCCTCGTACCTGGCTGCTGTTGAGGGAGCCCAGCAGGAGCCGCGCTTTGGTTAATGTATCGATGAATCTTGCTTGATTGAAACGAGTTATGCTGTATGAAGTTACCAGAATGAGACTATCCGTTCTTGAGGGAAATAATCAACTGCCAAGGGCATCATGCTCGATGCCTGAGAGTATGGAAGAAATTTGTAGGGAGTGTATTATTGCAGCGCGCGTAGGTGCGGAGCCTTGCCTCATGCTAGGTCATGTTCCTGAGTCGTCTGGAAACCGCCTAGCTACGCAGATTCAGGCCGTGGGTCTGAATTACGCCACTGATTGCTTGGATGAATAGTCACAGTGCTTGGTAAGAGGTGCCTGGTGAGAACGTCGTAGGCTCGCCTCGCTGCCTCGCATGCTGGACAAGAGGTGTTTAGGAAGAGTCCTCGCAGGCTTGCCTATCTCATTGGCTGCTTTGCTTGGTCGGCCTGCTTGAAAAATGGTGAAGAAGATAATTGCTGGAAACATGCGCGTTGTATGCCTTCATTGGCCTTCTTCTAATAAGATTAATCTATAGCAAATATAATTTGTTGTAACTCTAGTATACGCTACTCCAAAGCAGCAACAATCCTCCCAAAAGCCGTCTCCAAGAACTCCACTGGATGCGTAAAGACAACCCTGAACCAGCCGTCTCTCTCGGACCCGAACAACGCCCCACTGGCGAGAAACACCTTCTTCTGCAGCAATCGCTGCATGACCTTATCCCCTACCTCGCTGCCCTTCTCTTCCGGATGTAGTTCGACAAAGCGCTTCCCCAGGTTCACCCACAGGAAGAAAGCGGCATTGCAGCCGGGTGCATACTCAATTCCCAATTCCTTCAAACGTCGGGCAGCATACGTATACGTCGTGGACAGCTTCTCTTGGTTTTCAGCGATGTACTTGTCCGTAAACTCGGCGTCCTCGAACATCAGCGACGCCAGATGGTCGGCCGTTCCGGAAGTGTACGAGTACAGGGACACGCCACCCATTGCCACGTGCATATCCCGGTTGAACTGGGAGATGATCACACCCAGTCGGAGCCCGTTGGCGCCAAAGTCTTTACTCATGCCCCAAAGCACGTGAACGAGGTTCGAATCGATAATACCGGCGAGGTCGACGGAGAGAGCGGATTCAAAGGCCACAGGCGACGCCGTCTGGTCGACGGTGTTCTTCCACACGGACAGGGCGTAGATCTCGTCGCTGATAAAGTGCATCTGGTACTTCTGGCACAGCTTCATCAGCGCCACCAGTACGTGGCGCGGGTAGCACCGTCCGAGTGGGTTGTGCGGGTGGCAGAGCATCAGCGCCTTAACTTTTCGGCCCGTTTCGACGTGGAATTTGAGCATGGCCTGCTCGTACTTGTCGACGGCGTCGAGACTGAATGGGTCGCAGTCGTCGAAAGCGACTTGCACCACCGAGGCGCCGAAGCGGAGCGAGAGATCGGGGACGAATGTCCCGTAGAATGGCCGGCCGAGGAGGATCCCCTCTCCTGGGTCCGTGAACGCCCAGGCGACATGTTCGATGGCCGGCGAAACTCCGTTCGTGACGACCAGGTGATCGGCCTCTACGGGGACAGCAGGGTGGAAGTGCCGGTTGATGAAGGCGGACATGGCGTTGCGGAGTCGGGCGGAGCCGCTGCCGCCGTCGTTGTAGGTGAGGTATTTGGCCGGCAGCTCGAGTTTGCGATTGAGGTATTCCAGCAGAGTGTCGTGCATCAGCGAGTTCTCCGCGACACCGACGTTCACGTACCCGCCTGGGTTGGTCGTCTCGCACCAGACGTCTCTCATTACGTCCCACATGACGCTGTTCTTGCCGGCGGCATCGATCGCATTCTGCGCCCTTTTGGACATCGCTGTAGCCTGGGGTGTTGTAGAGGCCATGATGATGTGGTCTAATCTAAAGATATGGGTTGGTGTAGGTGCAGGTCGCAATTGTGGGGAGAGCCCCAGGTGTCTTTTGTACCTAAAACTCCAAGACGTCTTCTCGTATGCACACAGTTGGCAATGGACCCATGCGTCCAATCGGATGTTTATCACTTCAATGAGATAAGGGGGTCAATGTTCTTATCTAGTATCAGAAACTGACATTGGGTAAGCTGCTGAGCTTGAAGTGGCGGCCGCGTTCCATAAGTCGATTTTTCCGTAAGACGCAGACTCGCAGGTCCGGTAAGGCGCGGAACCAGATTTGGAGCATTGGGGAGCAGAAGGTTATGCCAAGGCTGAATGTGGGGTTTTGGAGACGGGAGATGGATCTTAGAGAGCATTCTCAAGGCCCAAATGGGTGATGATATCCGATCTGGCGATTAAAGGTGAAAATGAGAGATGGTTCATAGGCTGGTGGTGCCTTGCCTACATACATACATACATACATACATACATACATACATACATCCCTGGAGGTGGTAGATAAGAGTCTGTCTGCAGGAGCCTGGAGCGGAGGAAGAGACTAAGGCGGAGGAATCGCCACCATTGGCTAGGGATATTTCTGGTGCGGACTGAGCAGAATCTGAGGTACATAACATTTGGGTCATATAACATCAGCTCTGTGACGTAAACAAGAAAGGGGCAATGGCGCATCTGGGAGCGCGTCAGACTGAAGATCTGGAGGTGGCCGGTTCAAGCCCGGCTTGCCCCATTATTTTTTTCCTTTTTACCAACTAATTCTTTTTTACCATCGTTGGCCGCACAAATGTGGAACCACCCTTGTTTTCTTTTTCTTGTTTGCAGAAGAAGAGTTTCAGCATGTCTCTCTGTATGAAAGCTGTTCATTGCATAGTTCTCTGATCCCAACCTCAAAAGTGTTACACTTGCTTCACATTGACCGTGGTTTGCATTATATATCCCACCCGTCGTATGCAACGCCGAACCACAAGATCTAAAACTCACATGTAACCAATTCCCAACCCCTGCAAGTCAAATAAACGCCTTCCAACCCTCTTTTGTACGTGATTACTCTAAATTCGATGTCACATTTGATATCTCGCCCTGGGTGCCAAAGATCGCCTATTAGCGATGAGAAGAGCCTGAGTTTCACTGTGGGTTGCCGATTCGACAATCCCGCAATCAGCCGGCGATGGTGTTTCTACCTCTCATCTCCAGCTTTCCATCGATTTAACCTCAAACATCAATCATTGCTTTAGACTTAAATCGAAATAGCTCCAATTGGTATGGTCACCACTCTCATAAAACAATCCATCTCGCCTTCCACGTCTCCACAATCTCCCTGGCCTCCTCCACCAGACCCAGATCCAGCAACAGCTGCACCGTGCCGCGAAAGGCCGAATCCACGGCCGACGAAAGCCACGCATGTGTATACGCTGTATGCTCACCCATGAAGATAGTTTTGGCTTCAGTCCGATAAATCGCCGGTAAGAACTTTTCTTGTTGATCTCCAAGGGGAGACGCCCAGGCTCCTCCCTGGAATTCATCGTGTTCCCAGCATACATGCTCATAGATCCCTACATCAGTCAGTATTAGCAATCTTCCACGCAGTGACAGATTTTAGATCCCTTACCAGTGAACTCCTCGTTTGCGACCTTCCCATGAGCGTGGACCATACCCCGCTGCGCCAGGGCAACAGCGTTCGTCTCTCCCAGCGCAGCTATCGTCCGGGCCATATTGCCGGTCGTGAAGGAAGCCATAACCACTGCTGGGCCCGAGCTATTTACCTGATACGGGGGATAGCATACGTCGCCGACACTAGGGTAGTCGCTCACGCGTGCGCAGCCTCGGTATTGAGCTTTGTCACCCCGTTCCCAGAACCGAGTGCGATAGTGCAGAGCAACTTTACATGATTGCGTGAAATGGAGATCATGGATTGCCTTGTCAAGAAGCTCGGAGTACTCGGGCAGATTCCACGCACGCAGCATGCTGAACGGAGCAGCGACGACGGCGTAGTCGTACTGTTCGGCAGCCGGGTCCCAGTCGTTTGGATCGTTGCGCCAGAGCAGTGAGACCTTGTCTGCCGACTCGTTGTAGCTTAGCCCGCTGATACGCCGGCCCAGTGTGATCTTGTCCGCCACATGGGGTGCGAATGCTCTCGGGAGCGACTCGAACCCCTTGTCGAGGCTTTGCCAGGCAGAGGCGGCAAAATACTTGTTCCAGTATAGACTCTCCCAGATTGGTGTGTCTTCCCGGTCGGCAATATAATTTATCATCGGATCCCGCGGATTCAGAAGCTGACGCAGGTATGCGCCTTCAGACCAGTGTGGACTTCCCGCACTCAAAGCCTGCTTATGTGCGCGATACATCTTGTGCGCTAGGTACTCGGTGTACTTCTGTTGCTCGTCTTCACCCAGGTCTTGGAGCGTATGAGAATTCATGCCTCCATAGTCATCAGTTATCTTGTCAAAAGGAAGGAAAGTCATCGCCAACTCCGGGTGGTGGTCTGCGTTGAGATGGTTGAGGGTGTCAATAAGACTGAATACCAATCGGTGGTCCTCAAATGGCAAGACTTCACCGGTGCCTGTGTACCTGATCTTGGTGGCTAGCCGCATGGGCCCCATGTCGAAATATTGATAATCATCTGGCGATGTGCCATTGAGGTAGGCGGTTCGGATTCGTCCCCCCAGACGCTGGGAAGCTTCGTGGATATGCCAGTTATGAATCCCGATCGAGCTTAGCAAGTGACTGGTCATGAGTCCGGCGATGCCCGCGCCTACAATGGCGATACTGGAGTCCTTCGCTGCAACGCTGTTTACAACCGCCTTGGAGGAGTCTTGTGATCGCATGTATTCGACACCGTCAAACCAGATTACGGAATCTCCATCGATCTGAGATTCCGCTCGGGGATTATGGGGTGCCTTCTCGATCGCGATGGGGGGTGATCGGCCGACTATCGTACAACCATGAAAGGCTTGCAGACACTGCGAATCCTGTGCATCTGAGGGCACGACCCATACTAATCGATCGGGATGGTCTGAGTCCGGCAGGAGGAAGCTCACTACCTGTTGACTTGCCTCGACTGCCAGATTTATACTGCAATCCCCATAGACAACATGGAGTTTGCCCGCGAAGCGCTGTGAGAAACCGAGTCGGATATTCTGAACAGACCCAGCTTCGACACGATGAGGCCCGAGAAATTGAATCAAGCTCGCTTCCGAGCCACCCTTATGCGACTTTGCCCGACCGAGCGGGAATTGCAGACCATGAGCCAGATCGAGGGCCGGGACGAGGCCAAGAAGCCATTGGGTGATTTTCATCTTGCACGATTGCTATGTAGGTAAGAGCAGAAAATGTGGGTCTGCCGATTTTGAGTCCGGTCACTAAGTTCTACGCCAGGGTGGCTTGCTTCAAGTCTTTATGCTTGGACTGTTGGTGGAGTTTTAGGCTGCTCTTCGAACGTCGCGTCTACTACCACAACGTCATCTCGTCAACAAACACATTCTCAAAAACCCAGAAGCTCTGCATCCTTGGATGAACCCGTTCTCACTTGCATCAAGCGCCATACTCTGTGTAACTCAATAAGTGGTGGAGTCAATCAGCCGCATGGCAATTTTAATTCTATTCTGTCGGTTACGCACGGAAATGTGGCGATCGCCGCCCAATTGTCTGGATCAGTGAGCACAGCATGGTTTAATCTAGGACTAGGTTCAGGAGACACCGGTTTGCGAAGCCAAACAAATTGACCAATGGGGTTATCCTCCTGCAGGGTCGACCGGAAATGCACCGAGTCTCCTTGCCTTTTGGGATACGTGCTCCTACGTATTACGTAGGTTGCTGCATCTGGAAAGTCGCCGGAAACACCGAGATAAGGTTATGTATAATGCTAGATACCAAAGTCATCTGAAGCGTCATCGGCACTACCGTTACATCTACTGCGCAAGGATAGCAGCACTGATTTTCTCGGCCAGCATATCTGTGTGCGGGGTTAGTAGGGTCGAATCGGGATCTCTGCACTCGGCTTGACTCACAGACTGTACTGGTGGGATGGCCAGGGGGCAGAAGAGGGAATGCGCTCGCATCGACCACACGCAGTCCCTGGACGCCGAAGACCCGTGCTTCGCTATCCACCACTGCCATCGGATCTTCCCGAAGCCCCATCTTACATGTACAGGCTGCGTGCCACACGGTGATAACAGAGTTGCGAATGGCGTCCAGGATTTGCTCGTCGGTTGTCACGTTCGCTCCCGGATAATACTCCGGACCAGTCGTGATGGACTGCAGGGGACCACTGGCCCAGATCTCTCTTGTGCGTTTGAAGATTGCTAGCGCCACTTCAGTATCCGTCTGACTTGTGAGCCAATTTGGGTTGACGACCGGCAAATCATCGGTGGAGTTAGAGACGAGCGTGACGTTTCCACGAGATGTCGGCGCGACGAGCGCCCCGAATATGGATGCGTACTGTCGTCCATCTCGGGGTTGATCCTGTGCGAGATTGTTATATGCGCCGACGTGCGCGTTGAATGAGATATACTGCGACTACCATCAGTGACCGGTACGACAAGGTTGGAAATTGAGGGAAGTATACCTCAGCCTGTGGCCAGTCAGTTGGGAACTTGCTCAACTCTTCGCGCGTTGCGGAGGAAAGATTGGCCAGATAGTGCTCTGGGAGATTCTCCCAAGCGAGGAGATCGGGAGCATAAGCCATCGGTCCGTCATGCGAGGTCTGATATCTCAGGGTCTGGGCAGTCATATACGTAGTATTGGTGAAAACCTTGGTTAAGGTGTCGACTGCGACCGGATAGGATGGAGCGAAAAAGACATGATCCCACATATTCTGGCCGACGCCGGGGAGGTTCTGCAGCACGGGAATGCCGAGGCTTTCGAGTTGATCGCGAGGCCCAACGCCGGACACCATGAGCAATTGCGGCGAATTGAACGCCCCAGCACATACAATCACCTCTTCAGCTGCCTGAGGCCTCCACACTCTCCCATTGGTTCCGACCTCCACGCCCTTTGCTCTATTATGTTCATCGAACAAGATGCGCCGCGCCTGGGATCGGGTGCAGACCGTCAAGTACGGTTTTTCGTCGGCAGTGCCCAGAACATAGTCCGAGCTGCTCCGTCGCTGGTCCATGGGGGAGATCTCCGATGCACTCCACTGCGTGCCCATCAGAGTGCCACTGACGAAGTCATTCGTCTCTTCTATTCCGGCCTCCTCCAGGCCTAGTTTGAGCCACGTGGAAAAGGGCGACCGATAGTTAGTGTACGAGATTTGGACGGAGCCCTCGACGGGGTTCTCGGGGTCAAACGCACTGGCGTTCCAGTGGATTGTCGTATTCTGCAGGCCCTTGACTGGACTCGGCGGCGTGAAATGGAAGGTCCGTTTGAAGAACGGCAGGATCTCGTCCCATTCATAGCTCGGGTCTTGAACGGCCTCAGCCCAGGCATGATACGTCGACTTTGTCCCTCTATAGCCTGCCATTAGCAGACTCGCACAAAAACGAGGGTAGACGCACGCGCAACCGACCTCTGATAGACCATGGCATTCATCGCCGACCTGCGCGCCACATCAGCTGTATTCACCGCACAACGAGACGGGGACTCCGCTCTTACGATCCACCCAGACAGCGCCCGCGCGCATAGTGCACCTGTCGATTGTTGGCGCCGGGCTGAGGCGTAGTAATGACGCCCCAGTCGACGCGCGGGTCGATGGTCTCCGGGCTCCCACCGGTCACGGCGCCGAACCCGACAGGCGTCGAGAGGTTGGCGTTGTCGACCTCGTAGATCCCGCCGGCCTCGACAAGCAAGACCCTTCGCCGGGCCTGCGCCAGCCGCGCCGCGACCACGTTCCCTGCCGTGCCTCCTCCCACGATGATGTAGTCATAGACCCCATCCTCACCACAATCACCAGCAACAGAGTCAGACAGCAGCAGCAGGAGCAGCAGCAGGGGCGCAACAACAACCAGTAACGACCGCATACCGAATCCGTTGGTACGCATGTACTGTACAATGTACGAATGATCAAATCGAGCGTCCCTCCCGACCACTCCCCTCCTCTTTTAATATATCCATTTTGCACATTTCCATATGGTAACGACGTTGGACCAGTCACATTCCGAATGAGGTTGTTGCCCTGCATGGATCTGCAAGCCGATCTTGGCAAGGCAGCAGGAGCAACGGGCTTCGTCACGGCTTACCCTGTAGTCGATCAATTCCTGGGGTCAGGTGCTTGCGGATTCCTTGTTCGGGATGCCGCTGCGTCGGTGGTGTGGTTACACGGCAGGGCGGATTGCAGATGCTGTGGGTGCGTAGTCAGGATTATGGGTTATTGGTTTCGTGGTCGGTGTGTGTGTTGCTTGTTGTGTTACGCACGGGGTGCTGTATTCATGTTGCTTTCGGTGCTTTAGTTGGGTGTGTGGCCCGTGCATTTGATCTACGATAGCTTGCTCATGCTAGATTGGGACAGTTCATGAGAACAAGTATAGTTTTTTGATGCTGAGGAGTTGAATAGCGATAACTTTCAATTCAGGTGCAATCTAATTCGGGAATTTAAATAGAACAGCCGCAAAGCAGAAACACCACGCCCGTTACACTCCCAGGATATAGGAAGCAGCCCCAACGAAGCAAAACAAAATAATTCTCAGAAGATACCCTTCCAATCTCTGATCAGATAATCCCCGTTCCTTGACAAAGAAATCACTCCCTCTTTCCAGTCAAAGCAGAGAGAGTGACCGCGGAGAAGAAGACAGACAGAAGGCCTGAGCAATGTCAGCATCAAAGCACCCGCGTAGAAGATACCCCACTCACCGAAGATAAAGTGCAGATCCAGATACCCGATACGGTCGACCAACAGACCCGAGACGATAGGCCCCAGGAACATGCCGACCGTCCAGCCCATCCAGGCGATAGACTGGGCGCGGGAGTGGCCGCCGTTGGGGCCGAAGATGCCGGGGTGACGGGATTCGAGCTCGTCGATGGTTACTACCCCCAGTCAGTGAGTGTGCCTTTGAGATTTAGGCACGATACGGCGCCGCAGTGTAGCAGACCCCAAAGCGCCGCGGTGGCCTGCTAGTATTGTACAGTCAATAGTTATTGTACTTACAGGTCGCTTCCAGGAACCCCACTCCATTCAACGCCGAGAAGAAACACCCGATCACCACCACCGCGATCGCGTACAGAGCCTTCCCCGTCTCCGAGCCGCCGCTGGCCCACGGGAAGCGCTCGTCGCCCGGCACGCCCAGCAGCCACAGGAACGGGGCGACCAGCAGGAAGCCCAGCCCCGTCGGGAGGCGCGTGCCCACACGGTCTTTCAGCCAGCCGCAGACGGGCGTCAAGACGATTCCCGGCATTTGGAGGCCCACGAAGAGCAGCCCGGCTGGTAGGCTACCCCAGCCGAAGACGTCGCGGATATGCAGGGGCAAGGTAGTGTCAAAGCTGGCGAGGAGCATCGCGTAGAACACGTACGCCGTCATGGCTGCTGTGAACCGCGGTTGGCGGAAGAGGACGCCGTAGTACCGCAGTCCGGTTTGCTCCTGCATAGGGGTCACGCCGGCCAGGTGGTTTTGGCGCCAGGAGTCGGTGGAGAGGCTGCGCGGCAGTAAGGGGGCGCGCTCGGGGTCGGGGTCGGCGTCCGTGGGCTGTTGCTTCTGTGGTGCTGTTGGGCCGTCAGTTGAGCCGGAAGGAGCGGTGAGGGGTCGGCGACTGACGTTTTGGCTGCGCTGGTTTGCACTCGATCATCAGCATGCGCATGACTGCGTCGACTAGCAAGACGGCAAAGGCGCTGGTCCAGGCTATCCAGTACCCGCCCTTCTCAAACAGGATGCCGGAGAGTACGGGCCCGGCGGAGGTGCCGACGGCGACGGTGACACTCAGCACGGACATGACCTTGCCAAAGTGTTGCGCTGGGAAGGTCTGGCTGATGATAGCTAGGCCGCCGATCCACATGCAATTATCGGCGATGGCTTGGAAGAACCGCGCGAGAAAGATGATGTATACTGGTATCTCTGATGAGCTGATGGTCAAGGCAGAGGAGGCTCAACACATACGGCCTTTCGCGAGTGCAATGCTGGCCGTGCACAGGCTTGCCAGCGCTAGGGAGAAGAAGAGAAACGTCTTTTTGGCGCGCCAGCGGTCCGCCAGAGTGCCGACGATAGGGCTGGACACGGCCGAGGTCAGGGCCGTTTCTGCCAGGACAAGAAACGTCACGTTCTGCGTCCTGGACGGCTCGAGGCCGATTCGCTCCTCTAGCATGTAAGGAAGTAGAGGGATAATGAAGCTCCAGAGGAACATGCCTGACAGTATCAGAGATTAATTGCCGCGCCCCGAAGCCAGCCCCGCGATCGGTGGATGACGAATACTTACTTCGCGCGATCCCAATAGCGACTGTGGCCAGAATGAAGGTTTCTGACGATCTCCATTGGTAGCCGCATTGGGTAGCTGGGTGTTTGAGTTCAGCCATCATCGACTCAAGAGCTTAGTTCACTGGGATGTGAGATACGAGTTTCGAGGTTGTGTCCGGATTTATAGCACTATGGACGCCATCCTCGAGACTGATATCACTAGATATCTCAACATCAGCTTGAGTTCTTACAGCTGATCTACCACCATCCAATAGCTCTTGTGCAACCTGCTAGACTTTGTTGCAAGAAGGATATCAAGGAACGTCGTGACAATCTAGGCCCATCCTCTGACCGATTAGTCGAGATGCAGGACTCCCCAACACCGGCGTTCTGGCGCTGGTAAGTGTTGAGAGCTACATTGTGCTAGATATCCTGCTAAAGGTCCCACGTTGAAGGAGTAGAATGGCTGGTTGGTGGTCTTCTGCGGAATAGTGTGGCACAGGGAGAATTTCGTCAGGTTTGTCTCGACTCCTTCGCCCTTGCTCTGCATTGGGCTGCATGCATGAGGGTGAAGGTCATGGCAGTAGACAGCCTGCTGAGCTGACACCCAGTTTCGCGGAATAAAATACCGACAATCACATCAAAAGTGCGCACCCGGATTTGCCTCCAGCTTCTGCAAAGGGAGAAATTATTTTGACGTCATGGGGAATCGGGCAAGTGATGGTGTGTAGCTACCGAAGGATATCTCGCCTCAAGTTAGGAAAACCTGCGAGATGTCGCAAAAGGGCAGATCAGGATACATCAAACCACTCGTACCCTTTAAGCCCCTCCTGCCACGTTGGGATGGCCCTACATTCCTCACTACCGATCTGAAATTCCGCACCACCAATCATGCGACCCGGAGATAATCGCTAGAAACATCCCATAACGTCAACTGGCATTATGATGTCATCTCTAGAAGTCGCGGATAGGCCCCGAGTATCGAATTTGGCATTTTGCGCAGTATAAATGTGATGTGTGAGGGTACTTCTAGTCTCATCGAAGCAGTCAGTAGCCTGTTACTTATTGAGTCACTTAGTCACCTATCACATTGCGCATCTGCATGCAGTCGACATTGTCCTCGATCAGCCAAACCATCTCCACCAAGATGCTTTCGTTTTATCCCGAGCCCCAGAACAACAACAGCCTTGTGGAAGCCTGCCCGCATCACACATACCTCCGCCATTGTATTAACCTGGCCAAGCTGTCCCCGCCGCGCCCTGCCCTCTTCCGCGCTGGGGCGGTGCTGGTGTCGCGCAAACTCGTGCGGGGCACAGACGACGAGCTCTACAACGATGACCGGCTTCTCTCGTCGGGATACACAATGGAACTGGTGAAAAGTCCCCACGCGGAACAAGCATGTCTCTCCAACTATGCTGCCGTCCACGAGGTACCGGACAGCGAGGTCGGGGATGTGCTGCCCTCTGAACCGGATCGGACACTAGTCATGTACATTGGCTTCGAACCTTGCGTGGAGAACGTGGGGAGAGATGAGTCCTGCGTGCAGAAGATTATCGACACACGGAAAGGTGGTCGAAAGGGCGTCGAGAAGGTTTATTTCGGGTCGCTGTCGCCATGCTCGAGCGACGAGCAGCCATCGGCACGTCAGATGCTCGGCGAGGCCGGCATTGAGTGGCAATTAGTTGAGGGCCTGGAACGGGAGATTCTGGCGGTCGCAACGGAGGGGTATGGGAACAATAAGAGGTTCTGAGATTTCTGGTGTTGCTTTATTTGTAAAGAGTTTGTTAATGCTTTGAGGTTAACTGTAACATGACTTGTTATTTGTATATTGAGTCTTGAAAACATTCGGCTGGATGGATGGAATGTAATTTGTCACATATTACTTACCTGGATGTGACTGGCAGAAGAGCTTGTATGAGTCTTTGTTTGAAAGAGATCTTTCGGAGTACTAAGCTTGAAACAACGACATTATCTGCGTTGATGTGGAGGATCAGCACTTTAGGTTTTGATTAGTTGTGTATAGACAAGAGAGTTGAGATGAAACTACAGACCAAACAAGAACAAACCCACTGCTGGCGGAGACTTTCCCCCTTTAGGTATGAGATCGACAAACCCGTGAAACCCGCCGCCTCTCAGTGGCAGTTGAGGCCTCTCCAAGCCATCTTCATTCTTTACTTCTCTCTTCCTTCTTTCTTCACCCTCGTTCTCCTCCCCACAAGCTTAATCACCTTATGCTATCAGAGTGGATATACTTGTCCCATGCATGACGACGCTTCTTATCTCCGTCAGCAGCCTCTGCTTACATCCCTACCACAAGCACTATCTCCGAGCCTCTCACCACCGGACCTGACGCGGCATTCCGTTCTTCATCCGACTGGATCACCACATTCGTGATATTAAGGTACACAGGTGGAAGCAGCTGGTGGAACGGGCTACGTTGCGCCTGGTCGGTTGGTCGAGATGCTCAATTATTCGGAAGGGGGATCGCCTCCTATAAAGACGCGCCATATCCGACACTTGCATTCCAATTTCCCACTCTCAACACACTCCTTCCATTCGTTCTTTCTCCAGTCTTTCTCTCATCATGGCCAAGTATATGACTTTGGCCATCTCAGCTGCAGCTCTAGCGCAAGCTGCCAGCTTTGAAGATGTCTGTACCCCTGCCTACGCCAAAGCGGCGCTTCCCTCCATCGGGGTGGCACAGGGCGTGGTCATTAACCCTTCGAGCATCACGGCGGCCCCGGTCTACAATGAATCCACCGCTGGATCCAACTATTACCCTGCCGGCATCTATGACTACTGCAACATTACCATGAGCTACTCTCATGCGGGCAAGGACGACGAGGTCTTGCTGCAGTTCTGGATTCCTACACCCGAGAATTTCCAGAACCGCTGGCTCTCGACTGGTGGATTTGGTTTCGCCATCAACGTTGCCTCCAACGTCCCCGCCGGTCTGCCCTACGGTGCTGTGGCTGGACGTACTGATGGAGGCTTCGGCAGCTTCGACACTCAATTCTCGTCAGTATATCCGCTCGTTAACGGTACTGCCAATTACGATGCTTTGTACATGTTCGGCTACCAGGCCCACCACGAAATGTCCTCCATTGGTAAAGCGTTCACCAAGAACTTCTTCAACATGACCGAAAAGCTTTACTCCTACTACCAGGGCTGCTCTGAGGGCGGTCGCGAGGGTTGGAGTCAGATCCAGCGCTTCCCCGAGGAGTGGAACGGTGCCGTGGTAGGCGCACCGGCTATCCGCTACGGTCAACAGCAAGTCAACCACCTCGTCCCCCAAGTCGTCGAGCAGACTCTCGGATACTACCCTCCCAACTGCGAACTGTCTGAGCTCGTGACGCTGATCATCGAGGGGTGCGACGCTCTTGACGGCCGCAAGGATGGGGTCATTGCCCGCAGCGACCTCTGCCAGTTGCACTTCGACCTCAAATCCACCATCGGAAAGCCCTACTCGTGCGCGGCGAGCACCAGCATGGGCGTCTCGACACCCGCGCAGAACGGTACCATCACTGCAGAAGGTGTCCGCGTGGCCCAGACACTTCTCGACGGCCTGAAGGACTCTCAGGGCCGCCAAGCATACTTCTGGTACCGGATCGGGTCAGAGTTCACCGACGCAGAAACCAGCTATGACTCGACCACTAAGACGTATGGCATCGATATTTCCGAACTGGGCGGCGAGTGGGTGACCCACGGTCTGCAACTACTCGACCTTGACAACTTGTCCTCCCTGGACAATGTCACCTACGACGTGCTCCGCGACTGGATGCTGGAGGGACTGCAGCGCTACGAGGATGTGCTGCAGACGACATGGCCCGATCTGTCCCGCTTCCAGGCCGCCGGTGGCAAGGTAATTCACTATCACGGCGAGTCAGACAACAGCATCCCGGCCTCGTCGTCGATCCGCTACTTCGAGTCTGTCCGCAACACCATGTTCCCCAACTCGACCCACACCTACGACGAGTCAATCAAGGCGCTGAACGAGTTCTACCGCATGTACCTGGTGCCTGGCGCCTCGCATTGCAACACCAACTCGCTGCAGCCGAACGGCCCGTACCCGCAGGACTCGCTGGGCGATCTCATGAAGTGGGTCGAGCAGGGCATCGAGCCGGTGACGCTGAACGGCACGGTCCTGTCCGGTGAGAATGCCGGAGAGCACCAGAGAATCTGCTCATGGCCGCTCCGTCCTCTGTGGAAGAACAATGGGACCACGCTGGAGTGCGTGGAGGACCGGGAGTCGATCCAGACGTTTTTGTACGAATTGGATGCGTATGACATTCCGATCTTCTAGTCGCGAGGATTTGGGGGTGGCATGTACCATATCTAATCTTCTTAAAGGTCTGTACACGTCAATTTGTTTGTACTTAGAGTATTCAGAACTTTATTTTCATCAGTGTTATATTATACTATAAACAGAAATCGCACTGGATATTGGTGCTTCATCCAAATACTTCTTCCAAGTAATAGTGATCATGAATTTCCTTGATAGACTTCTCTAAAAGCTATCAAGCATAGTCTGATTTACCCCTAACGACCCGAGTCTTAGACCAGAAATATGAGTCAAGCACGGGCGTGAGAATCTTAGCACAGTTCCTGTGCACCGTAGAGGGTGGATCGTCGCACTTTCCAACGTCATGATTTCTCACACTTGTCCTGTCAACAATGACGATCACTTGAGATTCGGATCAACCTTCACTATTAGTATTGCGGACTTACTTTTCACTTGAGAGTACATCTTCTGTGTTCTACCGCTCATCATTTTCTCATCTTGCTCCTTTGTTAACTCCGAAGCGTTTCTCGCAGTTGGAATATCTAAACAATGCGATTCACAGTCCATTGAGGTACATCATCCACGCTTCAAGAAAGGTCTATCTAACGTATAACGATTTCAATAACCTTGTCTTTCCTCTTCGCGTCGCAGATGTTCACAGGAAACCGAACCGAAATAACAGCGCAATAAACAACGCTTCCGGCAGCACTCATAAATACCACTCCTGGCAGCGATGATGCGGTTCCTTCTCAACAATTATTGACTATCACGCCATCTGAAACTTTGCCTGAGCCTCTTTCTACCTCGTTGCGCATACTATAACTGATCCTGCCCATCGCCTTCTCAGAGAGGTTGTTGAGAATTTACTTAACCTGCATCGTCCTCACAGGCGTCTTATATTCAGTGCATGGCCGTTATTATGGCTCTTAGCGTGGTTAAATCAATGGCGTTGCTACCAGTGAAAGATTTTGATACAGCGAGCTGTGAGCTTCCCCATCTCTAGACCTTCGATAATATCCTATTTAGCTTCCATAGCGGAAATTATGGATGTCTACCGCATCTGACGAAGATGGTGCCGGAAAATCTCCTCAGTGGCATGAAATCTAGTACTTCTATTTTCGACAAGCGGCTACTTAGTCGACTCACTTTCGCAGAAACAATCCAATAGTGGTTCATGCTCTCGTCTCATGCTCAGCAACATTCTAGTTGCTCGTGTCTACCTCAGGCAGGTCTTCCACATGCAGGTTTGCTTGGATAGCGGGGGCCTCCAACCCGGAGTCATACGAACCTCGCATCTAGCGCCCTAGGTTTTCACCCTTGAAGATTCTATCTAAGATGGCGATGGGAGGCAGGTATAAAACATTTTACAATAGAGTACTAGCCCAGCGACAAGTTCCTCCCCAGCGTCGCCTGGAAGCCAAAATGCTTGTCGATCATCTCCAGCCGCGTCTCACGGGTCGGAGCCTCCAATAGCATGGAGGGCGACAGCCCCAACAGATTCATGATGCGTGGGTTCGCGCCAGCCTGACGTAGAAGTTAAACCATGCGGTCGTTGTTCTTGATGAGCGCGTTCAGCAGGGGCGTGCTGCCGATCTCCCGCTAGGGAAAGAAAGCTGACTTGTTAGGGCTCCTACTACCTAACGCCAAGGTTGACTACAGACCGAGATTTCGAGAAGACAAGCGAAGGCACAACTATCGAAACCGCGCGATGAAGAATTCAACAGGGAGATATTGCGGGTCAGGCAGTCCGGATATGTCATTAGTCTTCATTTTCCCTGTTATATTCCATAGACGTCTTGGAAGAAGAGGGTGGCTGCGTGGTCTTGATCCCACATACGCAATGATAGTACATACCTTGACAGCAGCCCTGTCTGACTAGACCAAGTCTTTCAAGCTATCCTAGGCAGATCGTATCTGGAGCAGCGAGACTGCCTGGGACAGTTTCGAAGGGAAGGGAAAACCGTGGTCTGCACCAGGACAGGTCGGATCGGGAGTAGCAAGTCTACCCGGGATAGTTTGTATAGGAAGGGAAAACCGTAGCCGGTCCTAGGCACACCATGTCCTGAGCACCAAGGCTGCCTGGGGCAACTTGAAAGGAGCTGTGGTACCAGGGTATGTGCCACATCCCCATCTCTTCAATAGCATGAATTCTTCTCTGGATCGGCTAGGTCATAGCGTTGACCACGCTTTTGCCCTTAACGATCACAAGCTGGTTCTTTGGTCTGAAGAATCTGGGCACACAGCATAGTCAAAGGAATGGCACTGAAAATTGCCATCTCTCCGGCTCCGTGGCAGAGGAACGCAACCTAAAGTCGAAGAATCCTGACATCTCTTTCCGCGGTGTGTTTAGCGTCCCGGAGGCTGTCAAGATGTCGTGCGCAATGGCTTTGTGACGCTGACCCAAGATCGCATCAGCCTTGGCGGTGTCACTGGCCGTCGGGGGGTTGCCAGCCACTGCCTGGACGTGCTCCAGCTTGTCAACAGTGTCCTTCCCGGATGCTTCGAGAATCAAAGCGGCGTTCTCCTGATACTTGTAGACAGTCCACTCGAAAACGTAGTTGTAATGCAGGGACTCACGGATGAAGAGGTCACGGAACAGCTTGCGCAGGTACATGTGGTCGGGCTTGTTGTTGAAGCGGAGTGAGCAAGAATAGTTGATGTAGGTGGCGAATTTGATAGGGGGAAACCACGGCAAGAGCCCCAGTTAGGGTGGTTACCTTTTTCTGCATAATGTGGTCAACTTCTGCTTCGTGGTAGCAGCCTTGAGGCCCTTCCAAGGCAGGGAGCCACGGCAGAAGTAGAGTATCACATAGCCGAGCGACTCCATATTATCACGGTGTAACTGCTCGAAACCCAGGTGGTTGTTAATACTAGCGTAACGAGGAGTACATGTAAGGTTCTTGCTCTCACGGTAGGGAATATAAGAGTAAGTCCTCAGGTCACGGTACCTTTTGGCCAGTCCGAAATCGATCACATTGATCTGGTTGCCATGCTTGCCGATACTCATCTCATATTTGTGTTCTGCGTTCAAATCATTGCTCGTGGCGCTCTGTATGCATTGCCTTACATTGTGTGAGATCACTCTGGCTTAAAAACAGATACAATCTTTGCGATATGAGGGCAATTTCCGACTCTGATTAAACGTGTCATGAATTTACTGGAGCCTCTAGAATGACTTTCTCAAAAAATGTAGTCAATGACAGGAAAGCTGCCCCTGTAGCTGAAAGGATATGTTGGCCTTCTCTTATCATATTCCCATCGCCTCAAGTTGTGCAATAAGCTCGGGCGATGCCATGTCCTCAGCCCGGGACGGCCGCAAAGGGCCTAAAATAGAACGATGACGCCGGTTTCGACCTACATACTTTTTCTTAGTATTTGTTTGCTTGATATTCTGAGACATGGGACGGGTGGCTTTCAAGCCAAATAAGAAGCTACCAGGAGAGGTGTGAGCTTACCTGCCAAAATGTCATCAACGGTTTGACTTCTTATGATAGCACGTGGGGGTATATAATGTGCAATAAGATACTCCCTAGCAACACTTGCTCGGGCTGCTTCAGGGATTGCCAACGAAAGCGCATCAACGATCTCCTCGGCACGAAATATGGAAAACCCGTTGAGGGGGGCCGTACTAATCTGAAGCAGAGTGCAGTTTCTGCTGCCGAGAGGGTATGTCTGTCCAACATCCAATTTTCAGCATGTCGTCTCTGAGAGAAAAGCGAGATGAACATGCTCTCGTAGCCAGTGTCCCAGTTCAGGTGCTGCTCTACTGCATCGCCAAACTCTTGAAGGGTATCTTCTACTTCCTGTTCGTCCCCTCCATCATTATCATAAAACGTGACCGTATCAGCTGCCTCGAGCCCCTCGTGTATATCATAAGCCGTCATAGAATCCCCATATTGGACTCTATAGAGAGTAGTAGGAACATCGGTTGGGGAGAGGCAGAATGTATTCATTTTTATATGGCATTTGATGAGAGATGTTTTCATAACAGTTAGTGAGGGTAAAAGAGCCCTTACTGGGCAGAAATACTGTGCGTTATGGCACGAGTCGCAGAATGAAGAGAAGTTCCAAGAACTGGCGTCTTGATCACTCTGATAGATAGCACGTCTTCAAGTTAAGAAAAGTACTAGTATGATTGCTATTCCGTAGGACTTTCATCGGGTTTGACGGTACTTAAAGCGTATGCATTGCGGCCCAACCCCGCTTCCGATTCAAAACAAACACGCTGTACAAACGAGCGGCAAACCAATAAAAAGAGCCTGCATGCAATCAGCGTGAGTAGCCGGCAAGTGAACCGCAAATGAGCTACAAGTACACTGATAGATGCCTTTGTTAGTGGCTTATAGTGCTTTGAGTAAATAACAATCTGACCTGCTGAAACCCAAACGATGACAGAAAAACCAAGGTACAGAGGCTTTCGAAAACAAATTATCCCCTAGACACACACGCTTTCTTTCCCAGGGTAATCTGTTTTCGAAATCCACTGTAGCGCAAAAAGATCCAGAACTTGACTAGTTTTCGCATTGTCAAGTTTGAAAGGGCAGAGAAGAAGAGGACAGACCAGCTAAAAGACTTCAGAAAGGTGTTTAGTTAATGTATGAGAGTTTATGGAGCACAGACTCTTGGGCCAAAGAGTCGTATACTTCGAAGCATGCCACTATTCGATTTGCTCCTCCTGGTAGATACACAATTTCAGAACGAAAACTTCGTATACTCCCGCATTTTGATTTAAACCCTGACTATTTTCCCAAGAAGATGGAGCACTTCCGCCTCGCGAAAGAAATTAATCTCAGTCGCTGTCATGTGTTCAGTTTCATAGCCCAGCTTGTAAACAACAGCGCCAGGTCCAAGCTCAGAAGCATATCTCTTAAATTGCTTTTTGTCCTTCGAGGTGATGAAAGGATTTGATTTAAAGCCGAAATAGCTTTTGTACTCGATCCAGTGGCACAAGTGCCCTTGTATCAATACTGGCTCATGAAATCGAATATCAGGCGTTGGACATAGTTGTTTTTGCTTTTGTTCACTCTCCGTCAAAAATTGATGGCCGAATCCTCTCACTTGGTCGATGAAAGATACTTCGTGAAGTAACGCCCACTCTTGCTTTTGCTGCATTCTTTCTATCGCCTTTGCTTTCCCTTCGGGGGTGCTCTCGGGCGGTAGCAGTCGAAGAGCAGCTTCAATGAGAGCTGAAATGACCGTGTTGTCTAACCGCGTGTTGACATAATTCAAAAGTGTTTCAACATCGGGATTTTTAAAACGAAGACGGCAGGCCATTCGAAAGACGGGTGTGATCAAAGCTCGGGGTATGCCAGCATATGGCTGAGCCGGATTATCGGCGGTGGCGCTTAACATCTTCGCTGGCATTTGGTGGCTCTTTACTCCAACTTCGCTGGGTGATGTCTGCAGAAAGGTATTGGTGGATTCATCGCCACTTGCTCGTCTACGGTGAGTCTTTGAGCTTTTTATGTGCTGAGTTTTTGAATGAGCTGATTTAAAAAATCTGTTGCAAAGCTCGCAACGATGCTTGGAAGACTGAAGGTGCTCTTCCAAAGCATGTTGAGTGGGAAATTGTCGGTTGCAGGGAGCGCAAAGCATCATGCAATATCCAAAAAAGAAGAATAGTTGGAAGAAGCAGTCAGGATTCCGGAAAGTCGATAGAAATTTAATATTGAGGTCTATGTCTGACCATTACCACGGGGCTTTCTTTGTTTTCGCTTCAGCAAACTAACCAGAGCACGGGCTCTCTCAGTCTCAACATTGCTTTTTTTGACACGTCATACATAAGTTTCCGAATATATGATAAGCAGAAGCTTTCGTGAAGCCTTCTGTATTTCTTGCATATGAGGTTTCAACGTGTCCAGGTCTCATTGGCAGTAAGCACGCAACTGAAACATGTGACAAAAGAACAGTGCAGCGTGCATTATGGACGCTATTTTCACCAATTGAATCGAGAGACGTAGTCCACGTCATGTATGGTGCACATTAGCGTGACCTCCTCTTGAAAGCGACACTCTGGCAAGCTGTAGATAATCTATGTCGGTTACCCACGGTATCTTCGACCCCTCCCCAGGCCTCGAGTATACATTTTCGGATCCGTCCTTGATTTTTCGAGGTTTTCACAAAGCAAACTTCTCTTCGCATTGATATAATTTGCGCAAGTCATCTTTATCAATACTTTTCTAGCTGTTGATTGGAAAAGGTCTATCTGCAAACCCTTTCAGAATCCCCAAGATGACCGTGGCAGTCGATAAGCAACCTTCACCGTCGCCATCGGTAGATTCTAGCCCTACAGACCTGCTAGCACTTACAGCCACTTTCCAAGCCGCATCCCTGGACGATGAACCTTCTCTTTTGATTATCAACACCGTTGGCGACCTGACTGGATTGTTGAAAGGATTATCAGATCTTCCCGCTTGGCCTCCTTCTTTGTTCATTGATCTTGAAGGAACGAATCTCTCTCGAAATGGCACAATATCTATTCTTCAGATTTTTGTTTCTTCAACACGGAAAACATATCTTGTCGATATCTATACTCTTGGAGACAAGGCTTTCTCTCATTCCGCGTCGGACGGCTCAACTCTACGTTTCATTCTCGAATCACCCTCTATTCCAAAGGTCTTCTTCGATGTCCGTAACGACTCAGACGCCCTATTCGCCCATTATGGGATTAATTTAGCTGGAATTCAAGACCTTCAGTTGATGGAGCTTGCAACGCGCACATTCTCAAAAAGATTTGTGAAGGGATTAGGAAAGTGCATTGAATATGATGCTCCTATGACGCCAAGTGAGAGAGCAAAATGGAAAGCATGTAAAGATGCCGGGCGGAACCTTTTTGCTCCAGAGTGCGGCGGCTCTTACGAGGTATTCAATGCTCGCCCACTGTCAGATGAAATTATACAGTACTGTGCACAAGATGTTCAATTCTTGCCTAGATTGTGGCACAAGTACGATCAACGAATGACCGGGAATTGGCGGCTGAGGGTGGAAGCAGAGGTGAAAAGACGTATCATACTTTCCAAGTCCGTCTCTTACAACGGCAACGGAAGACATAAGGCGCTCGCGCCCGGAGGTTGGGCATAGCCCTCATCCTATCAGTGCACACATTCTACAGAGACAAAGGTGTCAAGCGCCCCCACCCTCAATCACGAATAGTTTTGAAGTATTCAGTGGTTTAAAGAGTGGGTTCCGCGATTTCTATGAGTTTCGGGGTTCGAATTGAAAAAGGTTCGAGGCCCATTTAATGATACAGTTGCGGCAGAGGCTATTCCGGTGCTCGACTTCTTCAATTCTTACCCCCTGTGCGATTCTATACATAGGCCATTATCCTTTGACGATGGCCATGCGAAATTATCTGTAGATGCCTGCGGCAGATAAATTGATTTCCAAATTGCATTATATTGCTATCAAGAGGGTGTTTCGAATAGTGGAGCGTGTGGTCTAGCTCTTTTTCATAAGATGCCGGAGTAATTCATCGGTACTCGAGAGAGAAGGGAGCCGGGGATGCGCCTATACTACCTCTACCCCCAGCTTCTAGAGTGCTAAAAGCCAGCTCTTTCCACAATTTGAATTGGGGCGGGAATAGCTTGATAGTTTGCTCTTTCTTCGAAGTGGCCTACAATTTTGACACGGGCGTATAATCATGATTCTCCGCACTTTCTTTTGCCGTTCTTCGTATCTCAGGTTCTTCAGTGTTTCTGGCCTATACAAATGGTTTTGTAAGTCATGAGATAAACCTTAGTGCCTTTGATATTCCAGATGATTCTTTACCGCTTCTATTCCATACATCGGGATATTCAGCAAACGGATGTGATCTTCCAGGGTCTCCTGTAGACCAGTGAAGAGTAGCCCTGGAACTAATAAGCTAAATGTCACATCTTGCACGCCGCTCACAATAGACCGGTATACTCTGGGAGAAACAAAAGTGACTGATAAGCCATATTAAAGGGGTCTAGAACAACAAGGGCGAGAGCATCCGACAGCTTGAGCATGACAGCATTTACCAAACGTTCACCGCGCCACGTCGCTCTATCCATCCATATTTAGCGCTTGTTCCATTCTCCGGGTATTCGCAGTCTCATCCCACTTCTTCTTCACGCAAAGTAAGTGAGTTTATCGAAATATAGCATTCCTTCCCTAGCAGTTGAGAAAGAGAATAAGGGGGGGGCTGCGTAGATGATGAATACTATATCTATCGCTGTATCTTCCTTCTTTCGTCTGTTTTAGGCATATACTTATGTTTTATTGTTATACAGTAGAAGCATTCACTAAGAGTTACAATAAGAGTCCAGGAAAAAAGTCCAGATAAGAGACCCTCCCTATGATCACTGGATCATCTTGAATATACCAAGTACTACTCTAAAAGAGACTATTCGCAAATGCCAGTACTTCCACAACCTTCCGCGATCATAAGATCCGCGTACTCAACCTGATAAATCATACTCTGTATCGCTTTCTACGAAACGCTCTATACAACATCTTCTCGACTAGAAGCACCTAACCTAATTCCAGTATGTAAATTCGAATCCCAATAAAGATAAGGAAAGAGAGCGCGTAAGCCAAGACAAGAAACCTCGCGGTATGAGACAGGTAAGTCCTTAGCTGTCACAGAACCTCCGGTATTTCCTGCCCCCAGCTTCTTGACGTTACCAATGATCAAGCGACGGAACGGCTGCTCAAAGGCTGGGACGGACCTTTCAGATACTCAGGTCTGATCATCGCAGATTTCATCGCCATGGATATTGTTGGATACGAGAAATATTCACAAAAGGGGTTCTGCGGCCGTTCGTCAATCCGCGTTGAAGGCTACTCGGTTTGTGGTTCATAGCATTGTACGGAGTGGAGCTCTAGAAGGTTGTTGTTATTTGATGTATGCGGTTACAGGTTCCTCGTAGGAAGGGAACGAGCTCGCAGTAGACCGGAGACGGAACTGAGAAAGAGAATTGGACTGTGGCCCTGCGATAGAGGCCTGCGTACCTCTTTTCTAATCAGAATTGATTAAGGGCGGGAGGAGTGGCTGTTAGACCACATTAAGGCACAATCCAGCATTGAATCTGATGTACATATCTAGTATATTAATACATTGGTATAAGTCACCGCCAAAGCCCCACTGTAGCACTTTTTTTTCTCCCAAAAGAGATAGACATTCTCAGCTCCACTACTTGTGACTCGTTTCCATATCGACGTCAAGAATTCTCCCGCAGGGTGACTTTGCACGGAAAGCCCTGAGCAGGATGACCGGCGCCCTTCTGAATCATGTAAGCACGCTCATCAAACACAGTCCGAATGCCGCTGTCAGACGGATGTTCGCGATCGTATTCGGCGTAGGCATCGTGAAAGTCAAATTGACGCACGATCATGGCGAGCGTGGCCTTGACGCCCAGCATCGAGATGTTCTGGCCGATGCAGTTGCGGGGCCCGTGCTCAAACGGACGCCAGCCACCGGTGGGCGGGTAGAGGGGGTGGTCGGGGCCGACGAGCCAACGTTCGGGGAGGAAGGCGTGAGGCTGCGGCCACACGGACGCATTACGGTGCACGGCCGGGTGCACGATCCAGATTGCGCAGCCCTCGGTCGGGAACGATCGGCCCTGTTCGTCGCGGAGCGAGACATCGGGACGTCCACCTCGCAGCCCGTTCGCTGGGGGGAACAGGCGCAGTGTCTCCTTGATTACAGCATGCGTGTAAGACAGTTGATTGATTTTCTCCGGGTGGGTTTGCAGCACGGTATGTGCGCTGGAGGAGCTGAAGACGCGGTCGTGCTCCGCACGGATCTCTTTGAGGGTCTCCGGGTTCTTGTGGAGAAGGTACAACGCGTAGATAATCGTGGTCGCTTCAGAGTCGTGCCCGACGAACAGGAACAGGCGGATCTGAATCGTAGCCCAGCGCTTGAATTCTGGATCGAGCGCCTGCTGCGATGGACGCGTTTGCATGTAGTCGGCAATCACCAGGTCCATGATCGACTGCGCGCGAGTATCGCTCGAAGCCTTGGCAGTGGTTTGGCACCATTCCTGGTATCGCTTGTCGAGTTCGAGCCCAATGAGGTGGTTCAGGGTGCGTCCGTTCTGCCATTGCCGGTAGAGACGACGGGGATTCCACCGGGCGAGCATGCCCCCAGCTTCGATTCCGCATTCAAACTCGATAATGTCGCGCATGGCCGCCGCAATGGGGTTGTGTTGTTCTTGGAATCGGAAGCGCGTGTTTCTGCATTGTCCCACGTTAGTTCGCAGGCACCAGTCCTGGATCTGAGCGACGGGAGGGTGCTCACAGGGCGACATTTCCGATAATGTCCATGGTATAGCGGCAGGTCAGCTGGTCGAGGGAGAAGGTATCCCCCTTGCGGGCGTGCTGCGTGAGCATCTGAACAAAGACCTCAGCCTCCTCTAGGATACAAGGCAGATGCGTCATAGCCGTCGCCATGCTGAAACCATGATTAAACATATCGCGAGAATGTTTCCAGTGCGGCCCGTTAGTGACAAATAGGTTGTCCGAGCCGCCCGCCATCGGATTGATAAACGACTGAAGGACGTTGGGTTTGGGAAGGTCATAGGTCTGGGCGGCCTGTACGGCCAGTGCTGGAGATGTCACCACCAGCATCGGGCAGCTAAAAGGCCACACGTCGACGTAAAACCCTCCTTCACCCCCGGGTATCTCGGTGGACAGGAGGGCGAAGAGTTCGGCTTCGCGGGTATCCGCCGGGCCTCTTTTTTGCAGCCCAGCCATCGCCGGTAGGTTTCCTAGGAGAGGGTTCCAGGGCGGCATGGGCTAGTCTTGTGTGTTAACATCCCAAGCGATCGCGAAGAGAGGTATACATACCAGTCCTTGCTTTTTGAGGCGGTAGAACATCGATCGCATTTTGATGAGTTTGTAAACAAAGGACGTGAAGCAGATGGTGGTTACTGTGACCAACAGGGGCTTCGCCAGTCGAGCCCAGTCGGTATGGGCCGCCATCGCCATGGTGGAGGGCCAGATTAGGGGGAGAGAGCGCGTGGAAGAAGAATAGCAAGGAAAGCACCGATTGAGTATATGATTGAGGTGAGAAAGTAAAGTAAGGTAAGCGAGTGAATTGAGTGAGTGAGTGAGTGCGGTGAAATTGAGTGTGGTATGCGGAGGAGGAAAAGAGGAAAGCGGCTGACAGCGCGGCGAGCGGGAGGAAGCGCGGATGGGCTGGAGTTCAGTTGGAGATCCCCTGGCTAGACTAGCGTGACTAGTGACCAGGATGCGGGAGGAAGGACAAAGACACGGCTGGGGTGTTACCCACTAACATTAGAGGTATTAATTTTAATTATTTTCGAATTCTTGTCATGCACGGGCCAGAACTGAGTCACTGTTTTGGCCCCCAAACAGTGCTAGACTAGTGCTTACCTTCCAGCCCATCATGGATGATGACATGACAAGTCTGAAAAGAGGGGTGCATCACAACATGCAGAACATGCAACTTTTATCCGTCTTGGTGGCAGACGATTCTTGTTTTTCTTGCAGGGGCTGTGCAATTGCTATGCATCATGGAGGTATTATACTGTCGATACTATAGTTAACACGAGGCACAGTGGCCAGGTCGGGAGTAACCCTATCTCCGTGAAGAATAAGTACTATAAGCATACTTTTCTGCAATCCTCCGGGCTGCTGCAGATCGGATCCGCTCAGCACGAAGAGGACTCAAAACTTGCTGCTCTTTGTTCTTCACCATGGCACCTCAAGATTCTGCTGGGCGAATTTCCAAGCAGAGTTTTATAGTGAGTCACCCACCCAAGTGTTGGTCGGAATTTAGACTGACACTCACTGGGTCGATAAACAAAGGTTTCTATCTCCGTACTTCTAGTCCCGGCTATCTTGGGGGTGTTGGCGCGGTTGTTCATCCGCCTCCGCATCCAGAGACAGAGACCCTCCACGGACGACTGGCTGTTGGTAATTGCCCTCGGCTTCCTCCTGGCCAGTATCATTATTATGTATAGGGAGGTGGTGGATCGGATGTACTTGGTGTTTGCTCTCGGCCAAGGCATGACAGATGTGGCCATTCCATCGGATATCGTTCAAGTTTCGTACAAGTTCCACCTATGGAGCGATGTCTGTCTCTTAATCTCGTGGTGTGCTTTCAGTGCCGTCAAACTGAGCTTCCTCTTCTTCTTCCGGAAGCTGATCGAGCGGATGAGGGCCTGGCAGCTGTACTGGTGGGCCATCCTCATCTACACGATCGCCGTGTTGATCTACGGATCCTTGATCTTCTTCGTCAGCTGTCCCTACTTCTTCGACCCTCGTGAGAGTGCGTGATGAACCCAACCGTGGTTATTGGCGACCTTGCATGCTGACAAGAACAGATACTTGCGCAACTGGAAGCAATAAACAGGTGATCGTGGCTGAGTCAATCGCACTGGCAGTGCTCGACACGGTGGGCGACCTCTTGAGTAAGTTGTGTCCCTGTGTCCCCTCGCGAGTCCTCTAGCCACAGTACTCACACTGTTTAGTTCTCGTGATCCCAATCAATGTCATCTGGAAGGTCCGGGTGCGATGGCCACAAAAAGTGCTCCTGACCTGCTCGCTATGTCTGACGGTCATCATGATCGCCCTCTCAATTGTGCGGGTCTGCGGGCTCGTAGCAGGCGATATGGTCGATACCATCTGGGAGACATACTGGCAATTTCTGAGCGCCGAAGTCGGGGTGTTCCTGGCCGCGGCCGTCTCGTTTCGCTCGCTCTTTGTGGCGCACAACAAATCGTACGCACCTAACTATTCGATCAAAAAGTTTCTGCAACAGTCTTTTCGGTCTCCGCAGAAGCGCGATCCCTTGACATTATCAGATTCGTGGCTGGAGATGCCTGGATCTGACATGGAAGCGTTATCGGGGACTGTCCACGCCACTGCCGGGAAAAATGGCATCACCCGCGGTGAGCAACGCGGGGCGGATTTGGAAGCAAATTAGACGTCCCGTCATTGCCTCAGGGCGCTGGTGTCGGAGCGTTACGCGGTTCAGCCGGCTTTCCACCTCTGGCTTGGGGGCTGTATCCATCCAATTCAAGTTATGGTATTATGAGATAATGATAGCGAGTTAATTTAGCACTTGCATTTTTTCTTCTACTGGACGTAGGTAAACTACCGGAAGACAACCCCGCCATCAAAATGCCGAGATAAACAAAGCAGGCTCAGTTGGAGCCGCCCGCGACGAATCCAGTCAGGAGCGTTTTAAGTCCACGGTTAGTTCCGTGAGAACCGAGTCCATGCGAGAATCATTGTATTTTTAGTGGTCGGAAAACCCCCTCAAGTCATTCCGGTCAGCACTAGCATTGCACTACCTCCAAAGTAGTTTAGTCTTTGCGTCTGCAGCCCAGTCTTGCTGCAGCCACTGTCACACACTCAGCCCACCCGTGCAGTAGACAACTGTACTTGTTCCAACGCTTACTTGTCCACCTGCCCGCTCGTGGGCTCCTCGAGCCGCAGTGATGATAAGGAAGAAATGGCCCCCAATGTTGACATAACCAGTAGATAGGCCTAGATACCCTCTGGTCAGAATAAATGCTTGTTAGAGCTCGGTAAGCATGAGGGGTTGACCCACTGGTGAAGACATGGTCTCTGCTGGCTTAGTCCCTCATCCCCTTACCCAGCCAACTCAACTCCTCTCGTAGGCAAACAAATCGGGCCATATTCAATCAAGACGCACCAGTGCAGCGCCGATAAACGAGGCAAGTCCGTAGCTGGCGAGAAACGGGACCGAAAGCAGCAGAATGAAGACTATCACCTGGCGGGACAAATTGGGAGGAACAGCTGCGGTGATGGCAGACCCGAGGAGAGCGAGGAGATAGCTAAGAATAAACGCGCTACTGGATCGCATGGTGATCGGTGGTAGATTGATTGAAATCAAGACACGCAGCGCTCGATCTGGACGCAGCAGCCGAGAGACATGTCTGGTTACCCACCTAGCTACTTAAGCCAAATGTCAGCTCCAGCCTCGTGGGCGAGGCAGTCCCACCGAATTGATCCTTCCGCGATACCCCTCCAAGCTAAGCAGACCATCCGGGCATAACAACCTCCAGAGATTGGTCCGTGCAATGGCTGGGAGCCTCATCCTAGTAGACCAGATACCTCCGGCGTGATATCTCCGCACCTCCTGCCAGGGATGGTACCGCTTAGCCCGGACCTGAGTCTTCCTTCGTTCTATTTGCAAGAAAATCAGCCGTACACTGCCCCTGTTGGAGCCACTTTCTCGTCTCGATGCTAAGGCTCGGTTTGGAAAGGTTGAGCGATTCTGGCGAGTATTTGAAGGCCCGGTGGCACCGGTCTGCGGGTGGCAGCGGATGCGCAAAGTGGAAGTGTAAGGTCATTACTGTCGTCCATCGGTGCTCACCATGGGAGTTTATTCTATCGCACACTCGTTGCTCGCATTGGGGCCAAAAGACTTGTTCTTGTTTCTCATCACTGGGTCGCTCTTTTTCTGTCTTTTGAACTATACAGTCGGTGTCGTCCTGTTTCATAGAGTGAATTCGGAAAAGGCCGGGCTGAAGACACCTCCGCTGGTACCCAGCGTCCTCCCTATCTGGGGCAACTTCTCATTCCGGGCGATCTTCGATCCGCGGGCATGGGCTCTTTCAGCAAGGTATGACATCTCGCGTGCCATTCTGCGGTTTACATAGCTGACACAACACGTGCAGTAACGTCTTCGGGAATGCAACCCCCGTGCGGGCGAGGTTCCTGGCCAATGACGTCTACATTTTCCAAGGGGTCAAGAACGTGGAAGCATTCTTCCGACAACGCGACCTCTCGTCCTTCAACCTGCATGGGTTTCTGCTCAACCGCGCGTTTGGGCTTCCGACAGCCGCGATGAAAACATATGCCAAGGACGACTCGGGGGCGTACCCCAAGCCCTACCCAGAGAGCCAGGTCGAGCCGCGCAACCGGATCGAATACCAGCTGGAGAAAAGCTTACATCGCTTCCTCCTCGGTCCAGGCCTCATGCCTCTCACACGACGGTTCCAAAGCGCGATCGCGCAGCACTTCTACACCCTCCCCATCAGCGACGACTGGGTCTCATGGGACAACTTCGTCACATTCTTCGAGCAGGAGCTTACAGCTCCGTTCCTCAATTCGCTCTGCGGAGACTATCTCCTACGAGCACACCCAGACTTTCTGGCGAATCGATGGACGTTCGAAAACAACATCTGGTCGATGATCTTCGGGCTCCCGAGATTTCTGGCGCCGCGGGCCTACCGGGCGCGGGACGGCGCGCTGCGGGCTCTCAAGGACTGGCATGTGTGGGCGCTCCAGAACTTCGATCCGGCGTTGGTAGACGCCGATGGCGATGATCCCGTCTGGGGGTCTAAGTTCTTTCGTGAAAGGAAGACTATCTTTGATACTATCGATGGGTTTGACCTCGATGCTATTGCCACACATGATCTTGCTTTTATTTGGGGGTAAGTTACTTTTTCTCTTTTCTTCTGCTTCCTATCATATCTGCTATGGAGGAGAGTTGAGTGTTTCTCTTTTTCTTCCTTGCCTCTTTTCTTTGGTGGATTGGTGAACCTCGAATACTGACCCATGTTCCCCGACAGCACCACCAACAACAGCATCATCACCTCATTCTGGACGGCCGTGGAAACCTTCAGCGACCCACATCTCCTAGCACAAGTCCGACAAGAGGCCGAAGCATGCCTGATCATCGACCCAGAAGCCGGACCCGACCAACCACCGCAATTCGACATGGACAAACTGCAACAGCAGCCAGTGCTGCAAGCCATCTACGCAGAGACGCTGCGACTGCGCATAAGCGGGTACTTCGTACGGCACCACTCGCACGGCGACATCGCGATCGATGGATGGCGCATCCCCAACAACCACATCATCCTGACCAGCCCGATGCACACGCACATGGACCCCAACACCTGGGGCTCCGAACGCCCGGTCGACCAGTTCTGGCCCGGCCGCTTCCTCAAACCCGCGCCCGCGCCCGGCGGCGGAAGCGGCTGGGAGTTCACCACCGAGCGCGCCCCCGGCGCTTGGATCCCCTACGGCGGCGGATACCACATGTGTCCCGGTCGCCATTTCGCTAAAATGATGATCATCTTCTCCACTGCCCTCTTGACGACCATGTATGACTGTGAGATCCGCGCGGATCCGAGAAACTTGGCCATGAGTATGCGTAATTTCGGGTTCGGTATGTCGGGGCCCACGAGTAAGGTGCCTGCTCGGCTGCGGCGACGGGCGCATTGATTGTTTTTGAGGGTGTTTTCTTTGTATCTATGGGAATCGTTTATCAGTTGTATGGATTGCGTGATGCCTGGAAGCTGACAGAGAAGGGCGGTCCGGGGGTTCTCCCCCGGAACGCTTCTTTCTGGTATTAGCTATGGGCGTCTCGCATCCGCAAGCATAGACTACAATACAAAAGTGACATTCCGGGGGAGAACCCCCGGACCCCCCTTTTCTTTCAGCTTCCTGGCCTCACGCAATCTTGTAACAAGAGTGTCCGCTCACGGAGGATCAATACTATACTCACCTATATATCAGAACTAATACCCGTCACCCACACTTCCAGACATTATATTGGTAGAAGGCTGTCCTACTTATAGTATGAACAAAATTACATCAAACACTGCATATACATCATACCCTTAGCAGCACAGCATAATTCAAAACAAAATATACGGAGAAACAAACGAAATAAAGAAATATAATCCTCCGTCCACGTAAGCAACCATCCAAGAATTTATTATTGCACGACTAGACACGAGACCCAGAGCCCCATTAGGATCGCAGCTCCAGCCCGCCGTCACACCCTTGCAGGTACTTAAGCCCGCCCATGCTCAAGCCATCCGTGCACAGATATTTTAGGCTTCTGGTAAGCCTCCTTGGTATCCGGGTGGATCCGATTTCTTGAGCGGACCCTACGCAATGACGAGCTTTGGCAGAGGCCTGTCGTAACTATAAGAGCTGGTAGGGCTGGATGGGTGAATGCCTGGTGTATTGGGGTTAGCTTGGAACCTTGTTGAGATGGGTCTAGGTTTCAGATATAGGGGTACGAGTTCATCCTTGGGTAATGTATGTAGGAAACATTGCTGACTCGATCCCAGTATATTTAATGATACCTTGCAAGCCCACCACTCATAAAAGCTTATAAAGCTGCATGGGAGAATAAGCCACCGCATCTAAGCTGACCACTCGTGCTCTTGGTTGTTGCTTAATTATATTGAGAAAGTAATATCAGCAACTCCGACCCCAAAAGCTACTCAGCATTCCGAGACCCTGTCACTTTCACGTGATTTGAGTAATGGTGGTGCTGCCAGTGGGGTCATACAACCGTCAGTAAGAGTCGGTGTTAGGTTCCTTTGTTTAAGACCTCATCTTCTCATCCTTCCAAATCGTTATCTGTATGGATATTTTTTGTGTCATCCTCAAACTACAACCCCAATGACCTCAGCCGAGAGCCAAGCGCTTCGTTCGATCTTCTTCGAAGAATCATGGGAGTACCAGTGGCAGAGCCGGATCATCTTCCACGAGGACGGCACAGGAACAGGCCTGGGGAGTCTCAAGGCCCGCTACCCAACCACCTTCCTCCTCCTACATGATCCTACGCCAAGATACCGCACCCACTAACACTTCACATGTAGCTAATTGCCTGCGGCGAGCTCTGCAGCTTCATCGGCTTGATATTCAACTGGAAAATGCAAGAACCCGACATTCTAAGCCAAGCCATCAATCTCCCCACCCAGCAAGGCCGAAAACCCCAGGCCCTCACCGAATTCAACATAGAAATAACCTACACAACCCGGCGGCCCGAGAGATTCACCAACCCAAAGCTCCGCAAACTAACGAAGAAACGCTTGCCGACGAGGCCTTCCGACCGAAAACCTACACGATCCGACTCGAAAAAGTCCTACTGTCTCCGGGCCATGTGTCACCAGTACTCCGTACAGTCCACCGCCAGCGGCAACCGCAACCCGCTCACGCCCCGGACCCTTCCTAACCACATCTCCCCAGGTCGAGATGTCAAATAATCGCGAAAATCCACACATAGGGCTGCCCCACCCTGGATGTGTTACCTGGTACGCGACTACAGGGGTAGGACGCGCAGATAGCCAGTCACAGCCCTCTCTGCGTCGAGACGTCAACTAATCACGAAAATCCGCTTGTAGGGCTGTTCCGCTCAGGTGTGTTACCTGGTACGCGACTACAGGGGTAGGACGCGCAGATACCCAATTACAGAGCCCTCTATATTGAGATGTCAACTGATCGCGAAAATCCACTTGTAGGGCTGTACCACTCTGCTTCAGCTCTCGGTACGCGTTTGTAAGGATGCCGCGGCGTGTTGATAGCGCGTTGTTTACGTCGGGGAAGCTGAGTATTCACGAATGCAGTCGGAGAATGGAGGCTTTTTATGCTATAAGCTGAGCGCCTGGGCTTGGGAGCCGCTGACGGCGCAATCGGTCAATTCTGTTGACATTGCGATGCGGACAGCCACTCTACCTGGCTGACTCGTAGCCACCAAGAAGGTGGTGGTGACTGTAAGACGATACAATCCCCTTATACCTTGCGAGCAGCAAATATCATGCATTCCGTTACCCCAAGCAAAAGAGAAAGGCAAGAGAAGAAACAGCCGCAGCAGGCCCACCCCGTCAACGAAGACCATCATCCCAACTTCCTACCCATCTGTCTGCTCCAAAGCTTACGATCAAACCGCTGCTCCAGTAATGCCCGCGCATCTCCAGCATACACAAAAACCTTCCCGCCAGCCTCCGCAGGCTCCCTTCCGTCCTTGAAATAAATCCAGCAGTCCGCAACTTCGTACGCGTTCGTCTCATACGAGGCTAACTTCTGTGCCTCCTCAGCAGATCGTAGGAGATACGCACGTCCCGTCACTACATCGCCTTGTTTGCTATTGATCAAGGCAGGATAATCACCCCATCTCGCAACGGCGTAACCGAATACTTCCGCTTCGCGGAGCTGAGGCTCCTCCGATAGGTCGAGGATTCTACTCAGCTGCGCGGGGTCGGTGAGGGTTCCGTAGAAGAAGTTGTATACTGGGAAGGTAGGTGAGAAGTTGCCTGGCTCGTCGCGCTGTGTTAGGTAGTCTGGTGGTGCCGACTCGAGCATGGTGTAGAAGGGTGATGGTGGCGACTCCTTAGCTGGGGATAGGCTCGGAAATTTAAGTGTTCCAGCGTCTCTTGGCATCTCAGACATTTCGCTGTGCAAGGAGGCCGAAAGATGTGGACGTCTGACAGTACTTCGATGATATGGAGTTCTTAGGTACCAAGCAAAGAATGAGACGGTGTTGCTTTTCGGAGAACGCGGGAGAGGCAACAATAATCTAGATAGTAAGTACGAAAGGCGGTCAAGGGGCGCTCCAGTGCCAAAAATGTACTTAGATATAAGTCTTTGTTGAGAAAGCTATTCTCGTATCTGGCGCAGCAGACTCTGCCGTAGCCCGGGGATTGTGCTAAACAAACAAGGGAAGACAGATCAGACAATGCTCTTTGTGTTGCTGGTGGTGGTGCGATTAAACTTTACTGTCTTATCGGAATATGGTTGAAAGGACTCCTTTCGCCATCATAACCCTCGGGCTGTTAGAGACAAATGTTTACTGCCTTCCTGGGATGAATATTTTATCTGGGTATCGAACTGCACCTATGCCACTTTTCACTGCAACGAAAGGCAGAAGATGGTCTGGCTACACTATACTACAAGTGTTTGGGGGATGACCGGCCGATTTTACTTGCTGTTCGGATCTCCCGCTGCGCAATATCCCACCACCACGATTATTATCACCATGTTTGTCACAAATCCTCTATCCACCACTTTCCTGGCTTGTTCTGATCAGTTGTTGTCAATCAATCAATCAAAAGAAATAGCCTCTTTTAAGCCCACTATCCCCCTCGAGCAAGGCTCCTTCCAGACTCCGCTCGCCTACGAGAAGCTAACCACTGGCCTTCGCGATGCGGGTTATGCGGTCGTTCACCCGTTACTGCCTACATGCTCCGACCTAGAAACCTCAGCTTTCCCCTCACATACACTCAGGAACGATGCCGAAGTGGTCACTAGAGTTATCCAGCAGCTGGTAGAAGAGGAAGGAAGATACGTGGTCGTCGTGATGCACTCCTACGGAGGGACTGTCGGCAGTGAAGCGATCTCGGACCCCCTTACCGCTGCGGTGCGCCACGCGGACGGCCAGAAGGGCGGAGTGCTGCGTCTGTTCTACTATGCTGCTTTTGCGCTGGCAGAGGGGCAGTCCGTGCTAGGCTCATTCGGCGAGTCCCCGAACAATGATGTTCTGGTGAGTACAGCCATTGTTGCTATCCTCGGTCCTTTACATTCTAACCAACCAACCTGTGTGTCTTCTAGCCCGACGGTACCTTTCGCATCAAGAACGGAGCCCAAACCCTCTACAGCGACCTTCCTCCACAAGAAGTGGCGGTCTGGGATCAAGCCTCATCCCGCAATCGTATGGGGTGCGGACGACGACCACCACCCGGGCGGCCTATAAGTTATAACTATCTCCCGTCAACGTACCTTGTCTGCGACGCGGACCAGGCAGTGCCTCCCCAGTTCCAGGAGGGGTTCGCGGCCTTGGTTAAGGCGGTGGAAGTGGGTCACTGCGGCGCGAGCCATTCGCCGATGTTGAGCCAACCGGCGATGTTGGTGGGGAAAATCACGGCCGTCGTCGATAAGGCCGCGGCTGCAGTGGGTCTTTTGTAGTGGTTTGGAATTGGTTGAAATAACGATCGGCGGCTGTCAGATTTTAGCGGGGTTTTGGTCGGGGAACGCTTCCGGTTAATCGCGCATAGAGTGATCTAACATGCTCGACTTGATCTGCTCCGGAGACGGCTTTGTTTGCTGCCTACGGTGGGGAAAACCCGCTTACCTATAGGCCTGAGTCATGTGGCCAAATTACTCAGGTTGCCAACGGTTGCGGCGATGGAACTACAGAGTATGTCCGATGAACCGATCGAATGGTAGGTCGGGATCGGAGAAGAGCCGGCTGAGATTGACCCGCGGATCTTTGGACCCAATACACTTCATAATTGTTGCTGAAGGGGCTGTCTCGAGTAACCATGGCGCCGTTTGCAACGTCTCTAATAGCTGGCGAAGGCCACCACCGTTCCTTCCTTCGTTTATAGTCCCTGCCTTACATCTTGATGTATCACGTGACCGGACGGATCGCCCTTCCCGAGGATAACACCTCGTTCCTCTCATCTTCCCTTATCAACCCGTATTCAACAATCGTCCATTAAGTAACATAGCGTTATGATCATCAATTTCTGATGTGAGTTACATGAGATCAAGACTGCAGCAGTCTTCTTTCTCTCGACCGGATCGACTTTACCATTGCTCTTCCTCATAGAACGCCTCGCCAAGCTCACGTGCCACTCGCTCGTCACTCGGGATCTGCCCATGCGACGCTAATGCCCGGACGTTCAGGACTTCTTCTGGGCTCACGAAGGCCTTCCGAATAAATGTAGGGCCAGGAGTGCTGGTGAATAGTAATTTCAGCGGGGCGCGGACACTAGGATCGTGAACGAGCTTGATGAGACGCAACAACACCGGCAGCGCTGCTGCAGCGTATTCGTCATCTCTTTCCAGGAGTACAACTCCATCGATAAGACAACACAGGGTGCGGGTGAAAGGTAGCTGTCGGACCAGACTCTCCAAGAGCTCGATCTGCTCGTCCAACGAGCCCATCACGTCGCCGGCAAGAGCCTGGCGTCGGAGATCATAGTCGTGTTGGCGGAGCAGCTGGTCAATAAGGCAGCGAACCAGGGCGGTAGGCCCGCCTGAAGCCTCCCCCTCACCAACCGAGACACGTTCTGCTTGTCTGCCCGCAAAAAACACCAATGCTATGAACCGCGGCTGAGCCTGCATGGCTTGCGTGATTGTGCACGCCAGCACTGAGAGCGCCGAGACCCCCACCTGCGTTGTGGCCGCGGGGCGATCGCAGACGGCCAGGAGCTGACAAGAGGCCGGTGCCACCAGCCATTGATGGAATTCTGCCGTATGCAGCGCTTGCTCGGCCTGCGCCTGTTCCTTCTCGGGCAGTCTGCCTCTCAAATTTGCCACCGAATGCATATCAAATTGATCTAGCTCTGGGACACCGAGCATTCGTCGCAGAGTTACAAGGCTAAGGTATGTCGGGACTGTGGGGGTATGAGGGCGGGATAGCCGATCTTCCAGCGGGATAACGTCAAGGAAGTCGCCATGTAGCCATCCCTTGCGTGATTGCAGATATCGGATCTCCTCACGGGCTGCCTCCAATTCATCTGTTTACACCCTTGTCAGAAGTTGCAGCTCTTTGTTGGCGGATGAGATAGACAGATCGAGCCCTACCGTTCTTCCGCTGTAGATCTGACTCCGCTCGCAATCGATCCGACTCCATTTGCATCATGTGTTCAGCCATCAGATCCTGAATCTTTTTAATTCCGTTGGTCACGATGGCCTGGAATGCCTTGTTCCCCTTGTCGCGCTGCCGTGACTGTTGTATAGCTTCAAGCGGCGTCAGCACGGTTCTGTCGATTGAGGCTATCCGCCACACTAATTCCCCTGTGAGAGCAAGCGCGCTGAATTCGGTGCGTACCGATATGGTTCTCGTGACTGTACGACTTCCTCGCCTCCTCATTCAGAGTCTGGCTTTTATTTTGGATTTGATCGAGGCTTTTCAGCAAGGCACTCTCATATTGTCCACCAGCCAAGATTGCTTTTACCCCACGGAAGACTGATTGAACCCAGTGTCAGTGTCTCAATGCATTAGATGGTCAAGAAAAAGAAATACACTCATTGCTAGAGAAGAACGTGATAGCCCGATCGATGGCGTCCAAGGTGGCAACAGCCAGGTCTAGGGAGGCCTTGTTGATATAATCGTCTTTGGGGAAGGTGGAAAGAAACAATTCCGCTTCCGAGAACACGGGGATCAGGTCTTTCAAGCCTTCGAGAGTCCGGGTTCGAACATTGCTAGATGCCTTAACTGCCTACAGATCGAGGATCAGTTTTTCATGTCTTTGTCTAAGCCAACAAAGGAGGCTACGTACCTGCAGGATAATACCAAGCGACGCCAGGACAGGCGTTGAATAGGGGTTGCTCGGCGCTACAGCGGCCGCCGTGCGCACGACTTCAGCCACTGGCTCGACGTGATCTGCTGCACGGCGTCGCGCTCTGGTCCAGCTTCGCCACCCCCATTTGTGGCCGGATATCTCAGTAGGCTGATAGTGGTCGCGCGCCGCTTCAAGAGTATCGACTACCGAGTCCCAGTCAGCCTTGTCTCGAATGGTGTATGTCTTTTGCTCGCGTTGACGGGATGGCGATGACTGATTGAATTTCGCCATCGCCTGAGGAAACAAATTCGCCCAAAAGGTCATGGTTCTTGCTTGGGTGAACGCAGGACGGGATGGAGCGTCATCCTCCTCGCCCTCGTCTTCGGCAATCTCCTCCCCCACTGTACGATTGTAATAATCAAACATGGGGTGAGACGCTGGAAGACGATTTTTCACGAAGGCGACCGCCATCGACTCGCCATCAAGCTGTAACTGCTTGGATTCGGCCATCGTCAAACGCTCGGATTGGGTAGGGCGCAGGAAGAGACCGAACACAGAGAAAGGGGACAATTGTAGATCTCAAGGCACTCAGTTCTACCATGATGCTTTCTAGTCTTTCCAATTTCCTTTCATCTTCATCGTTTGCTTCATGCCGCTTCGCTTCACTTACCCCGCCGAGCGCACAGCCAGCCACAGAACAAGAGTGACAAATCATCTTCAGCTTAGTCGCGCATGCTAGATCCCGGCCTGTCCGAGTGGCTTAAGAGGTGGAATAGGTTCGTTGTTGGCACGGCTGAACTTGTAGAGAATTTCTGATCACGCTAACTAGAGCTGCAGCTTACAATGCATGTTTGCCTCGCGGACGCTACGCAAGGCCTAGTTGCTTTCTCCTCTGGTCTTCGCTGCTTTTTCTCCCATTGTAGTTGGCATATATAATCCACCATGGACATCGCCCAGTAAGTTTGGCCGACCTCCCAATCTTTATCCTTCTTCATTCTCACCTCGCCTAGCTAGTTTACCATGATGGAATCCTTACAGCCGACTCCGTACACCGAAGTTTCGCAGAACTTTGATGCCACAGCGCCATCGGACTCGAGCCGCACTACCCCACATACATCTATGTCCGAAGCTGATAGAGGAAAGGATGGTCACCCTGCCAGCCCAAGTTGGCTGGATGAGCTTCATTTTCTCAAAAACAGGATTGCAGAGTTGGAACATGAAGCCCAGAAGCCCCCTGACAGACCCAAGCCGGAAGAGACTGACTATCAGCGGTGGGAAAACTGTCTTTATCATCACCGCAAACAATGGGAGAGGAACGGAGGTCCAGGACAATGGAGCATGGCGAGCCTTTGGTACAATGACAAGGTCGTCACTGACCGCCATGGTCCGTGGAATTATAATTGGCCTCTAGCCCCAGCGAAGCACTACAAGCGCCCGGACCCTTTCGATCCAGCTCATGCGTGCGCGTCACACAGCCAGGATCCCTCAGCGCCCGACGAGTTTGACACCATCATTGACTTTGAAAGTCGACGCCAGCGACTGCGAAAAGGGTTCGAGTGGGAGATGGACCGTCTCTACCTTCAAGAGGAAGTAGACCGCCGTCGACGCGAGAGGCTGGAAGACGAAGCTATGGAACCAAAGCAGCCCTCTGGGGAGAACCAAAGTTTTGTGGATGATAAGCAGCAGGAGGAATGTGTCACAAATGATGTGACAGAACCAGCAGGACCGGAGCCTCGGCTCAATCGTGTTGAGTGGTGGGCTTTTCGTCGCCTCGCGAATCTGAGTGAAACAGAAGCATCTGTGATCGACATACTTGTGGGCGAGCCAATCATCGAAAATGAATTCCAGTTTGGCTGGTTCCGCTACCCGGGTCTCTCAGGCCGTAAAGGCCAGACTGCACGGCAAGAGATCAACGGGGATAATCAGTTCCACACGAGCTCATCACCTACCGAGAGTGCGGGGCCCGAGCGAATCCGAATTCACTCCACTCCGTTGACTGCAATATTGGCAAAGATTCTGTCGAAAGCAGCGGATGATCTTGCTGGGAATGGGAGTACGTTTGTTCTCGTACGCCCTTTCAAGGCACTTGTTCACTGCGAGCGTGGTCTCCGCGAATGGTTCCAGGCTTTGGAGCGAAGAATCGTCGACTCATCGGCCTTACCCAAGGCTGCAGGGCCCGAGGCCGAGGATCAGTCTTCCACAGCTAATAACAAGAGAGCTGAAGATGTTGAGGAAGATTCGAAGGAGAAGACAGAGGCACAAGCCGGGGAAGACAAGGAAGAAGAGCCAGATGAAGACGAGGACAAAGTTACAACGTCACCTACAGCACTTAGGCACCTCCAATGCATCCTGGACTTCATCAACACGGAAATTGTTCCTCGACATGAGCATCTTCGAAGCCCACAGTGTCGCAAAGTCTTTTTCACTGATCTGTGGCATCTCTTCCGTCCCGGGACTGAGGTTATTGGTAGTGATGGCAAGCAAGTGTACCGGGTCATCGAGGTCTCCAGCCCTCGTCATCGCGTGGTCCCATCATGGCAACGCTTCCGCTCCGAGTCAAAAAAGAGCAAAGTGCCGCTTAGTGTCACCTGTGTCTACATAGACTTCAATGGAACTTCCTTGGGCCCAGTCTCACGAGTCTTCGAATTCAAGCGCTTCGAAGGCGCACGAGAGGTGACGGCATTGGAAATCTATCCCCTGAAACTCCATCCTCTCAAGAGGGCCGCTTTCAGCGAGGCGGCATGGAAGGAAATCGAGGCTTTGGCACCTGCGGACCGAGCCGATGGGTACCGCGAGCAGCTCATTGCTCGTGGTCGTCAATTTCTAGCAGTCGCTGGCATCAAGCACATGTACTATGCCGGTCCCACACTGGGTGTGCGTGATGACGTGGAGAGCCAGGTGGTCATCGACTTTGAAACAGCGTTTTCGGTCAAGAAACAGCAGGAATGGAAGCCCATACTTGAAACGCTTATCGGGGGTTCACCAAAGGATGACGCCGGGGAGGTAGAGGACAGCGAGGAAGAGTGCCGGGGCAGCTGTTGTGCCAGGGATGCTGTGCCCGATGATACATACATTGACCAGAAACAACGCGATGAGTATATCAACAGTCTCTTACCGAAATCTGACGGCACAGATGATCAGCCTTCTATCGCCATCATTCCGCGATCTCTTAAAGACCTCACCCGCAATTCTGAGGACACGCCGGATGTCACTCCAGAAGAGTTACTCATCATGTCATATCGGGTTTTTGGGTTTGTCCTGCGAACACGAAGCTGGGGTAAGTTGACTCCCTGGCCCAAGAAAGATGTTCGAAATCATGTCTGCGTTGACTAGGCTCGCTGACGTCTTCTATAGCCCAGTTAGATCTGACATACCTTAGTGCGGTCAAGCAGAGTGAAATATCCATTGAGCAGGGTGAGACCACTGACAAAAATACTATTTTTGGACGCCTTGTGATTGATCAAAAACACAAACGCATGATCGAGTCTCTCGTAGCCCAGCACTTCCGAGACAAGCGATCAAACAACAGTCAAGCTGAACAGGTGGATTTAGTACGGGGAAAAGGTTCGTCAATTTTGCTGGCGACTCTACGTCGTGGTGCGGGTACTCAAGGCTTTTACAGGGAAAGGACTCATTATGCTTCTCCACGGAGCCCCAGGAGTTGGGAAAACCTCCACGGCGGGTATGAGCTGATCGTGCTGAACGGTTGGAATTAAACCTGTTGCTGACCATTATACTGTCACAGAGGGTATTGCAGAGCTGTTTCAAAAGCCATTATTCCAGATCACTTGCGGTAACTAGGCCCTTTTCGCCAGCACCTGAAGGAGATTATATTACTGATGTTTATGATAGGCGATCTTGGCACGACGGCTCCGGAGGTGGAGAAGGCCTTGGAAACAACATTTTCCTTGGCGAACCGTTGGAACTGCGTTTTGCTACTGGATGAAGCCGATGTCTTCCTGGCGCAGCGAACGAAGGAGGATTTCAAGCGCAATGGCCTTGTGGCGGGTGAGTCTGCCCATTTCCAGGCACTCTGATGCCCGGCGAGAACCTGTTCTGAATACTCACCATGGATGTAGTCTTTCTTCGAGTCATGGAATACTATGCCGGCATCCTCTTTTTAACGACCAACCGTGTCGGGGATTTCGACGAAGCGTTCACTTCTCGCATTCACGTCAGCCTGTACTATCCCGAGCTTGATTCTCAAAACACTGTGGCAGTCTTTGAATTGAACCTGAAGATGATCGAGAAGCGATTTCGGAAGAAAGGGCGGGCTATTGACATTGACAGCTTCCAGATCGCAAGGTTTGCTGGTGAACACTTTAACCAGTATCCTAAAGCGCGCTGGAACGGTCGGCAAATTCGGAATGCTTGCCATACGGCGCTGGCCTTGGCCGAGTTCGAGGCCCAGGGCAACAACCGACGCGAGGTCCTCAAACCAGAGGCTATCGTCCGCCTATCGGTCGAACAATTTGAGATTGTTCGCGACGCCTACGTGAATTTCACGAAGTACATAAACGACCTCTATGGCGTGGATGCCGCGCGGCGGGCGCACGAGGACAAACTGCGCACCATTCGGCATGAGACAGAGCGCCTGTATCGTCCGTTTCCCAATGATAAGGCTAGTAGTGTATCGGACCTTCGCGCATCGTTTGCGCGCGCAGGTCAGCCGCAGTCGCAAGACTATCACTACCCGACGCCGACGAAGGGGTATGCTTCGGCGGCCGCGCACCCGCAACATACGCCTCGGAAGATGCCCCCGTCCTCGGATGTGGCCTACTACCAGCATGAGTACGAGGGATACGCCGCCGAGGTCCATCGCACAGATGCGCGGGTTGCTCGTGATCGGGATCGAGATGTCCCGCCGACTTCGCGGTCGGGAGCTACTGGCCCCAATCACGCACCTCCTCCTCCAGCCGAGCACTTCTCTGAAAGTCGCCCGTCGTGGTTCGACCGGGACATCGCCAGCCTACATCAAGGTGGGAATCCGCAGGGCCGCGAGATTCAGCCCTCTCGTTCGCCTGGCCCGCCCGCTCGGGACATAGATTATAACCGGCCTATTGGGGGAGGTGGGTGGCCTGAAACGGAGTGAGCGGATGTGATTATGTCTGGAGGGAGCCTTCCTCTTTGTCTGCTGTGGCTGTTACTCGAGAATCAAGGGACTAGGTGTACCGTAGCTTAGATCTTACCAGACAAATTACGCCGTTTGCGCGGCCCGGCGCGCTCAGCTTTTCCGATTGCCTTTCCGGAGTCGACTGGATTGATTTATTCTTTCGAGCGTCAATAGCTTCTGTGTCAATGAAACATAGATATAGAAAGTTCGAGTCAGTATGGCAAAGACTATGAATACCCCCTGGGAGCATACTAACCAGATTCACAGAACCGTACATTCAGACCCAAGTTTCGCAGAATAGCTGTGGTACTTGAATTACTGCCCGTACACCGGGTGTTCTTGAGGAAAGGATTACGACTGTAATCATTAAGGCAGAGAGGGGCCCACACCCAGTTAGAGAGCATGCACCCTCCTAACAACACATATACTTTATAACCACAACATGTGTCGACATCAGAAGAAATGAAAAACAAACGGCCCAAAGGAGATCCGGCAGGAGACCGATTCGATGAGACAAACCAAAGCTTTTAGCGCCTTTAACCCCTCACACTAAAGTCTGACCCCTCTAGCATATGCATCCCTCGCGCGAGCACTAGTCTACCCCAATCATCACTCGTAGCTCTGGTCCAAACAAGTCAGCGGATCAGCCAGTGAGAATCTTCGCTCGGGGTGCAGTCAACCTTGACTCAGAATCAGTTGATCGATTTCTGATCTCAGATAATGGACCCGACTCGATCTGCCTTGCCCCTCTTTCGAGAGAGAAACGCGCGCGGGGGACCAGTTACGGCGGACGATTGCGGCCATCGGGCAAATAGAGTTCGTAAGTCCCTTGACCGTTGTTCTTACCGCTTTAAATAAGAACTAGGTCTTGACTATTAGGTGACTCCTGATTAACCGTGGCCAAGGTATAAAACACGTATATAAAGTTACGTGCCCTGGTTATATAATATAAATCTATATATACAAATTAAGCGAGAAACTATCACGTTATATAAGAGATAAAGAGAGGAAAAATTTCTATAGTAACAAGCATTCTAAAGATAAGAAAAAAAGAGAAAGTAAAGTCTAGAAAACCACCCTCCTGATTATATATATATACCCACGGGATGCCTGAAATATCCTGTTCTTATTATTACAATATGTGTAAGCGCAGAGCTCTATACTAGATTCTATTCCTTAGAGGACTTCTGAACTGTATTTTAATTAGTTAACTATTAGGCCTCTGATTAGTCGGCATAAGATAGAAATAATTAGATAAGATTTAGTCTTAGCAAGGAGTACTCACATGACTATGTATTCTGCTATTACTTACCGCGTCGGCCAGGGGAGGTGCTTGGTAAGAGGCCTTGCTTGCTTATTTACTTATTTACTTGCTTAGTGGGAGGTGCTTGGTGGGAGGTGCTTGGTGGAAGGTGCTTGGTGGGAGGTGCTTGGTGAGAGGCCTCGCTGCCTTGCTTACTCACTCGTTTATTTGCTTGCTTACTTGCTTGCTCGCTTGCTTGGTGAGAGGTGCTTGATGAAAGGCCTCTTAATGTATTGATTCTGCCGGCAGAACACCAAGCAAGAACTCATTTGCCCGATGGCCGCAATCGTCCGCCGTAGACCAGTAGTTAGCGGGTGTGCTCTCGGGAATTCCACGCGCCCTGCTAGCGGGTTTAGCAGCCGCCTCTTTCCTGGCCCGAAGCTGACTCGCTCAAGCTCCTGTGGGCTTTCTCGCAGATCGACCCGTTTGCGTCCGGGACAACTGAGCGGAAGTAGGTAAATCCCACGGCGAAGCTCCAGAACGCGAGGTGCCACGACTTCGAGGTTCGTGAGGTGACTGTTGATACAGTATATCGTCTCGGTTCGTATGCGTCATTTCTCAAAATACCTCATGACGACAACTACGCAGAAGATGAGCGCGAGTCACGGGGATGGATGAGGGGCGGAGTCCTTCATCAACAGGGTTTCTGGTGGAGATGTTGCCCGACTGAGACTGGGGTTTCTGATGCCGCTGGGTGGGTTTCTTTTGGCCTGAGAAATGTTGACGACTTATCACGTATTTTGTAGGGTAGGGATTTCCTTTGACAATCAGATGGGGAGTCGGCAGGAGTGAAATTTACTTCATGTTGGAATACATGCGATGACATAACAGGTCCCGGGGTGTATATGTACTGTGCTTTGATATACACACTCTTGTACGGTACCTGTGGCCAGTGAAATACAGTGCCAACTAACGAGCCATGGCCGGGCACTGCACTGCACTGCATGATTTGACTCCTTCCTATTTAGTCCATGGCCAAGGCATGCGACGCATGGGCTTCAAGCCAATTGTCTTTCCAAGCGCCTTACTAAGTGACTCTCACCAAGAGAGCCCTCACACCAATTCTGTAACGCCGCAAGGAGATCCCTCCCTCCGTTGGACCGGCTGACGCGGTAAGAGGGGGACAATCCAAACAAGGGATTATTAGATGCTTCGTCCTTGCCAAGTCTATATTCCAGAGCCTGTTGTTGTTCAAGTTCCTGCGGGAAGAACGCAGTTCGAGAGTCCTGCAATGGCCAAGGCATAGCACAGCCTGCCTGGTAGGGCTCCGCACTTACGCGGGCCGCGACGATACCACGCAGGTCGAAGCGGGAGATGAAATCAACACGTTTGTAACTTCGAGCACGCCGGCATGTTTTGGGCATCTTTCTAAAATTACCTTATCTATCTCAGCGTCGATCACTCTGGTTCCGATTCTATAAGCCCTTAACACCCACCATTGCTCATAATATCACAATTCAGTAGACGATAAGTTAGCGATTTACCGCGGCTGAGTCTCGCCCTCAGCATCCCCCGGGCCCGTCGTCTTCTTGTCAGTGATTCTCTCCCACTTGACTCCGAACGCCAAAAGGAACGCTGCAGCGGTCGTAGCGACAGCCACAAACTACCATGGCCATCTGGTTAGTTTCAGCCCCTGCGAAAGAGCCACGGAGACGGAATGGAAAGGGGGCTTACAAAAGTCGAAGTAATGGCCGTATTGTAAGCCTCCAGGATCAAGCGCAATCGATCCGGAAACCTCTGTTCCGCAGTACCACGCACATCTGCCGTCCCGGCCGCAGACAGCAGCGCGATCTGCCGGGCATCCAGGCCCGCATGGTCTGCTAGTTCGGTAGCCAAAGTTGATCGAAACACAACCCCGCCAAGGGCCTGCATGACGGTGGCGCCTAGGTACTGGAAGAATAGATTCAAAGAGATCGCGACGGGCATGAGCTCTGGCTTGTCATGCACAGCTTGCTGGACGATTAGCGAGGGCATCTGCTGCGCCATGCCGACGCCGAGACCCTGGATGACTTGAAATCCGATCCAGTGGCTGGATGGGGTGTGGAAGGCCGAGAACTGCGTGTACAGGGCTGCGGCGGTGCACATGAGGAGCGGGCCCACGTAGAGCCACGGGTTGTAGTAGTGGATTTTCCGTGCTGCGGGCGCATTGTGTGTTAGCATCTAGTCCACCTCGACACATTGCCGGGAAGCTGAAAGAAAGGGGGGTCCGGGGGTTCTCCCCCGGGACGTCTTCATATCCTGAATATATGCTGAGGTTGCTGGGAGGCTGAAAGAAAGGGGGCCCGGGAATTCTCCCGGGGACGCTTTACTCTGGTCTCGCTCGGGTTGTGTGTATTGTACGTACCGAGAATCCCCGCCGCCAAGGTCCCGACGATCTGCGAAAGCACCGCCGCCAACACGCGCGTGCCACTTTGTAGCGGGCTCGCGCCCTGCACGACCTGGAACCATTCGGGAAGATAGTAGTTCAGGATCCCGATCGAACCGAAGTGGCAGAAGGAAAACAGGACGCTGAACGTGACGGTGCGTCGGGCGACGACATTGCCCGGAATCATCGCGCTCTCGCCTTTATAGCCTTCCCAGCACACGAACCCGATGAGCATCACCCCGCCGCCCACAAACAGCCCGATAATCGTGGCCGAACTCCACGCCTTCTCCGTCCCACCCCACATCATGGCAAGGAGCAGCATGAAGATCGCCGGGATGAAGATCGCACATCCGAAGGGATCAAGGTCCAGGATGCGCTGGACAGCGGGCCGGTCCCGCTGGAGGGACGGGGGTTTGAAAAAGCACAGCATCGAGAGCAGCGTCAGCACCCCGGGCGGCAGATTCACCCAGAAGCACCATCGCCAGGTCGCCTTCTCCGTGAACGCGCCGCCGATGACCGGCGCCAGGATGAGCCCTAGCGCGAAGCAGCTGCTGCAGATCCCCAGCAGCAGCGGTTTGGATTTGGCGGGCGAAACGGTGAGAACGATCACAAAGCCGCCGCTGGCGACCCCGGACGCCCCAATCCCGGCAATGGCGCGACCCGCAATGAAGGTGTTGCTGTTGGGTGCGAAGCCGCAGACGAGACTGCCGACGAGGAATATGGAGAAGAGGGTTATGTAGAGCCAGCGGAGTGGGAACTGGGAGCTGAGCTTTCCGACCAGTGGAGTCAATGCGCATGTTGTGAGCGAGTAGGCAGCCGGATACCAGGCCAGTTGAGCTGTATCCTTGAAGTCGGACGTGATGGATGGGATGGCCTAGCTGGGGAGGTTAGATTGTGTAGACTGGTTCGAGTAGCCAGATAGTGGGGGTGGTAGTAGTACTGTAGCGATGACGAAAATGTCCAAGGACATCAGAAATGCGCCCAAGCAGATGCCGACGAATATGGTGAAAAGTTTGAAGCCGTGCATCGTGTTTGCGTCGGCCTCTGATTCTTCAGAGATGGCCTCAGTGACGGTCGCATCCTGGGCTTGGGCATCTTCTGACTTGATAGCTCTGCTGGCCATGTTTGTAGAAGGCACAGTCATATTCGAGATCTAGCTGTTGGACCGTGAAACAAGGGTAGCAGAGTCAATCTGGTCATGGGCAAGTGATCGAGAATCCATGACTGCGCGACACGTGAATTTGGCGTGTGTTGGACCGGCGACATTCGAGTCGTGACTCGAAACTCGCCGGTTCGAAATGTACATCCCTGCTCACCCGCGATCCTGGAAGAGTAATGCTGGATATTGTGTCGGTTGTTGTAGGCCAGGACTATGATATATCCGATAAAGCGAAGATGAGTAATTTCACGGAATACAATGTCTTGTTCTATGACACGGTCTCTGGGTTTCTGCGCCTGGTTGGATAAGGGATTGCCCGCTGCTTGTAAAACCGAGATAGTTCTCTGTGTTTGGTCATGTTTGTCTTCCGTTAGTGCTATGCAACGCGCGTGCTTCAAACTGATTATCTTTTCAAGCATCTGTGACGCTTTCGTGAATTTTGAAGACTGCTTGAGAATACGGAGGGAAACAGAGGCCATCCAGAGATGCTTGAAATGGTGAATCCTGCTAGTTAGTAACGAGGGTGTGAAGAAAGATCTAGGAACAGTGAGATAACCAGTGGATTTGTGATTGCCAAGACGTTTGGGGTCTGCGTTCCCTGATTGGCTGATTCATTGCCGACCGCGATGCCAGTGCCAGTGTAGATACCAGTAGCTTTACCAAAGCCACCAGCCTCTCAGGCGACTGATAGCAGGAGTAGAATATTTTATTTACACAAAAAGGCTTTTTTTTTCGCTTTCACGCAGGTATAATGTTCGGAACACCCTTACTCTACTTATAACCTAGTGTAGATTAAATACATTACAACAACTTGCATACATCACACCCCAGCCTCCTCCCACGCAACCAAGTGCGACTCGCCGAGAACCCCCTTGATGACCAGGACGAGCTCGTCGACGATACTGAGGAACCTGACGTATGCGCTCAGGCCGACGCAGTAGCGGCGGTAGTGCTCGTCGCGCAGCATGTCCGGGGCGAGGAGGATGTCCATGGCGTGGGTGTGCCAGTACTCCATGGAGCGCTGGACCAGGGGGGTGGGGAGGAGCTCGGGCGGGGCGTCGCCGGTCTTGAGGGCCTGTTCGCAGACGCTGAGCACGGCCATGATCTCGCCGATGCAGCGGTGGTCGAGGAGGCCGGTCAGCCGGGCGAGGCGGTCCTGGTATTGGCGGGGCAGCGAGGCGGAGAGCGAGAGCAGCCGGCCCAGATTGCGGTTCAGGCCGTGGCAGAGCCGCTTGACCTCGTCCATGTTGGCGCTGTCGAAGCGCGAGCTGGAGAACTCGTAGCGCAGCAGCTGGATCGGCCCGTCCAGCATCAGCAGCGACTCGGCCATCTGCAGCGAGATCGGCTCCGCGAGGATGCGCCCGTCCTCTTGTCCGCGGCCCCAGCACGACAGGAGCAACGCGTAGTGGTCGGATATGGCGCGGATAGTCGCCGACAGCGTCTTGCTGATGTGCTTCGCGGCCGAGGGCGGGTGCGGGAATAGCTGTACGATGGTTCCTGCGCCGATGCCGATCAGCACGAGCAACAGTCGGCGCCAGAAGACGGTGTAGCCCACTCCTGGGTTGCCGTAGGTCGGGACGTGGCTGTTGAAAGTCAGTGGGTATTAGTACGGGGGGGTACAAGGCTACTTACGTGTCGTCGTAGCTGTAGGCAACAACGAGCAGGAAGGTGGCACCGCCCATGATACTTCCTTGGAGGAGGTTGGGGGGCAGGTAGAGGCGCGTCCAGAGGAAGATCACCAGCATGATGGCCATGATGGCCGCCAGTCCGTAGGGGCTGCCCGGGCCCGTGCCTGAACCGATGTACCATGCGAGCAAGCCCAGGACACCGCCGACGATGGTTCCGAGAACACGCGCGATGACCGAGAAGATAAAGTCCGCCATGTACGGCAGGAGCCCGGTCTGCGCCATGATCAGAGCCCAGATGCCCTTCTCGCGGTAGAAGAAGCCCGCCGTGCTGGGCAGCGCTGAGACGATCCCGAGCGCGATGGTGACAACCACCATGCGGAGGGCGTAGAGCCCTTCATTCGAGGTGAACCAGTGGTACGTTCCCAGGATGATGCGACTGAGAAGACCGCGGCGCTTGACGCGGTATCCGCGACTCAGTCGAAGCCTTTCTTGCACCGATTTCGTCGCATCCAACTGTTCCTCCGGATCGTCATCCGCGACGGGAGCCATCGCGGGGGCCTTGTTGCCCTTGCCCGACACCCAGGACACAAACGCTTTGAGGCTAAGGGGCCACCACACCCGTGTGCGCTGGGAACTCTGGAAGACGTCCAGCACTTGGGCGAGCACGTCTTCTGTTTTGCTCATTGCATTGGCCATGAGCTCCTCGAAGACCATGCCCACCACGATGCCTCCAAAGTTCTTCGCATGACGGTCACCATCTTCGCCCGATTTACCCTCCAAGAGCGGTCCATAGCAGCTGACCAGCGAGTCCGTGGTGTCTTGAATGAAGATTTGGCGCATCGCCCGAAGGTCTTCCAGCGCTCTGCGGCTCCGCTCACACAGCTCCTCCCGTGCCGCAGATGAAGGGCGCCGATACAACAGGGGGCCATTCGCCATGTGAATGCAATCCTTTGCTGCAGCGAGCGCTGCCACACATGCTTCAATGGCCTTTGAGGCTGTGCGGACAAACGCCTGGAGGGCTTCCTCTGGAATGGGCTCAGTGTCGGCGTTGCGCAGTCCATCCAGCAGACGCGCCGTTTGCTGTAGCTGGTGTCGTCCGACCTCACGCCCAGACCTGACCTCCTTCTCATCCTCCAATGCGATCTGGTCCACATACTTTAGCAGAACTTCCTTCGCGCGAGCCTTCCCTGAGACGCGGTTCATGTGGAACTCGAGCAAGGAGAGGATGGCGCTGACGGCCTGTCGAACAGGCTCCTTGAGCGTCCCGACATGCTGCGCTCCCCAACACCCGATGGAGAAATCCAGCGGCAAGAAGGCCAGAGCGGGCTCCATCTTTCGATACTCACCGATGATGCCGACCTGTGTCTTGCGCAACTGCGCCATGTCCAGGTCTGGGTCCCTTTTCCCGAGAGTCGCCATGGTGAACGCCAGCGGATGGGTAAGCAGCTCGATGATATCCTCCATGCTGTTGAGAATGATCCGCGACGTCGACTGCGGGAAGAACAGCACCGAGCAGGCGAACCCCAGTCCGATCCCGACCCCAGCCGGTTTCGCAAGGGTAAGAGGGAGAGTGCCGTTGAAGGAGGGCAGAAGTGGAATGAAGATGAGGAAGAGGTCGGCGATGATGATGCCAAAGATCGCGGTGAAAGTGGCCTTAGGGTTGCTGGCCCGAAGACGCGCCTGGCTGCACGGTTATGGTCATTCCGATAAAGGGGGGGGAGGCGAGAGCATACCATGAAATAGATGAATGTGCAGACGAGACAGTACGTGACGGCTGTGACTCGCGCGTCTAGCATATGGCCTTCGTAGACCAGCACCTGCGCCAAACTGGCGACCGGCTGCCCGGTCGCATTGGCTTGTTGGGCCGCAGTCTGCTCCAGAGCCAACAATTGCGCCTGCGTATCCGCTGCGGGCCTGGCCGCGTAGGCAGCCTTCATGGTGATGACGCCCCATGCCCAGGCGAGACATACGCCCAAGTAGAGGGATAACGATCCGAGGAGATAGATGAAAACCACGCTACTCGGTGGTAGCATCAACAGAACCAGACTGGGCATTACATCAGCGCTTGACGCGGACAGATCAGAAAGAAGAATCTTACCAAGCGAAGAAAGTAGCAGTCCCCAGACTCGACAGCGAGGGGTTGATCAGAAACAAGAGACAGGCCACCCAGGCCGCGACCCAGCACCGGAAAAGGATCTTGAGGTCGCGCGCGTTGAAATGGTCGAGAAATGGCGGCAAGCGCTTTTTGCCGCCGTTGAAGACGGTTTCTTGCAGCTTCTCCATGGGTTTTACGTCATGTCGTGGTGAGGGCTCATGCGAGTCGCCCATGATGCCGATTGATGCTTTCTATCCAGGGACGAGGTGACTGTCGATGCTCCTCCTTCTGCACGGCATGGATGACTTCCGTATGGCGCTCAGGTGGACGAAACTCTACGAGGCGTGTGTTTGCTGATGAGCGACCGTAGCAAGAGGCAACAAGGGGGTAGAAACGAGCGATTAAGGGTGTGTAAAGGAGTGTCTAGTGACGTTGAAACCAAGGATGAAAGACAAGCAGCAAGAAAGGGGTCACTGCAGAGAAATGTCAGACAGATGGGCACACGTGGGGGCGAGAAGAGTCTAATTCAGACCCCTCGAGGTTGAATCGGAAATGTTCAGTCGATCTTGCAGGTTTTAAGGTTTGCGATTAGTGAAACCAGAGTGAAATAGTCAGTGAATCGGGGCTGATCTTTGCTGTTCGCATGCAGAGTTATGCTCTTATGCAGGGTGATTATGCTGGAATTGTGCACATTTGCATGCGTCATTCGGGATGGCTGACGTAATTTCTTACACAAAACCGGGCATGTGATGATCGCATAATCATAAATTCATCTGCCTATCAATCGAATTAACTGTTTTCTGATCACTAATCACTAACCAACTAGTTTCGTTTCTCATTGCAAGTAAAACACTAAGACATCTGCCAAGATCCATCCACCCCCTTAAGTGAGCTTTCTCAAAAGACGACTTACCCCTGCGACTGGAAGGGAGATGGGCATGAGCAGGATGTCCAGCAACAGATCCAAGGCGCGCTGCTTCTTCGTCGTTCGCACCCACGGCGGCTGCCGCCGGGCTGCGTTTCTGTTGCCTTCAGCTCCGCCACATTGATCATAGGCCGCGGGGCCGCCGCAAGAGTAGCAGAAGACCTTCCCACAACTACTGGCGATCAGCATCTGTCCAACCCAACAGTCTCACTAGACACACCAGACCTACCGACAAGTGACAAACCTGCATCCATCGCCAGTCTTCTCAACCATCATCCGACAGTGGTGGCATCGTCGCCATTTGCTCTCCTGGGCCAGAGCCACCGCCGCCCGAAGAGCCGGGTCCGGGCTGCAGTCCGTCCAGGGGTGTTCCACCGCGCAACAAGGAAGATGCGTCTTGGTGTCGCATTTAGGGCATGTGGCATACTCGACGTCGACCTTGTCGTCCGGGATGAAGGCCGAACAGGTGGGCACGGCACAGTACACCCTCGAGATCGACTTATACTCCCGCTCTTTCTCCTTGTAGGCACGATACCCGTCGTCACCAAGCAGATGGCGGATCAGCTCGCGAGAGTAAGGCTCATTGCAGCATCTCGGCGGGAACCTCCCCTCTTCTGCCACCGCGAGGAGAATCACCTCTCGCGCACAATCCCCGCACGGACTGTGGCCACAGCTGAGGATCCAGACCCGCTCGCAATTCTCCCAGCATGAGGAACACTCGATGCCGGGCACCTCTGAATGGGGGATGTGCTGCCGCCTGTTGTCGCCTTCGTCACGCGCCGGGCTGGATGTCTTGGGTTTTTCCATCGGTAGTGGGAGTAATCTGGCAGTCGCAGGTGCTTGTGTTGTGGTTACTTGGAGTTGGATGACCTGGGGGTTTGGCTTCAGTGGAGGGCTCCTGAGGAACAGATAAGGCTCTACCACAGGCAGGCGACAGTCATCTTAAGCTCATTGAGGAGCTGCTCTCCGCGCTGGCGATATATTTTGACGTAGGAGCCCGGGACATGGTTTCTTTCCCGGTAATGTCTGGGAGTTTCGACTGAGTCGATGTGTGAGACGCTGGGAATATTCCATGGGCGCCAACTACCAAGCCTTATTTAGGTCGTCCCTGTAGCCCTTTCAGTCGGTATTGATCTGATGATGACGAGATGATTACAGTTCATTGGTGCGGGACGACGGGGTCGGATATCAAGATTGCCCGCCATTAGTTGTTGGTCGGTCGTTTGACACCGCAACCATGGAAGGAAGTGCTGTGGCTAATGGTCGATGCGACAGATTAGAGACACCTCGAGCTAACCCAGTCGGAAATAACCCTACCGAAATCGGCCCTTGAATCTCCGATCACGGGGGTACCGCCAAACAGCTGCTGGTGCTCGACCATGGGGAAATACACAGTTCGTAGTCTGGAGACCAAGGCATTGCCTATAGGCATTGTTGTAACTCATAATATTCTCTGTTCGTCATTGTATATCTCTAGGACTTCCATGCTCAGCGAAAAATGTCCTCCGCTGCATTGGACAAGCAACTTTGCTCTGAAATCCATAAAATTCACGCTTAAAATATTTACATGATATCATTCACCCAACAAATTCATCTCTTACAAGCATTGATAGTCCGTGCTGTCCAAGTGCACATAGCCACTGTCAACGAACCCCTCGAAGTTCCAGTAATCCGTCTGGTTACCCTGACCGCTCACAGTCCCGTTACCGTAGAACTTAGACGTCCAGTAGGACGAGCCCTGGACATACTGGTAGAAGGCATGCAGACCGGCATTCAAGTTGCGTTCGCGCAGGGCGAAGGTGTTGTTCGAGCCCGCCTGGATAGACCACTCGCCGACGAAGACGGGGAACTTGGCATCGCCGACATTAGACTTGGCGCGCGTGCAGATGTCCTTTGCTAAGGTCTCGGACGTAGCGTTCTTGTCGTCGAACCAGTAGTTGTGCACATCGATGATGATGTTGGCGTCCGCCGAGAAGTTGCCGGACCAGAACTTCTCGCCCTTGAAGCTGTCCTGCAGCATCACGGGGATGTTTGGGTTCACCGCGTTGACGTGGTCGATCACGGCGTGGTAGTACTTCAGTAGCCATGTTGCGGCCTTGTCGGTGAGGGCGGCTGGGGTGCCGAAGACGGAGAAGTCCTTGTTGTCGACGGCTTCGTTGGAGGGCTCCAGCGTGTAGGACTCGGGGTGGCCGGATTTCTGGATGAAGGCGAGCAGAGCGTCAACTGCCTGCAGGGAGTAGTCGAAGTTGGTTTGGTTGTACCACCAACCGTAGTGGCCAGTGGCCTCGCCGATGGTCAATCCATTGATGCCTCCCGGCAGCCCATGGATGTCGACGATGATGTGCATGCCATATTGTTCAATAGCATATGTGGCAATTTCCGACAGGTACTTGGTCTGGTTGCCAGAGTAGAGCTTGGACCCTGGATACTTAACCCAGGCAGCATAGGTAGTAGGAATACGAAGGGCAGTGACTCCGACCTGGGCCAGCTTGTCGACGTCGACGGTGGTGATCCAAGTAGCGTAGTGTTCCTCGAAGACGGGCCCGCACTGTGACCCCAGGTTTTCACAGAAACCCCATTCATCCGATGCGCCCCCGGCATATTCACCCCACCATGCACTGTTGATGGTGGACTCTTGCACCAGCCAGCCGCCGAGGTTCACTGCATGGGCTTTGAACTGTCTCCAGTCGACGTAGCTAGAGCTCTTGCGGGAGGATGTAGGAGCTCCCAAGGCCGTTTGGATGGCCAGAGCCCCGAGGGCAAGTCCGAACTTTCCCATGCTGAAGATAGAGGATGTAACCAGGAAGGGGCTTATTGATGGTGCTGTCGAAGCTGTGTGATTCTCCATATCTGATAGGGAAACAGCGCAATTTATATTGCGCTGACCGGCTCCATCTACGCCAGGCTACAGTCCGAGGTCCTCGTCAATGCTCCGTGACTCTCTTGGACAATCCATCGTGACGAAGAGGAACGGGTCGTTAAGAAGCTAGCAGGTTCGCCAAGTCAAGCGGGGGAATCCTCCACTTCTTGGTTGGGTGCCAATCCGTGATACTGTCAGCGATGGATCGACAGTGGACGGATGTCCCGTATTGATCGGAAAGTCCGACATGCCGTGGATTCTGCAGCAACAATCATATCAGGCGACGAATACTTTGCAGAACTGGGCTGGGAATAGATTGCATTCACATACTTGGTGTGTCGCATCTGGTTACATCCCCATGCACGCGACCACGAGGACAGACCAGGGTTCCCCGTGGGGAAGCAGAACCCGGTCGGGGTGAAAGATGAGGGGAGAAAAGTGCGGGAGAACCTCGGAAGTGAAAACCGGCAGTGGGCGGCGTGGCTAATCATGTGACTAAGACTTTCTTATGCCAAAATTGCCAAGAACCTTCAAAGCACTGAACACGGTCTAGCTTCACCCACTCACTGACACACCCACCTTTGGGGCCGTCAAAGGAAGAGCTGAACAAGACTCGAACCGTGGACTAAGATACAACATTTCATTCGCTAAGAGATGATCAGAAATGCACCCACAAACACACAGCGACCGCGGGGATGGTTGACGAAAGAAGGCATGTTTACGGTTATACGCGCATCAAAATAAAAAATATTCTTGACAGCGACCCTTCAAACCTCGGGGTCAATTCGCGCGAGACTCTCCCCTCATCTTCCCCCCACGCAGACTCCATTGTCGTCCCACTTCTATGGAGGGGTAGCTGGCATTACTGCTCTTCTGGGCCCTCAGAATGAGACAAAACGAGAACAGCTCCCAGCTGAAGGCCATCTGCAACACCGCCACAGAAACACAATCGCTTCACCTACCATGCAAATAACACGCTGTGGTATCCACGGATTCCACGAGGTGCTCGGAATCGACGCCGACGAGATTCGCTTCTATTGGGCCATCGATTCCGCCGAGCCCAATGCCTCTCAAAAAGCCTACCGCGTGGTGCTGGCCACCGACGTGACCAGTCTGCGCGACGATGATGTCAATTCCTCCACCTTGGCCTGGGATTCTGGCTACGTTGAAAGCAACGAGCAGCGAAACATCATCTGCAAGCCCGAGAATGGCTTGCAGTCGACATGTAGCTACTACTGGCGAGTCACCGTCTGGGATCAATCGAATCGATCCTTCCACAGTGCCGTCAACCACTTCTTCACAGCTTATCCCCGCTCCCATCAGCTGCCTCCCTATAGCATGAACCAAACGTACATGCCCCATACCGCTCTCATCTTCCGCACCTGGTTCGAGGATGAACCCAACCGCTGGAAGGCCGTGTGGATCGGCGACGGAGGGGACAAACCCATCTACTTGCGCAAATCCTTCGATCTCGCACGGTCGCCGATACGCGCGATCCTGTTCGCATCCGGACTGGGACATTTTAACATGAGCGTCAACGGCCAAGCGGCCTCCAATCACCGTCTCGACCCCGGCTGGACGAACTACCACCGTCGCGTGCAATTCACCTCCTACGATGTGACCGCACAGCTGCAGAAGGGCGAGAACGTGTTGGGCGCTCACGTGGGCAACGGGTTCTACGCGGGCGACAAGGGCGACGATCGCTTCTTCTGGCCGATGTATGAGGATAACACCTATGTGCGCCACGGAAACGAGCTGTGCTTCTTCAGTGAGCTCCACTTGTTTTACGAGGATGGAGAGCACACCACAATGATCTCCGATCCCACTTGGCGGGTGAGCAAGAGCGCCACCACTCTCGCCAACATCTATGCCTCTGAAAACCACGATCGTCGTTTGTATCCGACTGGCTGGGACGCACCCGGATTCGACGATGCACAATGGGCGCCCGCCAAGCCCCTCACCGGACCCCGCGGTCGCATCTACTACCAGAATCAACCTCCCGTGGTGCTGCACGAGACCTTCGAGCCGGTCAAGATCTACAGTCCGCGTCCCGGTGTGGTTTGCTACGACTTGGGGCAGAATGCGTCTACAATGGTCAAAGTCGTTGTGGAGGGTGCTGTAGGATCGGAGGTCATTGTCCGATATAGCGAGACGGTCAAGGAGGACGGCACCGTACTTATGCCTGACCCCCTGTTCAAGGAATTTGAGACAGGCGTTTTCTCTCGTATTTATCTGGCCGGCACAGGCGCTCCCGAGGAGTGGGAGCCAGATTTCAGTTTCACGAGCGCGAGGTACATTCAAGTGGAAGGTGTCTCCTTGGACGGGAAGGATGGCCTGCCTAAGATCCTCTCCGTCGTGGGCCGCCACATCTCCTCTGCCGCGAGACGACTAGGAACAATGAAGACCGATAAAGAGGATGTCAACGCCCTCTTGAATGCTTGCTACTGGTCTTTCGTTAGTAACCTGTTCAGCTATCACACCGACTGTCCGCAGATTGAGAAGTTCGGCTGGCTGGAGGTCACCCACCTGCTGGCCCCGGCCACCCAATACATCCGCGACATGGAGAGCCTGTACACGAAGATCCTTGACGATATCCTCGAAGCACAGGAGCCTGACGGAGAGGTCCCCAACATGGCTCCTGACACGAGGTATATGTGCGGGCCTATGAGACATTGTATAACCTGGGGCGCTGCCTTGTGTCTGCTCCCTGATATCCTCCGACAGTACTACGGCTCGACGCATGTATACGCGAAGGTCTTCCCCGCGGCCGTGCGCTACATGGATTACATGCGCACCATGGAGAGGAAAGGTGGACTGATTCTGCACGGTCTTGGCGACTGGGGACGGGGCATTGCCCATGGCAACAACCAGGCCAATATTGAGACAGCCTTCTACTACCGCTGCCTGCAGTGCATGGAGATGATGGCTCGCGAGCTGGGCGAGACGCAGAAGGCCGAGGAGTACCATCAGTGGGCGGCGCGCATCTACGAGGTTTACAACCGCCACCTGCTAATCACGAACGACCCCTCCCGCCCGTACGCCTACTACACCTCGCTCGATAACTACCCCGAACGCGACCGGGACGCGATCGCGCAAGCCATGGCGCTGCAATTCGGGATGGTGCCCGCCGAGCACCGTGCCGACGTCATGGCCGCCTTTATGGACGACGTCGCCGACGGACGCATGCGGTCGGGCGAGATCGGATTGCGGTTCCTGTTCAACACGCTAGCCGATGCCAAGCGGCCGGACCTGGTGCTGCAGATGGCCCGCCAGGAGGAGCATCCCTCATACATGCGGTTCCTGCGGCGCGGCGAGACCACCTTGCTGGAGTTCTGGCAGGACGCGTGCCGCAGCAAATGCCACGACATGTTGGGGACGATCTACGAGTGGTTCTACGCCGCAGTGTTGGGGTTGAAACCGACCGGAGAGGCGTACCGCACCTTTGTGGTCGACCCGCCCTATGACTCCGAATTCAACCACGTGGAGGGTAGCGTGGACTGCCCCTACGGATTGATCACCATTGATTTCGTGCGCGACGAGCAAGAAGCGGTGACGCTACGTGTGCGCGTGCCGTTTGGAACGACGGCTGTCGTCAACTTGCCCAAGAATGCAAAGCACTGGGCCTATCTTCGGGCGGGCGAGGCCAAGCAGACTCTGGATGGGGATGATGTGCGCCTGAGTCACGGCGAGTATACTGTTTTCGTGCAGCTCTAAATCAGATCAATTGTACATAGAGGTTAGACTAGTTCAACTGGAGTCCAATTTTTGGTTATGGTTTGGCCTCCGTGGTCTGATTACGTCCCGGGAATCGAATTCTCCTCATCAGAGTCATGTGGTCCCGAAGCAGGGATGGGCTCGTATCTCGGTTTGAAGGCCACCGAAGGGCTGCTTTGACCTGACAAAGGTTGAGTTCTGCATTGGTGTGTTGTTCGCCAGAGCTAGCATACTCCTAGCTAGTCTAGCGAAGAGGCAGCGATTCGGGTGGGATGGAGCAAGCAGCCATTGGGCCATCCGAGCACGACCCGTGGAGAGGGCGTATTAACTCGGGGCACGGTTTCCCGATTCTTCTCTCCAGCATCTCCACCGAGTCCACTCATACGAAAACCGGAGACGAGGGCATACCGTGCACAGGCGACGATCAGACCCAAGGGCGTGCCTTCAAAGAGGAACTCGGAAAATCCGAGTTTTTTGACAGTTAGCTTGACCGACTAACCCGTGTTGGACAAGGCACTCCCCGCTCTAGGGCTCGACCTCCCAATTAAGTTGTGACTGCACGACTGCGTTTGCCTCGATTTCCGAATCGCTTTAAGCAAAACAGCCAACTTTACCAGTGGCACGCTGTCAGCCACTCAACTGGTCACCATGGGGCGTGACCCAACCTCGGGTCAGAGCAGCCCGAATCGGCGTGAATCGGCGCTGGCTCTACCCCAGATTTCATGACGGCCGGCGCTTCCTCGGTTGTTCTCCACGGCAAGTGGCCGCTTTCGCTCCGCCCATGGCCCATGGGGGGTGCGAAGACCCCAGATTTGTCCCGGATTTTGGTCCAGATGCCGGCCGCGACGCTCGATGTTCGCTTCCTGCATGTCTAGAGTGAAGCTAAGAGTCACTGGTCTAGCGCTTGTGTGGTCATATAAGATGCAGATGCCGCCTGCTCCTCGGGAATCACAGAGACTGGCTTCTGTCCCACGAGCAACATGACCAAGATCTCGACACTGTTGTCCGCTGTCTTCCTGGCCATTGCGGGTGAGTTTGTGTCTGCTGCATGTCTTTTTAGGGAGCCCCGTCGCTGACTCTGTCCCAGGTTTCCTGTTCGGCTATGACAGCGGTATCATCACCTCCACCATCGGTCAAAATGAGTTCATCAAGTACTTCAACAACCCCAGTGACGACCTTACCGGAGGCGTAGTCTCGAGTTTCCAAGGAGGCGCTATACTTGGCTGCGCGATCAACATTTTTACAGGAGACAAACTGGGCCGCAGACTCTCCGTTTTTGCCGGAGCATGCATCTCTGTCGTGGGGTGCGCGTTGCAGGCGGGTGCCATCAACATGGCCATGCTCATTGTCGGCCGCCTCATCGCCGGTGTCGCTGTGGGCATGCTGACGTCCACCGTGCCCATGTACGCGGGTGAGATGGCCGAGGCCGAGTCCCGCGGTATGATGTCCGGCTTGTTGCAATGGATGTTGAGTTGGGGATATCTCGTGGCGCAGTGGTTGGGATACGGATGCTCGTTCAACAACACTTCCTTCCAATGTACGTCAACTCCAACCTTCCACATTGACTCACGTCACCTAACCTTCCCCTACCTCTGCGAACCACCACTAACACCTCATGCAGGGCGCTTCCCTCTCGCCTTCCAGTGCGTTCCCGGCCTCGTCCTCATGTCCGGTGTGTGGTTCCTACAAGAATCGCCGCGGTGGCTGATGGAGCAAGACCGCCACGAGGAAGCGCTGGCGACCCTGCACAAACTCCACGGCGACGGGTCCCCCGAGAAGGCGAGCTACATCGAGGCGGAATACCAGGAAATCCGGGACACGATTGACGCGGAACGGGCGCACAACAACATCACCTGGACCTCGATCCTGACGAAGCCGTCGTGGCGGCGACGTCTCCTCCTGGGCTGCGGCGTGCAAGCCTTCGGCCCGCTCTCGGGAATCAATGTGATCAACTACTACGGAACCCGGATCTACAGCTCGCTGGGCATCGACACGCGGACTTCGCTGATGATCATCGGGATTTCGGGGGCGCTGTCCATCGTGTACGCGACGATTGGGCTATGGGCGCTGGAGCGCGTGGGGCGGGTGAAGCCGCTGATCGTGTCGGCGGCGGGCATGGCGGGCGCGCTGGTGTGCAACGCGGCCATGTCGCAGCACTGGAACGAAAGCAACACCAACCAGCTGCGCGCCATGGTCGCCATGAACTTCGTCTTCAGCTTTTTCTACACGGGCCCCGGCATCATCTCCTGGGTCTACCCCGCCGAGATCTTCCCCGTCGACATCCGCAACCAGGGCAACAGTATCACCACCTTCACCAACTGGACCGTCAACCTCGTTTTCGCCCAGTTCTCGCCCACTGCCCTGTCGAACATCGGCTTCCGCTACTTCTACGTCTTCTTCGTGTTTAATCTCATCGCGATGCTCTGCTATATCTTCTTCTTCCCGGAGACGAAGGGAAAGACCCTCGAGCAGATGGATGCATTGTTTGGTGACGATGCACCCGCCGTGGAGTGGGAGAAGGAGGAGAAGGGGCCTGAGGCGGTCGCTGTTGAGGATACGTCGCGCGAGTAGACTGGAATGGACGGAGGCGTGCGGTGTTTGTTTGGTGATGATTCTCATGTATAGCTTACCGTTATAGCATAACGATGAATTTATTGATCAGCTATCTTTTTTAATATTAGGAGCGTAGTATTGACCTAGCAGGGACTTTTACAGTTAAGCACACCACACGCAAGAGCAAACTGAATCTGTTGACGCAGTAATCCCTTGCAGAGTTGCTGTGAGTCCCTACAAAGGAACACGCCCCTATCCATGCGGCCCGCCAAGCAGTCTGCAAGCATTGTAACACCACTCCACGCACCTCTGCAAGCCTCTCGCAAACGCTACTACTGTACCAAGCACCCCTAGCGCCTCACGACACAACGCTTAAGGCACAATGTAGTAGAATATATAAAAGCAATGCCCATACTGCGACATAATTATCTCGCTGAGTATAATCAACAGGCTATTCCGCCGGAACATCATCCTCTCTGCGAAATATATAATCCAGCCTTCGTTCTGAATTACCCTGCTATTTGACCTCTTTTTTCCTCTGCACCATCATGATGCCTACTCCCTACTTACTAACTCACGCCCCAATAAATAGATCCAGATAGGTAGTTCATAGTCACACCTACAAGAATCTGAAGTGCTTCGAAGTGCATTGCAGTACAGCAGTGACGACTGGAGAAGAATAGACGGGTATTTATGTTGATTGTTTCGGCGGGACCAAAAGGTCTTCGAGCTTACGAGCACGTTCCCAATTTGCCGGAGCGGCTGCATAGCTAAAATATTGATTAGACCAAAAGGAGTATAGATGGTGAATTCCATTCGAATTAAATTCAACTAGGTTAATCAACGATGACCCGCCGGAATAGTACGGAGTACAGTCTGTCCGATACCCATACACCACCAGATAATTCCGAAACTAACCCCACAACCACGGACAGGGCAGACAGTATGCAACACGGCCAGTCCGACTGACACCCAGACCCACGGTACCACGCCTCATCATTCAACCGCTTACACAGATCATGGAGCGCGCACTGAACTCCATAAGCCAGTGGACTTCGCGACAGCTATAGACTAGATTATTCCACCAGGGACAACCGGACCGATACGAGACCCACTTCAGGCCTTGGTTGCAAAAGGTATCGGGGTATCGCCCGGGCCGCGCTGGGCTACGACTGTTGCGCTGAGGCAGAGGAGGATGTAGAGGATTTGCACTTTGAGGATCACTGGAATATTTGTGATGGTAATAGTGAGATCAGATAAGTATGTGAGTTGAGTGATTGCGCGGCTCCGCGGATTTCGGCCTGTCCGTGTACGGATTTGACCTCCGTCTGAGTGCTGTCGAAGTGCTTCATCGGGATTGAGTTCCTGTACGTCGTGCAGAGATTGAGGTGCCCAGGAAGTTGAGAGGAAGGGGGGTCCGGGGGTTCTCCCCCGGGACGCTTTCTCCTAGGTTTTGGATTGAGGTGCCCAGGAAGCTGAAGGAAAAGGGGGCCCGGGGGTTCTCTCCCGGAGCATGTACTTTCTCACTGTTCTCAGAAGTCTAGTTTGAGAGGCAGGGCATGGGGTATGTTGGGATAGTAAGGTTGCAGGTGCCAATGGTTGGGAAGATTGTGCCTTGATGCCTTAGGCAGTGAGAGCAAGATTGACATGTGATCCTAACATTTCCCACGGTTTCTTCACTCTCATCGACCCGACCCGAGTCCCAACCATGGCAACAAGCACGGCAACAGACCGGGCCTGTAAGACAGGAACAACTCCTAAGCGAGTCAGCCCACTCGTTCGGTCCGACGAACGAGCTCAATTATCTCTCAGCACATGCTGACCAGCCCGACACGACAAGGGGCAGATCCTGATCGGGCTCGGCTGCATGAGTCGAGACCGCATGCGGCGACCAGGGGTAGCAAAGCTTCGCGGCTTCAACATCTCGCTCGACCTGACGCTGGGATAGGTGCGATATTTGTTGCCAAGCGGCTGGGCAGCCACAATCGGTTTGCCTCAATCTTCCACCAGCGAATGCGAGGAGGCAATTTCGCTTTCGCACTTGGGGGGCCAAGGGGCCAAGGGGCCACCGCCTGCCCGAAGCTGGATAAGAATTCTGCCAGGGCATGTCACCTGACCCGCCCAGTGATTGTGGGGAGAAGAAGAATCCCCGGCTGGGGTTTTCTGGGGTTTGTTGATCTTCTCCGGGTTCCATTCTCCTCGCAGCCCTCGCAGCCCTCCAGCCATCCTCTCATCCTATCTGTCGATTGACCCACGAGATACTACAACTTAAATCAAGAGTGTCAACTCACGAGCCAGATACAGTTTCCACCACACCTCAACCCGAGAAACAAGCACCCACAGTTCAGGCTTGTCCCGGGGCCCCGCGTCCCGGCTCGAGACTCACCCACCAAGATGGAGAAATCCCCGCGGGGGCCGTGATGCTCGCATCAGTCCATCCAATCTATTTGACTTTGCCTCTCTCTCGCGACTGGCTCGCCAAAACGCCACCAATCCTCTACTCACCGGTTCCCAACGCCACAACCAGCTTCTACCCCAAGACAACCAATAGAACCCTGTTGTCTCGGCGCCTGCCCTGCTTCGGGTAATGCTCCCCTGTCGTGTCACCCTAGCTGCTCGCGTCCAGTGCCAGGAAAATGGGCAAAACCCCGGCGGGCAAACATCGCTCCATGCACGCCCTCCGAGATAAGCACAAGGTGTCAAAGCTATAAAATCCTCAGCCTTTTCCTGGCTTGGCTTTTTCTTTGCTTGCTGTGACACGCTGACACACTTTACAACCTCAAAATGTCGTCCGATTCAGAGAAGGCCAAGGATGAGCTGCAGAACGAGGTCGACGTGCATCATGTCGAGCTCAAAGGCAACTCCGAGCTCATGCGGGAGGCCTTCGATGCGGAGAATCGCGAGCACGAGATGGGCGTGTGGGAGGCGGCCAAGTTGCACCCTTGGGCTTGCTTTTGGGCTTTCATCATGTGTTTCACCATTGTGGGTTGATCCGGTTCATCGTTGCAGACCAATTGCTGATGCCCTCCAGGTCATGGAATCCTTCGATATGTTCTTGAACGGTAATTTCGTCGCTCTGGACGCTTTCAAGGAACAATACGGTGTAGTCGTAGCGGGATCCATCCACAAGGCCATCCCAACCCGGTGGCAGAGCGCCTTGTTCCAGGCCGGTCAATGCGGCGCCTTTGTCGGCGTTTTCTTGGCTGGACCGATCACCAACCGCATCGGCTACCGCTGGACGACCATCATAGGACTGATCCTGATGAACGCCACGATCTTTGTTTCCTTCTTCGTGAGTGGCGCTAACCCCTTGCTCGGACTAGCGGCTAACTCAATGCATGTAGGCGAACTCTCTCGCCCTGCTAACCGTCGGCCAAGCTTTGGAGGGTGTTCCATGGGGTTTCTTCATCGCCAACGCTCCCGCTTATGCCAGTGAAGTTGTCCCTCTCGCCCTGCGCGGTGCCTGCACAGCGACTCTGCAGATGTCCTGGTCCATCGGTTCGATCATCGTCGCCGGTGCCACTTATGCCTACAATAAGAGAGATGATGAGTGGGCCTGGCGCGCGCCCCTGGCCCTGCAGTGGCTCTTCCCCGTGAGTTCTTCTTTGCGAAACGTTCTGTGCCAGTGCTAACTCGGCTAGACCCCTCTTCTGATTCTCATTTTCCTGGCGCCCGAGTCGCCATGGTGGCTGATTCGTCGTGGCCGTCGCGACGATGCTCTCCGGTCCATCAAGCGCCTGGGCAAGGAGAACTCCGACGAAGCCCACCAGGCCCTTGCCATGATTGAGCGTACCGTCAAGATCGAGCAGGAGCAGGGCGGCAGCCCGACCCTCCTCGACCTGTTCAAGGGGACCGATCTGCGCCGAACCACGATCACCTGTTTGATGTATGCGTCGCAGAACTTCGCGGGCAACCTGATCGCCAACCAGGCTACTTTCTTCTTTGAGCGTAAGGACCCTCGTTGTGTTGTGAAATCCGAGCTTAACAACTGACAACCGTACAGAAGCCGGCATGTCGTCGGAGCGCGCTTTCCAGCTCAATCTGGTCAACTCGTGTCTACAGCTCGTCGCCAACGCGGTGTCGTGGGTGCTGTCGGCGTGGTTCGGTCGCCGCACGATCTACCTGTGGGGCACAGCAACCAACATCACGCTGCTGATGATCCTGGGCGTCGTGGCCTCGATCGAGCAAAATGTGTCGACCAACTACGCGCAGGCCAGCCTGGGGATCCTGATCTCGTTCGTCTTCGCCGGCACGCTGGGCCCGACCTCCTACACCATCATCTCCGAGACCTCATCCGTGCGGCTGCGTGCCCTCAGCACGGGCGTCGGGCGCGCCGCCTACTACGTCGCCGAGATCCCCATGATCTACCTCGCCTCCCAGATGCTGAATACAACTGGCTGGAACCTCGCCGGCAAGTGCGGCTACGTCTGGGGCGGCACCGCCTGCGTCTGCTGGATCATGGCCTACTTCTTCCTCCCGGAACTCAAGCACCGCACCTACCGCGAGACCGACATCCTCTTCAACCGCAAGGTCCCCGCCAGAAAGTTCAAGTCCACCGTCATCGGTGTCGACGAGAACGAGTAAGTCTGGTCTATGTGTATAATAGTTGCATCCGACGTATCAGCTTTAGCATCTGCAATCTTTCGTTGTTACCCCTCTGAGTATCATAAGTCAGCTTGTCTGTATGGTCCTGGGTTCTTGTAATGGTGTCGATAACGTAGAAGAACACACCCTCTGGGTACAGTACAATGTATGCTATTGCTATGCTCATGGATCAAAGAAACCCCCACCATCCATCCTGGTTCATCGTCAGACCCGTGGAATCGATATGATCATCATCATCATCATCCGGGTAGATCGGGTATAAGGTATCCATAGTCCTTCGACTGCATACTGTTATCGGGTATATTGTGCATTCTCATCAAAAAAGATACAACACTACCATCCTGGTGCTTATTCAAGGCTCATATTAATGATATAGTGCAAGCCATGCAATTAATACATAATCATAAAGATATCGTGCCTCCCACGCAGGCTAGATATATTTGCACTCATGGCACGAGTATATTTTCCTCTGTGTACAATCACCGTCCTGAAAAAGCAGTGATACTGATCTGTACTATAGAACCCCGCAGCTACAGCTATGTACATCACGCCCAGTTCGTGTATATAAATGGAGTAGCTGGGAAAGCTGAAAGAAAGTGGGGGTTTGGGGAGAGAACCCCCCAAAGACATTCTACCCCAGTAGAAAACAAGAGATTAGTTGTGTTCTTAATTATTTACATGGGTGGACAGATAGGCGTTCATGGGGGGAGAACCCCCCAAACCCCCCCTTTCTTTCAGCTTCCCAGCCTTTCCACACTAATCATATCCAGTGGCATTCAAGGAAGCCCCCCTTCATCTACGACAAAACCTAGTAGGGAGAATAAATAAACGCCAACTGATCGATCTCATCGCCGCCCTGCCCCATGTACCCCACAATGGCATACCCAGCATCCGCTGTGAACGTGGTGCAGCTGTCCGTCGCCGTGCCCGCCTCCAGCACATTGCCCGCGCTGGTGGTGGCCTTGATGTAGAAGTTGCGCGTGTGGCTGTTGTGTTGCCCGGTGCACAGCTCGGCCTGCGTCCAGTGCTCGCCCGTGGCCAGCGTCAGCGACGCCGCGGTGCCGCCCGTGCCGCCGTGGCTGAAGGTGGTGCCGTCCGTCAGCTCAACCGCGACGGCGTCCAGCCGCTCCGCGCCGCGGAAGGTCAGCTTGGAGGCCACGGGCGAGGACGGGAGGCTGGGCAGGTCGTTGAACCAGGTGCCGTGGGGCCCGCCGGAGAATTGGCTTTGGCGGAGCGACGAGGACAGCGCCCAGCTGAAGTTGACCAGCACCGGGTTGTGGTCGGACAGCACATCTCCCAGATACTTGGAGTTGGTGTTGAGGAACTGCTCGCCGTCGTACAGGAAGCTGTCGGCGGTCAGGGAGACGATGCTCGACCCCCGATACAACACCTTGTCGACCGTCTCGCAGGTCTCGACCTTGGACGGGTTGTCGCACATCAGCGAGTCCGCGCCCGCGGTCGGGTACACCCCACCCATCGCGAGCTCCACCCACACGTCGGTCAGGCTGTTCTGCGACTTGAAGACGCGGATGCCCGTGTCGGCACTGCGGGTGTAGCGGCTGTTCGTGTCGCCCATAATCACGACGGCGTTGCCGGTGGACCAGGTGTCGATGTAGTCGGCGACCTGCTGGAGATTGGAGTTGCGGGCGGTCTCGTCGTCATCTTCGACGCTGCAGGCCGTCAGTTGATTGGTGTGTGCTGTTGAGGATGTGTCTTACCCAGCATCGGCGTGAAGGTTGTAGAAGTCGATGTACACTCCCTCCGACGGGTTCCAGCGCATAAACGTGAACCCCTTCGGGGTGAGGCAGTCCGACTGGGAGGCATCAGAGCACTTGTTCCACTTGACGCGCGTGAAGTCGACCCAATCGTGGTTGGAGATGGTGTTCAGACCACTGCCGATCGCGGCGCCGCCCGACGTCGCGGTGCGGTAGGGGTGGTTGTCGTATTCGTAGATGTACGCATGGTAGTTGAAGTCCTGAACTCGAATGAGCAAGTTGAGTACCGTACGTTCAGAAAACACATACCTCCTGCATCTGAATGATGTCGTAGGCGTACTCTGCAAAGTACTTGCCAAGCTCCTCCGCGTTCTCAGTCTTCGAGCCGTTCACTTCGTTGCTGTTGAGGATCTCGGGAAGACCAGCGACGTTGAAGCACAATGCCTTGAATTCACCGCTCGTAGTGGTGGCAGAGACTGACGCGGCTGCAAGGCCGCTCAGGGCGAAGAGCTCGAGACTACGCATTTTGAAGAATTGCTAGGCCTGGTGAAAATGTCTCAGAGCTGCAGGTTCAGGGGTGCTTAAATAGATGGGAGCCAATGCAGCCTGGAGCGACCATGAGCGACCTTGAATAGCTAGTCCTAACCGAGGTGTTCGTCCCTATACTAAGCTCCTGGTTGCAGGAAGGATTCTGGCGAGCAGGGAAGGATTGTCATGCAGCCGAGACGTCCATGGTCATTGGCGGATACGCTGTGATTCCTTCCGTGTGTGCATCTTGGCGTGCATGCAGGCACGTCTGATATCAATCCTATTCTGTACCTGATGCCATCCAGACCAAAGTTTATTGTGCCGGTCAATGCTTTAGTCCTACAGAGGCAGCCAGCAAAGACTCTGCAGAATACCTTCTGATAGATGGACAAGCACTGCACGTGGCGGCGTCGAGGTGCTTCAGTTGGTCGGGCCGAGTCTGCTGCAATGCGACCGTTGTCTTGGCTTAAGCTTGGCACTTTCGCCTGCAGGATTCGCATAGATTGACATCCAGCTTGGCTGAATCAGGTTATTGACACATCAGATGCCACTAGGATCATCATGTGCTACTACTTATATTGCAGACTAGACTGACTGTGAATAGTGTCCGTGTCGGCGACAGCTGACAAGCTAGTGCTCGCCTGGTGAGTGATAAGCAGAGGACGGCTTGTCGACATTGTGACTATCGCGAGTGGAGGACGAATGAGTTTCCTTGTATCGAACACTGGTTTTGAAAATGGTGAAAGCCCAATTCAGTTCGAGCTTCCCAAGCTAGAAGTATCATTTCTCATTGAACACCTTGCCGGGGTTCATGAGCCAACTGCAAACCAAAATTAGTACAGACCAAATTACTCGTATGATCGGAGGCTCCATACTAAGGATCCACACTTCGCTTCAGCGTCCTCATTAGATCCACAGTGGGCTCTCCTAGTTCCTCCGCAAGGTAGTCCTGTTGAAATGAGCCGCGAATCGCTGACCGTGAGGGATCGGACGGATTACCTTTTTGCCAATGCCAATACCATGCTCACCCTGAGATTGTAAGCTTGTGCTCGTTCTGTAAGGCGTAAGGGTCATACAGAGACTGTGCCTTCCATCTCTAGCGCGCGTCGCATCATCCTCGAAACACACGCTTTGACAGCCTTGTACTGTTCAGAGCTCTTGGGATTGTACATCACCGCTTGATGGAAGTTGCCGTCACCGACGTGTCCCAACACCGTGGAGAAAAGTCCAAGGCTACTGGACTCTTCTTTCGACATCTCTATTCCACAGGTTAGAGCTCTCTCCTCCGGTTCAATAGAGCTTATACTGACCAACGATCTCAGCAAGTCGGGAAATCGGCACAGCGACATCAGTCGACCAGATCTCAGTACCCTGCGGTCTGGCCGCCAAGATCGCCCAGAGGGCTTGCTTCCTCGCAGACCATAGGTTGTCTACTTCCTCCGCCGTTGATGCGAAGACCATCTCTTCTCCTTTGTTGCTGGCAAGGACCTGCCGTGTTCGATCGATGCTCTCTTTGATCCCAGACGTGGTGCCGGTGAACCTTGAACGCAAGACTTAGCCCGGCAAATACTCGAGACACCCCCGGCGCACTCACTTTAGAAACAGGGTCGGAGCTTCCTCCCAGTACCTCCCGCCAGCCCCGCCGTTCTGGTTGATGATCCTCATCTGAACGTCGTCCATGAACTCCAGCGCCGCCAAGGGCACAGCAGCCCGGATCAGCTTCGACGCGGCAGCCGTGGCATCGCCAACCGTCGGAAAGGTCGCGATGCCGACACTGGTCTCCTGCGGGATCACCGCCAGCTTCAGGGTGGCCTCCGTGATGATGCCCAGCGTGCCCTCCGAGCCCGTGAAGAGCGCGTTCAGGTTATACCCCGCGGACGACTTTCGCGGACGTCGCTTCGTCTTGATCACCGTTCCGTCCGGCAGCACGACCGTCAAATTGACGACCCAGTCCTTCATGGTGCCGTACCTCATGGCGTTGGTGCCGCTGCAGTTCGTGGCGATCATGCCCCCCACGTAGGCGGTTGGACTCGGGTCCATGGGCAGGAACAGGCCCGTGGGCTTGAGCTGCTCGTTGAGATCGACCCATCTGACGCCGGCCTGGACGGTCACGTTCATGTCATGTTCGTAGACGGCGACAACCTGATCCATGCGCGACAAGTCGATGCAGATGCCCGAATGCGGGGCCGAGAAGTTGCCCTCCACGCTGGATCCGGCGCCGAACGGCACCATAGGCACTCTGTACTGGGTGCAGATGCGAGCGATCTGGGAAACCTCATCAGTCGTGGCGGGGCTCACGACAGCGACCGGCCGTTCCGTGGTGTTGGAGGTGGACCAGTCCGAGTATCCATGGTTCTCAATGTCCTCGGCGTCCAGACTGACGAACTCCTCTCCGACGACCCTCTTAACCTCGTCGACAGCCTACAAAGGTCAGAAGGTAATTAAGATAGGTGGTAGGTTTGATACTGGACCTTCAGCATGGTCGGGACGTCGGCGTATCTTGCTCCCGAGGCTGTCTTGGCAGCTTCCGGCTGCGAAGGAGCTCCATCCCAGGCTTTGGAGACCACTAGGGTGGCAGTAGCCGTGACGAACGCGGTAACTAGCAGAGGAAGCACGTTGGATCGGTGCGATAGGTGTTGGCCGGAGACAGACGAGCCGTATCGGGAGAGGAATGGCTTTTGCGACCGTGAGGAGGCTGATGGGGGTCGCAGCCATCGAGCACGCAGACTCCGGAAATGCCACGCCTTCATCGTAGCTGATTAGTGGCGTAGAGGTATTCTATAGAAGATAGATGGTTTCTGTCTCAATGGGAGGATCGGCAGAGAGGGATTGGGTGGCCGGATGGTGGGAGATGAAATGCAGAGTGGAGTGTGGAGTGGATGTAACAGAGAAACAGGAAGATGGGAAACTCGGTCGGGAAAGTCCGGGGAAAGTGGAGCCTGAGGAACAAACGCCGGGATACGCGGGGAAATCGCAACCACAATCAGTTCCTATCACATAGTCAACATCACAGCCATATGTCTCTTCCATTACAGACATTGCCAATGCTGCATGGCTCCCACGCTGTGTTATCGGACAATACCAACATCGTCTCAACGCTCTTCTCTCCAGCTTCCCACTCACCTCAATCCTTAACACCATTACCATAAGCTTCCTGGGGGAGAACCCCCAGACCCCCCTTTCTTTCAGCTTCCTGGCATCTTCAATTCTATACCAGAGCTATGCACTGCAATTCTTTAACCAGTAATATAGGTATTCCGGGGAAGAACCCCCAGACCCCCCTTCCTTTCACCCCCCTGTCAACCTCAACTCTATACCAAAGATACACACTGCAACCCTATTCCCAGCATAGAAGCTTCAGAAGAACCCTAACTAGACCCTCTTTCACCCAACTCACTCCGCAAGGAGATGATTATCATCGCCGCCAATCTGCGCAATAATCGACAAAAGCCCCGCCGACGAGATCTCAATCTGCTCCGAAAACTCCACGTTCGCGAGGCCAGGATCCTGCCCATATCCACCCTGCCCGACAGCCCCAGCCCCAGCCCCAGAGGCGGCCCCGCCAGCGACGCACTCTCCTCATCAGCGCACACCGGCCGCGACATGCCACCTCGGCAAGCAGGCCCTCGAGGTGCACGAGATTGTGGCGGCGAGCGCGGGGTGCGGAGTGTCGCCGGTGGTGCGGGTGGCGGAGGGCCAAGCGTGGATGATCAAGCGGGCGCTGGACGCGGGGGCGCACGGGATTTTGGTGCCGATGCTGGAGACGGCGGACGAGGCGCGGCGCTACACCGAGTCGGGCTTCCTGATGCCCTCCGCCATGACCGATATGATCGGGCTGAGCCAGGTGTTCCGGCAGGCTTTCGAGGGTTCAGTATAGAATGGCCCGAGGTGTCCTCATGCTTATAACTAGAAGAGCGTGCGTTACGGGGGAGAACCCCCGGCCCCCCCTTCTTTTCCAGCTTCCCAGTTACCTCAATCCAAATACTGGTTTAACAAGGAATTCCGGGGGAGAACCCCCGGACCCCCCTTCCTTTCAGCTTCCTGGATACTACGACCATATAGCAGACCACCTCACCAGCGCTAACTCTGATACCAACAGGGGATACCAGGAAGTTTGAAAAAAAAAGGGGGGTCCGGGGGTTCTCCCCCGGAACGCATCTCTCCATCAAGATTAAGTGAAATACGAAGGATGGAAGCATGTATATAACAACCACTCAATAACTCAACACAACATGCACCCAGTCCCACATCCCCCGTCCCTTCCCACATACCTCAATACAACGCTCACGAAACCTGCACACTCACATCCCTCTGCGCCCCCATCCCGGCGGTAGCAATAATAGGCGGCGGGCGCTCGATCTTCCGCCGGAAGATGTACCGCTTGATGAACCAGGGTAGCCACACCGTCAACTCGTGGTGGAGGAACTTCTTCGTTGGGACGGAGAATACCTCTGAACATTGTTAGCTCCCTGCGGGGTTTCTGGGGTGATGAGGGCAAAGGGAGGACTTACGATCGATTTCCTCGAGGGTCAGTTGCTTTGTCTCGCGGACGAAGCAGAAGATCATGAACCAGGCGATTAAGTTGAGTCCTGCATAGAAGCCGACTTTATTCAGGGTTAGTATTGGTGGTGACTGAGAGGAGGGGGTGGGGGGCGGGCTTACAGGCGCCTGTTGGTGTCATTACGCTTTGCATGCGTGGGAAGGTGAGACTTAGGATCCCGGCTGCAGGAGTTCACTGTTAGTTGTGTGTGCTGCTTGGATGAGGTGGGGAGGTGCGTACCGAAGGTGTTGTTGATGCACACGGCCCAGGCCATGCCCTGCTCACGCTGGATGGTCGGGAACACCTCGGCCGAGTACTGGAAGGCGACGGGGCCCTCGCCGAGGGAGTAGCAGATGGTGAACAGGTAGACGAATCTGGGGGGGTTAGTTGATTGCAGCCTCAACAGAAGACAAGGGGACATACAGCGCAACAGGCCCGATCTTCTCGCCCTTGGTGCCGTCGGTTTTCAGCAGCGACAAGCCGGCGGCCAGCAGGAAGATGCACATGAGCGGGAAGGTCTGAACAATTAGCCGGGAACGTAGCTTCGTATTGGGGACACACTCACGAGCAAAGTCAACGTGCGACGGCCCTTCGTGTCGATCAGGAACACCGTCGGGATGGTGAACACCACCTGGATGGCGCCGTAGCCCAGCGAGGCGTACAGCGCCTGCGTGGCGTCGTAGCCGGCTCTCTCGAAGATGGTCGAGCTGTAGAACGAGATGACTGGGACAGTGAGCGCAGATCAGGCAGCTAGGGCTGGAAACATACTGTTAATGCCGCACATCTGCTGCGCGATCATCACGGTCGAGGCACCGTAGTTGGCCCGTCGGATGCGCGGCACAGCGAAGCAGTCCCACATGCGCGAGAAATAGCCGGCCCCTCGTGCCTCGCGCAGCTCCTCCTCGTAGATCACGTACGAGTAGTAGTAGTCGCGGGCGGCGATGATCGGGTGGGCGCGCAGCCGCAGCATCGACCGGAAGCCCTGGGCGTAGCGGCCGTGCTTCATCAGCCAGCGCGGCGACTCGGGACAGAAGAAGATGCCCGCGCCCAAAATGAACGAGGGGATGAACGCCGACCCCAGCTGCAGTCGCCACGCGATGCGGCCCGTGTCTTTCACGATCACGTTCGCCGCGAACCCCAGGAAGATGCCCGCCACCACCCACAGCTGCCAGAACATCACCAGCGCCCCGCGGATGCGCGCCGGTGCCATCTCCGCCGAGTAGATAGGCACCGTCGCGTTCTTGGCCCCAATCCCAATGCCCATCACGAACCGTGCCGCGAACAGCCCCTGCCACGATTTGGCGAAGGCGGATCCGATGGGTGTGGCCGTTAGACAGCATGCCGTCACGAAGATCTCGCCGCGTCGGCCGAGGTAGTGGTTGAGCGGGTCGACGATGAAGGCGCCACTGAAGCACAGGTCAGTACGACAGGGAGTGGAGCAGGGGGGCGGCACTCACATCAACCCGGCAGTCAAGAAGATGATAGCATTAACTAAACCCAAAATCCATTCGTCACGGCCCTTACCCGCGATGTTGAATTCCTGTGGGTAGGACAGGTTGGCGCCGTTGGATCCCGTCTGATCCCATCCCTGCGTCGCGGCGCCCACCGCACACAGCGCGATCGAATACCAGAGCATGAACGGACCGTGCCATTTGTGGTCCCGCTCGTAGGCGAGCGCAGTCCGCTCCGGTCCGGTGAGCTCAGCGACCGCCTCGAATTGCTGAGGGTCCCGCGCGACCAGAGCGCCTCGAGCGAAAACGTCGGCGTGCTCCGACATACCGTGGGCTTCGGCGAACGCGCGAGCGTCGATTGCAACCTGCTCCGAGGATTTGCGCTGCAGGAGACAACAGTTAGGGTACGACTCAACCAAAGTCAGAAGGCGAGGCTCACCGTCAAGGGATTCTCGATCAGGTTGAGGGCAGGGCCACGAGCTGCATGAGACAGCTCGGGCTTGGAGATGGGGGCGATGTTCTCATCGTGGGCAATCACGCCCGTCGCCGTCTTCTCGTTCATGGTGATTGAGGCAGTCTAGGACGCGTGCGAGAGAGGATGGCTGTTGCAGATCTCTCCTGAAGAAAGCCCCATGGGGATGAAGAACAGAACGAGAAAAAAAAGTGGCTGCCGCACCGCATATAGGCAAGCCCCCGTGGGGTAGAAGGTATGGCGACAGGGCCTCAGCCTTGTCAGCACTAGTAGCCATTCGACTGATCATACGAGCAACTTGACAACAGGTTAGGGCTTGGCTGGCTGCAGGATTGGGCGACTTGTGGCTTTGCCGCTCCCCACTTCGGCGCTCAAAGCGTCTGGACTAAGTCTGTCTCTCCGCACATTCCCAGGAAATTCGGATATACCCCAGATCCCCAGATCGATTGTCGCTGGAACGTGGTCGACCACGATAGTACCACAAAGCCTCCCAAATCCCCAGGTTGAGCTGCCGAGCCCGATTGGCGGGTGAAAACAAGGGTCCTGCGCTCTGTAACAAAGGCCGGAGACAGATAGCGCAATCCCACCTCACCGACTGAGGGAATCCCCCAGGACCAAGACCGGCCCTAATTGTAGGTCGAATGATGTATGTGGCTGTTTGGGCAAAGGATATCCTGACCAAGTTGGCCGGTGCCTCAACAAGCCGATAGGCCTGGCCGGGAAGCTTTTTTGCGCAGTGCACCTCCAAGACGGGCGGCGGTTTTCGCCGTTTCGGTCAGGCCGACCCCACTGGCTAATAGCAACTGGAAGGTGACATGTACAAGTTACATCCGGGGTGACAGCAAGCAATCCTGAAGGATGTGGCAGCGAATCACTGTTTCGCACGGTCACTAGTCTCTGCCTTCGTCCAGTCGTTACCCTGGTTATTGCCTCAGTCCTGGTCACGGTGCGGGTGAACACATCCCGGTCGACGATGGCAAACACGATGGCTGACGGTCGGGATTGCAATTGTACTGTCGCTCCCCGACAGCGAACTTTTCCGTGGCTCGAAGTCAGCTTACACTAAACATATTGGACCATACCCGCCGTGATGCTGATCGGAGCGTCCGAGGAGGCCGGCTGCGAGCGTGGAGATGAGGGCAAGCGTGGTGTCACATGACCATACCCTTCTCTTTAGGATTCAAATTGAGTCGATCCAGCGAACTTTGGGCAAACTTTCAGGGGAACTGAATCCTGATCCTGTACGCGAATTTCCACCGCATTCTCCCTCGTTCCATCCTCCAAGTTTCGGACGGCTGGGGTTTGGCAGCAAACGCGGGGTGCGAGGGTCATTCGCCGCCGATCTTAGCGTCGGTCTCGCACATGGACTCGACGCTATCCAACTCAATTTCCCGCTAGTGTCTTGCTGGCCCTCAAAGGCAATTCGGTGGCGGCCGCCGCTCACTCGGCAATAGCCTTAACTTGACGGTCCCTCCGGCAGTAATCTTGTGCGGTCGGCTGACTGCCAGGGTTTTTGCTGGGATTGTAGGACTTGACAAGGTTCTGACATGTCGATCGGAAACCATTCAGTTATTTGTGCACGAACATAGAAACCTTAGTCAAACATGATAAGCATAAGCGGCCGGATGGTGTAGTTGGTTATCACGTATCGTTAACACCGATAAGGTCCTGGGATCGAGCCCCAGTCTGGTCATCGCTTTTTGCTTTCTTTGCCTGCTTGGCTCAAAGTGCTTTTTTGTTCTAGACAATCCACCCCAATGCAAAACCCTCCCAAATAAGGCATCCCGGGGGAGAACCCCCGGACCCCCCTTTCCTTTCAGCTTCCCAAGCACCTCAATTAATTCACTGGTTTCGTAAAGCCTTCCGGGGGAGAACCGCCAGACCCCCCTTCTTTACAGCTTCCCAGCACCTGACCCAACATGTATCAATAAAACAGCACACCCTCCAGACTACCATACGCAACCTATTGCCTCAACTCGTTCCGTCATATATCCGCCCACGGATATATAACAAGGCAGTTGGCAATATAACCCCCTCACTTCAAAAACCCCCACAGATTATTCAAGCACTCTGCCAAAGTCGGATGCGCAAACACAGCATCCCGCAATCGGTGGTAGGGCAACTCCCCCACCATCGCCATCTGCACAACACCCATCAGCTCTCCGCCCTCAACACCGAGACACGAGAACCCCAGGATGAGCCCGCTCTCCGCATCGACCACGGCCTTCATCGCGCCTCTGGTCTCGTCGATCTCTAAAGCGCGCGCCACATAGCTCATGGGCATCTGCGCCGTCAGGATCTGCTTGTCGGGATACCGCTCCCGCGCTTCGTGCTCGTGCAGTCCGACGTGCGCGAATTGGGGATCGGTGAAGGCCACGTACGGCACCAGCCGGTCGCGCGTGGACCGTCTCTGCGCGGCAGGGCGCGAGGGCAGGAGTGACGACCGGAGGATGCGGGAGTCGTCGTAGGAGATGTGCGTGAACGCAGGCAGGCCCTTGACGTCGCCGATGGCATAGATCGACGGCACGGAGGTCTCGAGATACTCGTTGGTGACGATATAGCCCTTGGCATCGGTGCTCACGCCCGCTGCGCCGAGATTCAAGCATTCGGTATTCGGCACGCGTCCAGCCGCGAAGAGGATATGCGTGGCGCCTTGCAGGACCCGGTCCCCTTGCTTGGTCCGCATCAGAACATCGAAAGCGCCATCGCTATTAGGTGACGACAAGATTCGAACTGGCGTCGTCTCAAGCAAAACCTCCACCCCCTCGTCCCTGAATACATCAAGCAACATATCCGCCAGGTCCTGATCCTCCCGCGGCAATAGTTGCATCCCGCGATGCAGCAGCGTCACCCGCGCCCCAAGCCGACGAAACAGCTGCCCAAACTCAACACCAATATACCCGCCCCCAACCACAACCAGATGGCGAGGAACCTCGCCCAGCTCCATAACAGAGGAGGAATCCAGCACCCTCTCCCCAGGAATCCTCTCTATACCCTCAACGACAGGAACAGCAGGTCGACACCCGGTGTTCACAACGACCGTATCCGCAGAAACAACCCTCACCCCGCCCTCCCGCATCGCAACAACCATCCTCTTCTCCCCCTCCCCCTCCCCATCCACAAACCTCGCCTCACCCATCAAAACCTCAACCCCCGCCTCCCTTAACCGCCGCTCACTTCCCGCCCGGAACGACGCTACGATCTCGCGCTTCCGCTGCCGCACCCTCAGCATATCGGTCGTCACAGCGTTATCGCCACTACCGCTCGAATGCACCCCGTACTCCGCTCCCCGTCGCACAAGATGCGCTACTCGCCCCGAGGCGATCATGGTTTTCGTGGGCGTGCATCCCTCGTTCACGCAGCAGCCGCCTAGATGCGCTCGCTCGATCAGCGCGGTCTTGTGCTTTGCTTCTGCGAGGGCCGTGGCGAGCGGGGTGCCGCCTTGGCCTGAGCCGATGATTATGGCGTCGTAGTGTGTTGGTTTGGGTGTTGTCATTGTTCTGGTGGATTGGGGTGGTTTGAGGGTGCAGTGGAGGCGGAGACGGGCGAAGGGGAGAGACATGTTCTTTATGATGTTGGGGTGCGGGGTAGACACTGATGGGATGATGGTTGCTTATGTATGACACATGAGGGGTTCGTATAGAACTCCAGCTCGTGTTCGTGTCCGGGGTAGTGGTGCATTGAGGGGGCTGGATTTGACGGTAAGGTAAGTAAGTTCCTTGGGACGGGTGCCGGATGCGGTAATGCGGGTATGCATGCATCTCGGTAGATACAGCTACACTTCAGCTTGACCAGAGAGTAGATATACCACGAGGGTTCGAAAACCCTTGAGCTGACATGCTCATGGGGGGAGAACCCTTCAAACCCCCCTTTCTTTCAGCTTCCAGGCACCTTATCTAAAATACTGGTTTACAAGACGTTCCGGGGGAGAACCCCCGGACCCCCCTTTCTTTCAGCCTCCTGACCACCTCAATCTCATACCAGTGCTATGTATGTCCCTTGGCCCCATACCTCCGCCGTATATCCTCCACCTCCTCCCCAGCATACAAATCCCGAAGAACCAACAACTTCTCCACGACACCAGCGTCCACGCGCGCTCCCCCAAGACCAAGCTCAACAAGCCGAACAGCCCGCAGGATAGCAGCAACAGGCTCGCCGTCCCAGAACTGCACCTTCGTCTCGCTTTTCCCCTCCCACAGGGTCTGATCGTCACCCTCGGAACCAGGTCCCCCCAATTCAACAAAGCAGTAAAGCGCTCCAACAACCCAAAAAGGCATCCTTCCCTCCTCGACCAAATGCACCTCGTAGTCCCGCTTCGAGGGCTTCTCGCTATCGATCTGGGCGGAGCGGGTAGCCGAGCGCTCGCGCAGCTCGAAAGCGATGAAGAAGTCGAGGTCTTGCGGGTAGAAGAGTTGGGGTTGGAGGTGGGGTTTGGTGGTTTCGGTGGCGCATTTTTTGCAGAGGGTTACCAGGGTTTGTGTTTTCAGGGATATGGCAACATTGGATTCGTGGGGGAGGGGAAGGGTGTATATATCCGGCGGGAGAGACTATTGTGTTTCTCTGGTTAGTTGGATTGCACTAGTCTGAGATTGAGGTGGCCAGGAAGCTGAAAGAAAGGGGGGTCCGGGGGTTCTCCCCCGGCTACTTTCTCTCTGGGTTTAAGATTGAGGTTCCAGGGAGTTGAAAGAAAGGGGGGTCCGGGGGTTCTCCCCCGGGACGCTTATTTCAGTGTTAAGGGTGGGCTGGGGGTAGGGTGGATGCGAGGCTTACCGTTGCGCTGTCTTCGGGGATGGGGTACAGCCAGGGCTGGTAGTCGTGGCCGCAGAGCCAGCAGGTTTGGCGTGCGCGGTTGCCGTCTGTTATTGGAGTGATGGCTTCGAGGGAGGTGGAGTGGTGGTCTTGTTTGGTTGTCTCGACCGTGTCGTATTTTGTGTTGGTCATTTTGATGGTGTGGTGTTTTTCGTATAGAGTTGGGATTGCGATACAAGGAGTGGGTCGGACGTTTTGTGGAGAAAATTGGATTTGAGTGACTGGTTGAGAGATGATGGATGATTCTTGGAAGTTGAAGAGTCGAGAAATGGATTGTGATGGGTGTTGATTTGCCGGCTTGAGTCATTTCAAGATGCAATGATGACGGTCGCCATCGCGAGTCTTGTTGATGTCGCGACGGTTACGTCGAGGTCAGTCGGTATACTCTTTGAAAAGGCCAGGCAGTTGACCCACAGGGAGCAATGATCAAGCCTAAGGCTGCTGTTTGGAAGAGACTGACATGGCTGAAGAGATTTCATGCGCTCCTGAAGACACGTCGTTCTCTCGTCAAGCCGAATGCGACACATCGCCGTATCCTTGAAGATGTTGTCCATCAGTGTAGACAACATTTGTCAATAGACCTGGCCGAACTGCCTAAGTCTAACATCATCTTCGCAGGCAACCAGGCTGTACTTATATTCATGATTGATGCCGGTAGCTGTGAGGTCATTACGAACCAAGGCCGGAATTCGATAGACTTCCGATCCTAGTGCAGAACGATTCTCATTGACGCTGCACCCGGTTGAACGATGGAACCAGAGATGTTTTCTGTTGAGTAGGGCACTTCCATGGTCTCTGGAGAGTATCTCTTACCCACATCGCAACCCCAAACTAGCGACGCCGTTCCTGAGGATTCGCGACGCGGGCTTGTTGTTTGCTAGGACTTCCACAGCTGCGGGTAAAGCGTCCCGGGGGAGAACCCCCGGACCCCCCTTTCTCTCAGCTTCCTGGCAACCTCAATCTATAACCAGAGTAAATCAGCCCGAGGAGGCCTTTCTTTCAATGCTACACTGATAAGAGGACTTCGGTCGCCAGGAAGCTGAAAGAAAAGGGGGATCCAGGGGTTCTCCCGGAACGCTCACTAATCTCAATTCGATTGAGCGTGCTGGGAAGCTGAGGGGCCAGGTACAAGGCCGTGACACTCCAGCCAGCACATTATCAGCTGTTGATCATGAGATACCAGCCGGCTAGGCGGGTTTACAATGCGGTGGCCGAGCTCAGATGTCCCGATTATGCGCAATGCATGTACCGGGAAGTCGTTGGGCGCGTCGCAATACAAACCGCGCTGCAGGCCCGGTCAAGGGCTGACAGCCGGGTTTGGAAGGACAGGGATATGCGGACTGTTTCTTGGCATCTGGTCTGGCGGTGACGCGGTTGCTGCTCGGTGTCTATACTTAGAATGCTGTTATCGTGGTGTATGTTGCTGTAGTTTTGTGTATGTTGTACTTGTTGTACTCGATGTACTTAATGTACCTGATGTACTTGATATACTCAATGTTCTAATTATACCTAGTGAACGTGTTGTACCTAGTATGTTTATTATACTTGTCATCCTAATTCTTTCGGTAGACTTGTTGTATAGTGTGCTTATTGCGCTTGCCATCCTCATGTATTGTATGTACAGTACTTGTCAAATTCTCACACCTATCTAGTACTGAATGTTAGACCGATGTGTGGTGTGTAACAAGAGACTTGTGGAAGGTCCCATTTTGACAAACGAAGTACCTGCAAACGAGGTACATGCAAGTAGCAGAAGAACCAGTACAACATGATCCCAACCAACATCTCATTCAAAGGCCAGTCAACAGTCGCCATCTGTATCAACCGAGGGTCTATGCGCGCGCTCCTGAGGTTCAAAACAAGGCTGTTCGCCCCCCGATCCCCTCCAGCGACAACCGTGGTCTTCTCCTGTGATCAAGATGAAGGTCGCGAGTATCATCAACGCCCTCCTGCTCTGCCAGTCTGCAGCAGCAGCAGCAGCAGGATCTAGCGGATCTCGCATTGCAGCTCCAGCAGCAACAACCGCGACAGCTTTCACACCGGGCGCGCCACCGCTATTCGCCGGCGAAACAGTGCAGCTCACAGACAACGTCCTTCGGAATCTCACAGCGAGTCTCCAACACGAGAATGTGTCGAGTCTCTTCGCCTTCGGCGATAAGCACCCCCCACCCCAGAGTCCAAGACAATGCAAGGCCATGCCCGGCGACGCGGCGTGGCCATCACCGTCAACATGGGAGCTATTTGCTCAGCTCCTGGGCGGAAGCCTCCTCCGCCCCGCCCCGCTGGCAGCACCGTGCTACGCAGACTGGCCGGAGTACGACAACGCAACATGCTACAAGCTGAGCATGAACTGGTTCAATTCGTCCATGCAGTAAGCCCATGCCCTCTTCCCCTCTCCCCCCTCTCCCCGAATCGCGCACACTAATCACCTAAAGCATCAACCACCCAACCTCAGTCATGAACCCCCTCTACACAGGCCGCAGCTGCATGGCCTTCGGCTTCAACTACACCTCCACCTGCACGGAGGGCGGGTACGCAACCTACGTCGTGAACGCGAGCAGCGTCGCGCAGATCCAACTAGCCGTCAACTTCGCACGCAACGCCAACCTCCGGCTGGTGGTCAAAAACACAGGCCACGATTTCAGCGGTAAGTCCGCCGGGAAGGGCGCGCTGTCGGTGTGGACGCATGCGCTGAATGACCGCGCGTTCTACCCGTCTTTCGCGGCGGATGGCGGGTACGTGGGCCCGGCGATTAAGCTGGGCGCTGGCGTGCAGGCTTTCGTGGCGTACGAGTTTGCGAAGCAAAATAACGTGACGGTTGTTGGCGGGGAGGGCGTCACTGTGGGTTTGGCTGGCGGGTATACCCTTGGCGGCGGGCATTCGCCGCTCAGCGGTCTGTATGGCATGGCAGCCGACCAGGTGCTGGCGTTGCAAGGTGAGCCTCTCTCTGGCACTCGTCGTGCTTCCTGTATTCTAGGAATTGGTTAACTGACATCCACAGTGGTGCTGGCCGACGGGCGGTTCATCACGGCGACCGCGACACAGCACCCAGACTTCTACTGGATGCTGTGCGGCGGCGGCGGCAGCACGATCGGCGTCGTGACCTCGATCACCGTAAAAGCCTACCCACGACTTCCAACGACGACTGTGACATTCAACTTCACCGTGGCCAGCGCGCCCGGCCCGGCCGCCTTCTGGGCTGGCGTGGAAGCGTACATCGACAACATCGAGCGACTCGTCGACGCAGGCACATACGCCTACTACGACCTGGGCGCGTCCAGCTTGCAGCGCGGCACCAACTACCCCGGCGACACGGACTACTACCTGCGCATCCAGTCACTGCTAGCGCCGAACATGACCATTCCCGAGACGCAGCGGCTGCTGCAGCCGTGGTTCGACACGCTCGATCGGCTGCATATCGCCTATACCCCGGTCTACCACCACGCTGACAACTTGTAAGTACAACCCTCACCCCCTATATAATAGATATTAGCGTTTCCGGGGGAGAACCCCCGGGCCCCCCTTTGTTTCAGCTCCCTGGCCACCTCAACTTTATACCCAGGATGGGCGTACCCGGGGGAAGACCCCCGGACCCCTTTCCTTCAACTCCCTGGCACCCTCAATCCTCCGCGAAAGAAAAGTACTAACTGACCAGCCACGACGCCTGGAAACCCGCCTTCCCGCAGGAATACATGGGCGGCGCAAACACGAAGATCGCGTCGCGGCTGCTGCCACGCCAGGCCTACCACGACGCAGGACTACGCCGACGGAACTTCCTCGCGCACAAAGACGCAGTGGCACAGGTACTTCCCCTTCCCCCCTTTATCCTTTTGGGAAAAAAACTAAAAGCAAAAGGGCTACTCAATAGCCGGCTTCCACCTAACAGGAAAAGGCAAAGCGGCCCCGCAGCCACCACGCAACGCCGTCCTCCCCGCCTGGCGAGACACGCTGACGCACGCGATCGTGGTCGCGCAGTGGAACTCGAGCGCCAGCTGGGCGGTCGTGAAAGAGAGGTCGCTGGGTCTAACGCGCTGGATGCAGGCGCTGCGCGACCTGGGCGACTCGGGCGTGTACATGAGCGAGGCGGACCTGCTTGAGCCGGCGCTGCAGGAGGCGTTCTACGGGGCCAATTACCCGCGGCTGTATGCGCTGAAGCAGCGGTATGATCCCTGGGGCGTCTTCTTTGCGCTCACGGCTGTCGGGGCCGAGGACTGGGTCGTCCGCGTGGAGGATCCGTTGCCGCTCTCGTGGAATAATAACGGGCGGTTGTGTCCCCGCGGCTAGCTAGTTAACCGGGGGAGAACCCCCGGACCCCCCTTTCTTTTCAGCTTCCTGGAACTTCACTTATGTTACTCTGGCGTTAGGTCAGTGTGTTTCTGGTATGTGTTGAGGTTTCCAGGAAGCTGAAGAAAAGGGGGGTCTGGGGGTTCTCCCCCGGAACGCTTATTCTGCCTGGTTATAAGGCTGAGGTGGCCAGGAAGTTAAAAAGATGGGGGTCCGGCGGTTCTTACCCGGAACGGTTAGGTACTGGGAATAAGAGAAGCATACCTGATGGCTGCTGAAGCGCAGGAACAGGTGTTTGAAAGTGTTGGTAGAATGTGATATGTCGAGTATTGGGAATTTTTAAATGGCGATTGTGTTGAGGGGAGTTTTCGTGCCTACTGCTAGGGGACTTTTTAGCTGGATAGCTGGTCTGTAGGAGATTGGCTGTGTTTTGTGTGAAGAGACTGAGAGAATGACTCCATCATGTTTATTTTTGAGTTCTACTCGTTCTGGAACAACGTCACTTCTAATTTACATGTCAGTGCTGTATTGTGATTCGTTGAGTCGTGTCCCCACATCTTAGAGAAAGTTTATTACAGCTAAAGAGGTAAGAAGCAGAGACATATTGCCTCATCTCATGCTTCTTCTGCCTTGATGCTCCAGGACCCATCCTCCGCTTGTTTATGCTAAGCGTATTGCCTGAGTGAAGTTCGACGGAGTAATGCTTGTGAATTCAGCACACCCTACAGCTCATCCCATGGCTCCGAGTAGCGGGCCCGAGTTGAGGCCAAACCATAAGATTGTCCTGCAAGTTGGTGCCGAGGCGCGGAAGGTTCACTAGGTCCGGTACCAGGTCTTTATCGCGTCTGTCCCGTTGCCTCGTCGGCGATCTGTCATCCTAATGATTGGAGAGGATGGATTGGGCATTTTGTACCAGGAATATGATGAGACGAGGGCGGCGAGAGATAGTATCGTTGAGGAGGAGTATCGTGGGTGTGCAATGTTGTTTGCCTCCCATGCACCCGTGTGGCAGCAAGGGTTAGCCACCCACTCCAAGCCCGCAGTGACTGCTTCCGACCAGCGCAAACAATCCACGAGAATTTTTTGAGTGTATGCGTGTTCCCATCGGTAAATGAAACGATAGAAACACTCGACAACTCTTAACTCAACATCGTCATCGACGAGTCCTGCTCCGGATCATAATTCACAAACGAGACCAGCCGTGAGAGCACCGCAAACTCGAACTTGAGCTTAATCGTGTAGAAGAACGTCTTCAGCGACACCTGGATGATATAGATGTCTAGATACTCCAGCACCAGCAACGAAATATCCATCAGAATGATCGCCGTATTGATGATGAGCAGCTGGTACATGATATGGGAGCGGCGCTTGCTGCGGTTCGGGTACATGTTCAACAGGCGCACGGTCTGGACGAGGAAGATAGCGGAGATGATGATCTCCTGCACAAAAAAGCCCGTCATCTGCAGCTTCTCCCAGATGACGTACAGGCCCATGTAGCGGGCGCCGTCGTTGGAGACGACGCCGTAGGAGAGCACGATCTGCGGGATCTGGAGAATGATCGCATCAATGACGATCATGGCGAGCACGCCGCGGAGGATAAGTTGGCTACGCACGACGAGGTGCAGCCGGGAGTACAGCACGACAGATTGACCGGTCACCATGATGGCCCATCCAAACGTCGTGAGAGTCACAGAGAGCCATATCGGCGCCAGCTTAAAGTATTTAAGCAGTAGGCCGAGTGATTGCGGGATGATGCCGAGGCCGGTCGAAATGAGGAGACTCCAGAAGTAGAGGCCGGCGTAACGGTGAAAGGTCAGAAATATCAACAAAATCAGCTCGCAGGCACTGTAGAGCGCGCAGCCGAGGAGAGTTGCGAGGGTGGCCTGGAGCGCGAAGCTGTCACCAGTGTAGTGGCCCGCAATTCCCTGGATCGGGGCAGTGTCGTTGGCCATGTTCGCAGGCGAGGGTCAATCAGGCAGTGACGGCGTGCTCACTCGAACAACATGGTAGATAGAAATAATATGTCGAGTAAAGGGACCGAAAAGGAGATGGGAGGAGGTGAAGAGGAAGAAGGAATGGGCAGAAATTGACCAAAGAGGTGGCTCTCAAGTCTACCGCTCAGGTGACCAGGCAGGATCCATGGACCAGCTCGGGAAAGAAGTGCGTGCAACCACCTTGCAACAATTTGTTTAAGTCTGTTGTCCATGGTCACGGGTGGCTGTGGGGAGGGTTGGACAAAAATCCGGGGCAGAGGAACCTAACCTTTAGTGTGCCGATCCATGCCGTCTCCAGTCAGATTCATTTCTCCTGCCCCGATCCTCCTCCGCATTCAGACCGCTGATCCCTGAAGGCCTCGGGCCCTTGCTGCTGCAACCCCAATTTTGGACTTGCCTAGCCAGTCCATTGTGAAGATAGCTAGCCGGTCAAGTGGTCCAGATACTGTGCAGTGGATCGGACAGCATGTCAAAAATTGGCGAGATAGTGTCATGCAGAAGAGCCGATCTCAAATGCTACTAATGCAGACCGTGATGCTTGGCAAACCTTAACCCATATTTTCTTGCTGGGGACCTTGCTTTCTTACAGGCATTCCTGTCATTGCCCGTTCTGGCAGTCCAAGTGAGAGTGAGTCGGGTCCGAAGGTTCCAAGTTGTGCTGTAACTCGGTTCCTCTTCATCGTTTGCATGGCTCATGGGATTGTGCCAAGCATTATAGAATTATCATTGGCTACAAAAGCGGTTAGACAACTTTCGGCTGGCATCCACTTGAGCCTGATTTACGAGGCACGAACACCACGCAATAAACAAGCAAAATCATGTGCACTCGACAATTCGTGAAGACGAGTATATCGGCATTCGACTGTCGCCGTGTGAGTGTGCAAGTAAAGTCGACGACTGTGCTCTCGGACTCTTCAGAATTTTTTAATCAACAGCCATCCATAGCACGCATCGCAAGAAGGTTCTGATAGCGCGAAAATCCATCCCTACTCAAGCAGAAGGAAGCGAGCCAAGAACCCACGGCAGCAACCCGAGCACCCCTTCATTTCTCCGGTGGCAAAACTGTATAGCAACAGCCCCCATCGCTGTAAATTGGCTGAATAACAGCACTACAGATCCACTGTCCCCTTGACTGCCCTGATGACCATCCTCATGGGTTCTATGGGCCCGTGGCTCGCTGACCTGTCAGTAATTCCGCAGCATCATTCTCCCGCACTAAAAAGATGTCCTCGTGGCGCGCTCCGAACTTTTTCACCAGGTACACCCCAGGCTCGGAAGTGCATGTCATCCCCGCACGGGCGGCCGTGGCGTGGTTGCCCTTGTTGAGGTAGGGCCTCTCATGCGCTGGGCTCATTTGACCCTCCACTCTGTGTACGGGCACGATAAGCTTACCTTTCATGCCTACGCCGTGTCACACACGGTGGGTGAAAAGGGTGCTGGTCTGACATTTCAGTTGAATCGAACATCTCAATAGCGTCCTCGCCAATCACGGTTCATTCTCGTAGAAGTTGGATAGCATCCCAGGTGCAAAAGGAATGCAACCATGGCCTGCGTCCTGCACATTATCAAGAGCCTGGAGTTCCTTCTTCAGCCAATTGAGAGATACTTCTCCAAGGAGGTATTCCGTCATAGCTAAGGCCTGTTGCACTCCTGTCCGTCGGCCAATCTCATCCAAGCGTTGCAGGATCCAGGCCTTCATGCGTGGTGTGCTTCCAACGCAATCCGAGGCAACAAAGAGCGTCCAGTGTAGACGAATCAGACCTGAGGCCTCAATCAGCGATGCAGTAGGCTGATTCGGGCCAAAGTAATAAGGGACACTGGCGCATATTTCCTCCGATAGCTGGCGGGTGATTGCCGCGCTCCGGCAAATGGTCGACCAATATTCATGGTTTTTGCCCCTGGATCGACGCAACAGCCGCTCACACACAGCGGCGATTAGTTCATGAATCACGATCCTCGTCATTCGGTAAGTATTCCATATCACGGCGACCCCCACTTCGGGGTACGTGTGATAAAAATGTCCGAAAACATGTTGAGCCGCAGGCTGATCCTTCCCGCCGGCGGCTGCGTCGAGCACCGTGTATTGCCAGCACTGGTCGATTGTCAAGGCCCACGCAGCTAGCAAGGCATCCAACTGCAGTGCTTCTTGTACGATAGCTATGGGGGACTTCTCTGCTTTGCGGCCGATTTGGGCAAACAAATCACTGACCTGGGCAAGATACTTGAAGAACGGTTCCGTTGAGGACAGCTGCGGGCTTCGCATGCCAATTGTCTCCTCTGACAAGGCCACAAGCCATGCAGGAGTGGGATTTTTGCGATAAAGATTGCTCAAAGTCTGCAAAATGAGGTGGTGGTCAGCATCATTATCAGTGACCCAGGGCCGTCGATGGACCTACGTATTGGCCGCGCAATTGCATGAACAGGTCGAATCCAACGGGGCGCTGCAGCTGCTCCGGGCCCCGTAGCCTGATGAGGGCCATCGCTCCTTCAATATGATCTACCCAGCGTACCATAAGGGCGCGACTTTGACAGGTGATTATCTGGGAATCCTGAGATCAGCTAGTGACAAAGTAGGCTGACCTTAGCGCGAACACTCACTTCATAGAGTCCCAATATAAGAACAGCAGCGAGTGTGGCGTCGGACTTTGCTGTGGCAGTGTCTTGTAATGCAGTGTTTGTCTTTGACAGTGCTGTAGTATAATTTTGGCGCGCTTCACGAATGAGCTGGGGGCTGCTGTGAATGTTACCTAGCGCTGCCAGACCCATAGCATTGATAGACGCCATAATGGCAGGGCTTGACTCTTGTCGTAACAAGGACGGTAAGAATGACAGGTGCCCTGAGACTGAACGGTCGGCGGGACCCACATGATAGGTGAGGACGTAAGCGATTCCTTGATCGGCGATTGGAGTCGAGACTGACTGCAGCATAAGCGCAGTGGCAGCGGGGCGTCTGTCCGCAGAGCATTCCGCATCGGAGGGTGACACAGGATTTGACTGCTTTCTCGAAGAGAAAGAGTTGATGCATTCAGGTTGCCATTGTAGACGGCGATGAGCTTTTCCGACGACTTCGGCAGTCTGATCGTGGAAGCTAAGGGCCGCTAGATCCCGATATCCGGAGCAGACGCGCTTAGCTCTGAGGCAGGATGAACACGAGGGCCGTTTCTGGTTGCACTGGGAGATCTTAGCACTGCTGGGAAGGTAGAGTGTGTCATGGGTATACCTTAAGGCGGCGGCTTCGACACCAGGCACAGGCCGCACTGGGTTTCCCGCGATAAACCATCACGCAGTCGAACGGCTTTCTTAACTTGGCAATCACCTCGGGGCTCTAGAAGTAAGCAAGAACAGTCTCATAGCGAGGAATGATTATTATGAATGAGAGAAGAAGTGGGACGAAGGAGCCATGGCGAGAAGGGAAGATCAAAGAGAAAACTTAACTTGGAAGAGTCATTGCGGCGCCCGCGTCAGCGGTCCTTCCATAGGGGGAAATGTCGAACTGCTTACCTGATCAGGACTAGTGCACACTAAGCCTTCCTCCCGCCGGGGCGGGCCCATGCGAAGCCTTTGGTGCATCAAATGAACTCCGCTTAGGCAACCATCGATCTGAATACCTTTCTTGGCTCTACAACTCTTTATCATGGATTGGAACGCTCCTGACTCGGTCTGCTTCCATAATGCCACTGAGGTGACCGTGGCTGTGCTTTATACTTCACTTCGGGGCTGAACGTGGCTGATCAAGCTTTTCGACTGGTTCAGCTGCTGAGTACGTGCAAATTTGCCAGTCAAACGGCTGTCGCGACCAAGCCACTCAGCAAAATGGATCAACTAGATTCCCGCGCTGGATACCCAAGGAGGTATCTGCGATTATCTCTAAGGCTCTGGTCCAAAACAGGCTGCCTCAGCTCAGATGAGAGGTTTCTCGGTTGATAAGAGCAGCTCAATCACATTCCGGATCTCAGCTCTTCGGAATTTTCATTATACATCTATTCTTACTTCAACAGCCTCGTCCACTTTTCATCTTCGCAATCTCTATAGGCCTTTCCTCCATTCTAATCTCTCCTGCGTCGTCTACTTCACTTCCCCGATCCACTAAGATTTTCCTTCACATCACAATGAACGGCATCTTCATCGCAGACCTGGTCTTTTACCTCATCCTTCTTCACCCAGTTCTCTACATCCTTTGGACCCGCCGTGCAGGCGGGCTTCTGGCATGGTACTACCTAAGTATCTTCTGCGTCGCCCGTATCGTGGGCGGTGCGATGGGAGTACACAATAGCCAGAGTCTTGCGGCAAATATCCTTGTCGGCGTGGGCATCTCGCCGCTCATCCTAGCCATCGATGGCTTACTTCATGAAGCGTACGTTATACCCGACCCCACAACAGTTCCTGGACTCACAGCCCTTTTGGCAGCCGCTTCTATCGTAAGCCCGGCAGACAGTGGCTAGGTTGGGCCGTGGTGACTCTAGCGACAGCGATAATGGGAGCAGCCCTCGCGCTCGCTATCACAGGCGCCTTGGACATCTATAAGGGTCACCCCAAGCTGGACAGCCTCGATCATTGGATTACTGGCACGGGGCTGATGCTCTTGGTCTGGGGATTGGAGGTGATCTGGGCGTGTGTGCTGCTTCTTCCCGCGCAGCGACGGAAGGATGGCTTCTCGTTTCAGATTGGCACCACGGTATGTTTGCACATCTGTTTCAATATTGTGGTCTGCTAACGAGATCGTGGCACTAGCTGTTACAAGGAGGGTTTCTAGTCTTGCTTTTCGTGGGGATTCGGGTTATTTACCAGTTGATTGCGGTTTGCACGCAGCGCAAAGATCTCAGCTCCAGTACCGGCAGTATGGCGGTGCGGGTGGTTCTGGTGTTCCTGCCTGAAGCATTTACGGTTCTGTCAATGGCGCTTGTTGGGATCCAGACGAGGAATGCCCACCGGAGTTAGTTTCAATCTTGACTGTCAATCAAGAGTACGGGATCAATGTTGATGTCGCTGGGCATCGCTTGCTTGCATGACTTTTGAGGTTTTATATGTCGACCGGAGTTAAGACTACACTGTCTTGGAAATCTCCAATATATCTATCATAATCTTGAACTTCTACACGCCAGTCGTGCGTTTCATAAAACCCACAATCCGACCGAACATCTCCACCGGGTTCGAATACATCGGGAAGTGTCCACTCTGAGAAATCTTAGCCAAAGCGACCCCGTGCTCCCGCAAGTGCCCAGATACGGCAAGTCGCGGTTCAGTTCACTATATATAAGCATCAACGGACACTTCAGCGCCAGAAAGCTGTCCAGCAGATCGCCTGCATCGGACAGCTCCACCATAGGTTTGAAGATAGGCTCAATAGCAGGCGGACGGACGCGCCCGTGCAGCGGCGACGCGTACAAGGCGTTCGAATACGCGGGGCTGTCACGGATGCGCTTGATGAAGAGCTCGAGGAATTCCTCCGAGGCGGAAGCCCAGGTGGGTGAAGATCTGGCGGCTGAGGAAACAGTCTTCCGGGGCGAGGTTGCCCTTGATATCGACGAAGCTGATGATGCGGTCCGGGTATTTATCGGCCAGTATCAGGGCCGTGAGTCCGCCCATTGAGTGGCCGATGAGATGGAGGCGGTCGATGCGATAGTGTTGCAGGACTGCCTCGGCGGTGGCGACCATGAATGCAATGGTGGCTTTGGTCGGATCAGCGGCCATGGTGGCAGCGCACCCGGGCGCATCGTAGGCGATGAACGTGTGGTCTTTCAGCGATCGCTGGAAGACTAGATCGTGCAGCTCTTCCTTGCAGGGCCGAAGCCGTGGAGCCACAGGATAGCGGGTCTGGGGCCGCGCCGGATCAGCGCGGATATCTGCTGAGAGGTCCCCTCCACCGTCAGTGGGAGTCTTTCGTAGTCGGGTGTCTCGGAATCCATTGGGCGGGGTCTGTCTTGCTATGGTCTATGGCATGGTGCTAGAGGCGGAATTACCTATATATATTGTATGTTCTCGGGTGACGGCCTCGATTCTCTGACGGGGCTGTATACATAAGTATAGGGCTGATCGGCGAGGCACGCGCCGGTTGAAAGTTCATAACCGACGGGGTTTACTCAGCGGTTAGCAGCATACTCTTGGACTGATCTCATCTTGCAGCATTGATTGTAATGACAGAAGCAAGGATTCCAGCAAGCACAGCCTGGGATGTATGTAGCACTCATTTGTTGAGGTGCTTCTCTGGCTGCAACCCACGTGACTTGACATCATGTCACATGGCCTCACATGATATCATCGTTTGGTGGCTTTCAAGCGGGAAAAGCTGGAATGACCAAACCACCATCAGGATTCCCACGACCCGGGATCCCATGTGCCATATCCCCGAGCTTAATCGGTCTCGGAAGCGAGGCTAGGGCTGTCGCGCTTTCGGAGAGCGACCGAACAGCGACTGAAAAGATGACTATAGATTAGACGCCGAGGATCAACTGGGGGAGGCCGACCCACCGGTTCCTTGTTGGTCAGTCAATCATTCGTCCCCGACCTCGGATCGCCGATGATGTTCCATGAAGCAATGGGCCCTGATGGCGTCACTGCCCATACTCACTCTTCCACTTTTGTGTCTTGCGACCGACAGTGACACTTTTCTCTCCCTCTCCAACTTTTTTTTTTTTGCCTGAACAGTCACATTATTGTCACCCTCAATCATTATAATTGAGTCCATTTCTACCCAACCTCATCCCTACATGGTCCGTTCCGTCCGTCACCAGCATCCATGCCGTCCCCGTCCGACAATGGCCCAACAGCAGACGACTGGCCCGAGGAGCAGTTCGCCCACGACGAGCCCTCCGCCAGCCGCCATGGTCGGACCAACCGGCGCGCTCACTATCATGAAAAGGGTCTAAACACCGGTGTTCGTATTATGGGTGCGTGTCCCCTCCCTCACTTCTAATCTGTTTCAATTGCTGACGATCGTCCCACATTGTCCAGACGATGGCCGTCTCGATATCAAATTCCGCGACCGCAAACCCTGGGTCACCAAGATCCTCCAACACCTGCAGTCCCAACCACACGATCCAGGTAAAGGTAAGAATGAGTTCTGTGTGATGGCGGGCGATGATCTGGGGGAGGGTCACAAATGCCCTCTCAAACTCAACATCGTGGTCCAGGTCGTCGGCTCCCGTGGGGATGTGCAACCGTTCATCGCACTGGGTAAGGTGCTCAAGGCCCACGGCCATCGCGTTCGTCTCGCGACCCACCTTGCCTTTCGCGAAGTTATCGAAGATGAGGGCCTGGAGTTCTTCAACATTGGGGGCGATCCCGCGGAGCTGATGGCATTTATGGTCAAGAACCCGGGGTTGATGCCCCATATGAGTACGATACGAAGCGGCGCGATCCGACGGCGCCGACGGGAGATGAAGGCTATATTCTCGGGCTGCTGGCGGTCGTGCTGGGAGACCGGCGACGGGACGGGCATGCACCATATCCCCGACGACCCGTGGAGTGAGACGGGGGATTACCGCACCAAACCGTTTGTCGCAGATGCGATTATTGCCAATCCGCCCAGCTTTGCGCACTTTAGTTGTGCGGAGAAACTAGGCATTCCATTGAACATGATGTTCACGTAGGTGCTCTGGCCTCAGTCACAGATTTCGAGACTGACAGCGTTAGAATGCCGTGGTCGGCCACACAGGCGTTTCCTCATCCGCTAGCGACAGTGCGGTCGCAAAATACGAAACCGTCTGCAGCAAACTTCGCATCGTATGCGATCGTGGAAATTATGATGTGGGAGGGTCTGGGAGACTTGATCAACAAATTTCGCAAGCGAGAGCTGGGTCTAGATCCGTTGGATGCGATACGAGCGCCAAGTATATCACATCAATTGCAGATCCCGTTCACATATCTTTGGTAAGACATATGTCTTCAGTGTGTGACGTTTACTGATAGCTGTAGGTCGCCAGCTCTTCTCCCCAAGCCCTCCGACTGGGCTGACAACATCGATGTCGTGGGATTCTCGTTCCTCTCCTCGGGCGCCGACTACAAACCCCCAGACGATCTAGCCAAATTTCTCAAAGCCGGTCCCCCTCCCATATACATTGGCTTCGGCTCGATCGTCGTCGACAACCCTGGCTCACTGACCAAGATCGTCTTCGAAGCGATCAAAGCGAGCGGCCAAAGGGCCATCGTCAACAAGGGCTGGGGGAATATCGGGGCGGATGAGAAGGACATCCCAGACAATATCCTGATGATCAGCAAGGCTCCACATGACTGGCTGTTCCAGCACGTCTCCTGCGTTGTGCACCATGGCGGAGCCGGAACCACCGCCGCCGGTCTTGTGCTGGGCTGTCCCACGGTCGTGATCCCGTTCTTCGGCGACCAGCCCTTCTGGGGTTCCATCGTCGCCCGTGCTGGCGCGGGCCCACAGCCGGTTCCTTACAAGCAGTTGACGACGGAGAAGCTCACGGAGGCGATCGAGTTCGCTCTGAAGCCATCCACGAAGGAAAAGGCAAAGGAACTCGGAGAACAGATGCGCACGGAGCAGGGCGTGCGGAATGCAGCCGTGAGCTTCTACCAGCATCTCGACTTGAAGAGTCTGCAGTGCTCTATATGCCCGCACCTCCCGGCCGTGTGGTGGGTGCGGCATTCGCATATCAAACTAAGCACATTCGCCGCGGCAGTGCTGGTAGAGACAGGTCTGATCGACCCACGCAACGTGGTCTTGTGAGTCACTCTGCGAAACGTCGCATGCACGTTCCAAGCTGACCCCATAGATACCGGTCGATCGAATACGACACGAACCGCGACCCGCGCGGCCCTCTAACCGCCGGCGCAGAAGTCCTGTACGGGATCGTCTCGGGGTTCGTCAGCGGCATCGTGGACGTTCCCAGCGGCGTCGCGACGATGTTCTCCATGAACCAGGAGCGACGGCACCGTCGCAGGAGGGAGTGGAAGGAGGCGCGTCACCCGTCGCACTTCGACGGCGCCTCATCCCTGCACCGACGCACAAAGTCGTCCCTTGACTCGGGAGTAGGAGATGACAGCCACCTCAGCCACCGCGACCTACAGAGCATGCGCGATGAAGCCAACCGGCCCACCGACAACCGCTCCTGTTCCTCCTCCTCCTCCTCCTCCTCCTCCTCCTCCTCCTCC